TTGTTTTTTATTTATAACCCTTTTTAATTTTAATTAAGTAAAATTTAAATTTTAAGTTAATTTTAGTAAACTATTTAACCTTTTAAAATCTGGCTTAAAGTTTTACAATAAGGGAAATAGGATACTTTACCAGTATTATAATAGTATTAAGGCTTTAATAATTTACAATAGGGCGTAATGGATTATTTAGGTTTTTCTTTTCTATAAATATAAGGGGTGCCCCATATAATACGGTAGATTTCTAAATACGATTAATTTTAAGCATTTCATTTAACTATAGTTTAAACATGTCTAATTTACAATCGTTTATAGTATAAAGGGGTTCTTAAGGGGGAGTTTTCCTATTTATAAAATTAATTGTATAATTTTAAGGTTAGTAGTTAAGCAATCGTTATACTACTACTTTAATTATAATTAAAAGGAACTCTTTAAATTCTTTAAGGATTTATTCCATTACTACTTTAGCAGCTACCTGGAATATAGTCGTTATAACCTTAATAATCCCTAGGTTAAAAATAGCTTAACTAATATAATTTTTATAACAATATTTAAATATAAATATAATTTTTCCTATATCTTTAAAAAAATAAGTAAATTAATATTCCTTTATCTACTATTAGGGTAAAATAATATTACAATCCTTATTAAAGGTGCTTAATTTAAAACTAAGCCTTATAAAGTGGTCTTTTTAATATTAAAAAATAATCTATTTTATATAATACTATTTTATTTTTTATATATATATTGTATTAAAAGCTAATATAGATTTAAAGCATGCTCTTTTAATAAAGGGCAGCCTTTATTATTTAACCTTTAAAAAGGACATTATAGGAATAATACTACCTATATCTAAAAGTACCTTAATTAAATATTCCTAATTATTATATAATAAGGTTATAGGGATAATAGGCCTATAACCCATTTTAAGCTCTAAACTAGCCTTTTTTTAAACTGGTTTAAGAAGTTCATCTTTTATTCATTTAATTATATTAATGTAGGAAAAGTTACCTTTTTAAAAGCTTAAATTCCTATACGGTACTTTATAAGGCCTAACTAAAAATCTAAATTTAATTCTTTTATTTTTATATATTATATAAAATTAATTACCTTTATAATAATAGCATTAATCTTAGCTTATTTTACTATAAATAGTAATCCTATATTATTATTAAGCTTTCTTTTAATAAAAAAGGTTTTTTTAAGGGCTAAAGGAAGCTTTTTTCCCTTAATGTCCTTTTTAATATAATAGGTAAGGGTATAATAATTACTTTTCCTATATTACTAGCAATTAATTTTATTTTACTTTCGTTTATTAATAGTAGTTTAATTAATCCCTTTTAATATAGTTATAGTATTAAGCTAATAATTATTTTTAAAATTAACCTTAGGCTTATTTAGTTTTTTATTAATAGGTTTCCTTTCCTTATCCTTTTTTAAGGATTAGCTTAGGCTTAAGTTGGAGTGATTTTTTTTACTTTAGTTTTAATAGCTCAACTTTAATTATTCCTTTATTAAATTAGGCATGCTTTTTAAAGATAGCCCAAAGTGTACTAATATATTTTTATAGGTAACGTTAGCTTTTTAAATTATATTAAGAAATTTGCTATTATCCTTAAGGATATAGCTTTAATTATAATAAACTATCTTTATAAGTTTAAATAGTAAGCGTTTAATAATAAAGGTTTAAAATGTAAAGCTAGACTACTTTATTAAATTATTCCGGTTAAGGATTTTAATAAAGAATTAAATAATATTGCTGGAGTACTTTACCTTTATAAGGGCATTAATATTTTAATACATTATTAAAGGATCTTTAAATTAAGCTTTTAAAGCTATTTAATAAGCTGCCTAAATATTAATAACATTAATATAGCAGATTTACTTTTAATAAAATTAATACTATTATAAAGCTTTATTTATTATAAGGGAATTAATTTAATTAATATAGTATTTATTAAAGGAAAAACTTTCCATATATATAAATATATAATCCTTAACTTTAACTTACTATAAAAAAAACTTAAAGGTATCCTTTTTATTATAGGTATAAAGCTTATTAAGTTAAATAGGATTAAATATTATAATTATAGGACTAATATTTTTAAGTATAGTTGAAAAGGCATATATTAATTTATTAGTAAAAGGGTTAAAGGGATTATTATTATTTAAATTTCCTCCAAGTCCTTTATTAGGATTTTGAAGTAGCCTTTAAGGTGGTCCTTTAGGCAGACTATAGGAGGGTTATCCTTTAAAGGGGTTATCGTCGTTATTAGAGCTATTAGGGTTTCCTTTTGGGTTACCTCTAGGTAGCGGGGCAACTCCAGCGAAGATTCCTGGTAAAATTTTCGTTACTACATATTGTACTTAAAAGGCTTAGGTAACTAATCGGGCTTTTACTACCTATAATACTTTATTATTAATTTATTATTATAGAATAGCTTTTAATAATAAATATTTTATAGCAGGATAGTTAATAAAGTTAATTATAATACTACGCTTTTTTAGCTTATTAATAATTTAATTTATATTAAATATAATTTATTTATCCAATTATTCTTAGATTTTTTAAATTACTACTTAAGTATAAATTTATAACTTATTAATTTAGTTAAAGTTTATAATAAAGCAGTTTATAAATTGATTAATTTATCCTTTAATTATAGTAGCTTAATTATTTATAACCCTTTAGGTCTTTTAATAGTTGGCTTTTTATTTAATAAGTTTACTTTAAAAAGTTTAAAGGGCTTAATAGTGGTAATCTACTACCTTTTTAAGCTGGCTAATAGTATTAGCTTAAGATTAAGCATCCTATATAATATATATAATAATTCCCTATATGTTTTAAAAGAAGATAATACTTCCTTATATAATTTTTTATTAAAAATATTCTATTTACTTTTAGGTTATTTATATATTTATTTTATATAAGTTAATTAAAATATTATATATATTATAAATGGTAATATATACATTTTAAAATGCTTTTCTTTATTTGGAAGGCATTCTTTACTTATATTTTTATAAGGATTAGGCTGCTTAAAAGGTTTTATTTATATAATTATAGATATTTATAACTTATTATAGGGGATTTTGGATTATTATATTTATATATTCCATTTTTATATCCCTAATATTATTATAAATAGTTAGGTTATAAAAGGTAAGTTCTATAGCTTTAAATATTAATTTAGGGGCTATAATAGGAGGATTTTATTATAAAGTTAATTAATTAATAGATTTAAATAAATCTTTTAAAAAAGGTAATCCTTTAAAAAAAGGGGATATAACTTAATTAAAATAAACAAGTTTAAGTATAATAAGTAATAATAAAAAGAATATAGCTTATTTAGGGGTAAAAGTTAAACTTTGGTTAAGGTTAGCGGAATATTTATTTAATGCTTTTATACGTTTTAGTTTTACTTATAAGTTGTTAAGGGGTAGAATATCCTTAGTTTTAGGCTTTAGGGTTTAATAAGGTAATAAAGGTAGGTAATTTAGCTATTACTTATCTTTAGGACAATTTTTATATAATAAGGGGGATTTTAAAGAGTTAAAGTTTAAACTATCCTTATTAAAATAGTAAAAGTTAAAGTTAAAGTCCTATAATTAAGGTACATCCACGATTTTATAGAAGTTTAAAGCTTTAGGTTAATAAAGTTATTAGCTATTTCCTACTCTTTAAATAGGAATATTAGGATTATAGCGTATAATATTTAGATTATTAGATATAAAGTATAAATTATTTTAAAATACCTCTATTTAATAAAGGTAGGGGAAATATCTTATTAAAGTAATCCTATATTTATAGGGACTTAGGCTTAAAATAATACTATATATATATAGGGATTTATTAAAGCTTATCTATTAAGCAAAGGTTTAAGCTATATTGGAGTATCCTAAAGGGGAATAATAAATTATTTATAATAAGAGCTTTTATAAAGGGTTTAAAACTTAGTTATATTTATTAATAATTTATTAAGGGTCTTTAAGGCCTTGATCTCTCTCTTTCTCTTTTTTGGAATGGGAGATTCCTTAATTATTTATGCTTATTTAAGCCTTATATAATTTATAACTTCCTTTTATCAATTAGGCATTTATACCTTAACTATTAATCTTCTTACAGCTAACAGATTATCCTTATCCAATCGCTTATAGCTTTACTTTCCTTTAGGGGTAGTATCGGTTATCTTCGGTCCTGGAGTTTTGGCCATGTAATAATATATCTATCGCAAGGTTGTACAACTATTACAAGACTGGAAGATAATAAAAAAAACCTTTCCTATATAGAGCTTGGTAGGAAAGCCCTTGTATAAAAGAAAACAACATTAACCTGTCGTGCGCTGCGATCTTGATGATACCACTCATTTCTGATTCCTTTTCATAGGCGATCTAGAAATCGTTGGTGCGGTTCATGTGGTAAAGCCTAATACACATTAATCACATAAAACTTGGAATTTTGGAGTTTTAGAATGCAAGATAACAATCATCACTCATTTGCTAATCTACATACATTAGGAGATCTTGGAACTCCATACGTTCCGAAAGAAGAGAAAGAAAAAAAGGGAAAAACACAAATGCGCCTCACCCGGGCATACAGACCTGACTAAACAATGGACAACGAGAGTGAGGCTAATGAACTAATACCAAGAAATATTAGCCGCAGTCGTAGCGAAACCCTCAGACAAATCCATGAGAGTTGGGCAGTATTCTCCAGCTTTTCAGCGTGTATGATACAGCAATTTTATATGAACTTGACTGTTACTTTATCCTTATTGATTTACGTATTTCGAGATGCTGTTGGACTAAGAACTGAAGCTTGAAATAATCAGTTATATGCCAAGCTGGAAGAATGATTAGCGAATTAATCATGTCCGGTATACTACTAACAGTCTGTTAGAAGTGGGTATAACATGTGCCATAAATAGGTCATCTTACCAACTGCATAATGAGTACTCTCTTGGCGGCAGGCGCCATCATCAGGTGTCCTCGTGAAGAAGATAGGAACATTCATAACTGCATTTATCTTTAATTACGCGTTAACTACTCTTCACCACCCCCCGAGCAAACTGAGTGCGTTCGATAATCGCTAACGGAAGATATCATACTGATCATCGTGATCATGTCTGACTACAATACCGAGATTTTCAAAGCCAATCTCAGCGATAGGAATGAGGTACGTTACGAGTACTTCCATTGCTCCGATGATGGACTAAATCACGTTTTAGATACCACAACGCATGTGGACATATGATCCTCACAGCTGTCTGAGGCCAAATACAGAATTCGACCTCCCAATCATATGCCAAGTTCACTATCCCAATATAGGACAACGATTTTCCTCCCAGGGAGTTGAATTCGACACCTTTCAAGTAAGTCTGACCTTTTTTCCGGCGGCGGGGATGAGGCATTCAGGCAGGGCTATTCCGACCAGTTCGTAGCTGAAATCTCTCAACATAGAAATGCTGCCCGAACACAAACTCCCCCCATCAAATAAACCAATGGGTTCAAATAAACACTTGTGAACTGCTAGTTTGTTTCACAGACAACGAGACGCTGGCAAAGGGCTTCGACCAGTGTATCTATGAAACAGCGGAAACCAAGAAGGAAATGATAAACAACACGACGAGCAACACCAACGGGTCCTATTATGGCGATCACTCCTTTTATAGCGGAAGATGCGAATGGATTGATTTTGACAATCTCAAGAAAGGAATCCGCAATGTTGAAGATCTCGATAGTTCCGCTCCAGCAAAAGGGCTATTACTACGGTTATTGCTAACGACAACTCTGATGGCGGTATTACTGGGACCTGCGATTGGATAAGGAACGTCAACACCTGGAATACTTTTAGCCTGCGTGTATAGCTTCGCTGGAATGTCAATCATTGAATTATGCCATTATTTCTCATATAATCTGAGGTTTTTGTGCCAGCATGGCTAGGTGTGTGTGAGAATGGCAACCATGATGATACTATATGATAATTGTTGTTGGACAAAGGCCCTGAAGCGTTTGTGGCTAGGCCGGCGCTATATATCGCGAGTCTCCTTGTCGTAGTTCAAGGATCGTAACAAGAGTTTAACACGCGTCTGCGCGTATCTAGCCTTTGCCTGTCGTATGGTCTTGCCATGCGTCACGTGATCAAACACGCTTAGAAAGGTGAGCTCGGAGTTATTTTCTCCAATTTGGATGCTATGGTCGTTGTAGATCAGATCAACATATTGATAGTAACTGCACCACCGAACTTCAGCGCAGAGGAAAGCTCATATATATCATTTCCAGGACCTGATTTATACTTAGGCAGGGTGCGTGGTCGAAGTGATAGACGAATTGAGCCACAAGTGGCTGATGAGGTCATATATTGTTAATAGCTAAACTAACGATAGCTGCCTTGATCAAAACTTTTACCAATTAAATAATAAAGATGAATTATATAATGATCTCATTTTGAACAAAATTTTTTATTTTTAGTCTAATGCTTGAATATATCTATACTATGAATGGTTGTACTATGAAGTAGCTGCTCATCGATCATATATAATCTAGTCTTATACAAGTAGCCTTCATTGCCTCCTAGCATGAAGATATCTATCCATGTGAAGGGCCATTTATGAATGTTGAACAGGGGAACATGCTATACATCTTAATACATACACTATCCGATCGCTGTTATTTAAAGACATAGACCCTCTTCTCAAAACATTGGAGGATCCTGTTGTTGTTCTTGTTTATGTGCAGTTCCCCAGTCATCTTTCAGGGCCCCCGTTGATTCCGCGGCCGAGTTATTTGACTTAGATGGTATGACAGGGTTTAAGGCGGCGGGGTTCTCTCTTGGTATTGTTTGCAAAGGCGTTGTTGTTCTGTAATCGTTGGAAAATTCATTGTACTGGGCCTCGAAGCTCGTTTGGAGAACACCAGGCAAGTTATACTTCATGTTGGCGTGAAGGTAGGATCTGAGCCTCCTTGTGCCCACATTATAATAAAACCCATAGTTATACATGACGCGCTGCTGCCTATCTTGGGTGAGGTGGCTGAAGATAAGCGCTCTGGTCGAATCTTTTATAGCCTCAAGCCGCTCTTCAAGGTGTTCATAGGGGCCGTCATAAGACCGTGTAGAGACCGTAGTGCTGTTAAAGAAAGATATCAATGTTGGTATGCTTAACCTCTTCCAATTGCCGTTTTCCTCCAACGGGCCAATCAGGGCCTTGTCAGGTATGTTTCGGAATAACTGAATCGCGACATCTTCTATCGTCAAGTTGGCGTCCCATACGTCCAGGAGGCTAAGCGCTCGGCGTGTAGCGAAACGTTGCTTCTCATACGTAGGAGTGCCGAGGAAAGTAGGAGACATGATAGGTTCGACATCAATGCTATGTCCAGTCTTGGCCTCGATAGCGGCAGCCTTGAGAGCTGCGTCAAGGTTTTGCACTCGCTCTTCGAGATCACCAAATCTCCTTTCGATAGAGACGAGCATTGCTATCCGCGCATACAGCCTTTCAGATTCCGTCAATGTTCGTTTGCTTAACTTGGTGTTATCTTCAGGAGAGATAACAGCATCGGTCTCTCCAGATGCTGACGCGAGCTGTTCCGATGTATCGGAGAGCACCGAGGGCAATAATGATTCATCCTGTGCCTCAAGCTGCGCAGCCATGTGACTCATTACTGCCTGTAATGATGTTGCCGCCGTAGCATATTTCTTTTCAGTTTCACCAAATATTTCACTGAAAGGTAGCCAGCAGATGTTGATGATTTGGTGCAGACTCTGCAAGAGTCTCTGAACCACTGCTACCGTATGGGCACTAATGGCCCATGTAAGATATGTCTTGAAATTCTCGAAATTGTCCACTATGCCAGTGAGCAATTTCCGCGCGCTGGAGAAGTCGGCCGTGGCCAGGCAACCCCTGAGAAGTTCATGCAACGTATGAACTGGGAGCGACGCACCATGTCGAAGGCAAGCCACAAAAGTCATGCATGCAATCCCAACATCTTCGTGATACAGCCATCCCTTAATGAGATGATTGAAAGTAGCATTCGTCCTTTTTGCTCCTGCTTTCCATCGTTTTCGAGATGACCGATCTCTCTTCATTTCGTACATCTCGTCACATACAGTGGCAAGATGCAGCCCGTCCTCCCTCCCTCCTCTCATCTTTTGTACAGCTTCACGGAATCCTTCTTTCCCACCAGGTCCTCGGTAATGACTTAGTAAGCAAATGAGGGTTTGGTCTGTAGCAGGCCATGCTGTTTCGTCTAGGTAAGAATCAATAACAGCTTGAGCAAGATCGGGGCGTTGCATCCGGTTGAAGCCGACGATTAGGGTGTTGTAAGTATGAATAGTGGGTGGCACGCCAACTGTCAGAAGATTATAAGATATCCTGCCCACAGTTTCTCGCGGTGTGACTGCTTGGTGGAAGATGCGACGTATTGACCTATTCAGACAACCTCGTATGTGCCAGGTATAATCGGGATCTACAGTGGGAAATTGGTAGCCAGGAAAGTCCTGCTCGCGTCTGAGAATCTCGAGCTCCGCGAAGATGTTATCTTCGGCCTGGTTAGTGGGCTGCGCCTCATCTTGCGCCCGACGACTTGAGGGTACCCGAGTCAGCCTGAGTAAATTGCCGACAAGACGGAGAACGGTTGTAGTTGTAGCTGCCAAGGACTGGTGGCTCAGAGGCTCCCGAAGCTTGATAGAGGGATTGAACTCTTCGATAACTATGGCAGCTTCGACATTAACCCAGTCCACCTGCTTTTCCAACCATGATTGGCGGGCAACGGGTCGAAAGGTAAGGTTGCAGAGAGACTTGAGCTCCTCGAGAAGAGGACGAACGGACTTATCACCCTTCCAAGGCTGCAGACAACCCGACAACTCGCTGGAAAGCGTCCCCGCTGGAACTGTCCCAAGCGTCGCAGCGTGTTCCTCATCAGTTGTTTCCTGACCAGGGCAGACATTTAATTGCGTTAGTGCGGCTCTCGCGCGGCTCAATTCTCCGTCCAGCTGTTCTCGTCGTTGGTTTTTGCGGTGGGCGTCGATGAAAGTTGCGGTGCCCAAGATGGTAGTATAGCAGGCGGTAAAAAGATCGGCACCGGTAACTCTCCTCCTCGAGGCGGCGGTAGTTGTACGTCTCGTCAAGGCGTTCGTCGAGTGTAGGCAGATCCGACAGCGACAGGCGGACTGCGCTTGAGCAGCACGGGACCACAAGGTTTGCATAATTCGGGCATATCGTCGGGGCTGCCAACAGGGCCGATTGACCATGTGAGGCGGGTATCTCGATCAATTGACCATGTTGAACGGGTGGAAGGTTGAATAGAGTGTTCGAGCGTGGAGTATCGGCAACAGAGAGAGCATCACGATACCTAAGAGATGTTTGTGAGCCCGCGCAATTAAGTTCCTTAGTCCCGGGCGATGGGTTGTGATGATGATCCGATCGACCCACACTTGCCGGAGGTTAAGTACAGTAGGTACCTACAGGCAGACTACAGGCTACAGTACTCCCCTAGCACAGCTCCTTAGGGCTGCCAGCCTGCCACCCAGCTGCTTTCGGCCGGCTATTTACAGGTGCCTGGGGCACTTATCAAGTGCCTACCTAAATGAGCATGTCGCTGATGAAGCCGTTGGCATAGTTAACTGCCTGAGAGCTCCCCATCGTTCAACGCAAACGCAATTTCTTCTTCACTCTTGTAGCTTACTTACACAACAGTCAGCTGTTGGTTACTACGCTAAAGTCGCAATGTATGCGTTGACTTTGACAGCTGAGTTGAATGGGTATGTTCAAATCCCACCGGCGCATCTGTGATAAAATAGCTCTGCCCTCTAATAAGCAATCGCAATGACAGAGTGACCAACCTGCGGCCAAAGGATACCGACGCGAGCCCGTTCTGGTATACCTTTATGGTACAATGCACATCCTGTCGGGAGACGCATGGCAATGCAGTCTCAGTCAGTCGATTTGTAGGTTATCACTGAAATTATACCTATATCTCCTCCCGGGGGTTCATCATACTTACCATAATCCCTGCAGGAGGAGAATGAGTTGAGCGGTAGTCGAGGCGAGGCCAACTTTGTATGGAGGTGTAAGAACTGCAAGGTTTGTGTCAACCTCTTTTTTGTAATTTTCCGTATTCCCTCGCTAATCTAAAATGGATTTCAAAGAGAGAATCGTCTTGTTCCATCAAGATGGCTCCAAAGCCATACGAACAGACAGAGCCCCCTAAGCAACAGACAGTGATAGAGTTTGACTGCAGGGGTCTAGAATTTACGGCTTTCTCGCCCGAGGTAAGTCTTTGAGAACCCACGCCCTATCTATACGTCTACAAAGTACTGATTTGAAAAATCAATTTCAGGGTGAGTGGTTGGCAGATGGTATTGATTCTGGAACCAAGTTTGAAGGCATAGAGTTCCAAGACGGCGAGTGGTTCGATTATGATGAAAAGGCCAACGATGAGGTTAGCATCAAGGACCTAAAGTGGGATATCAAGAGGGCATGATGAGGCGTCTTAAATTTATATCATGGCAAGGCCTAACTATACAACAACCAGGCCGAGGGAAGTCTAACGTAGGTATGAATGTGTTCTCTTCTTGACAAATGAGGTCGATGCCGTTGCACTTCCCCGCCTCACATTATGCCCACCAAGGCCAGTGCATATTCAGCATCAGCGAGTTATCTAAGAACCCAGAATATACCCTGTCACTTAGATATTTGTCCGGATGAGTTCGAAGAAGCGACCTCATGCATTTGACTGTAGATTTAATGAACTAGGACTATTATATCTAAATTTAAACCGTACGCCTTGGCTCGAAGTCGGCATATCAAAGTTAATACACAATACAACAACACCGCAAGCTGCTGGCATAGTGGGGCACGGTACCCAGGAAGCTATCTGGCCAATCAAATGCCAGACTCAACCCTACCAGTTTAGAGCTTTTAGGTCAAGTTCCATCCTTCTCTCACATTCATCTCTTCAGCCTCGACCGCTTCTAGCTAACACGCGCCGCAAACCTCACGTTCACCAAGCGCGACAAGGTCATAAAATCGCCCACAATGAGTGTGAGAACCTGTCCACCATGTCCGAATTCACCAGCCCCAGCTAACCCTTTAATCACAGTTTATGCCCGTTAACCCGAAGCCTATGCTTCAAGAGCTGTACGTCGCCCGCCTCCTTTCCATTCCTCCAGCCAGCTTCGCCGATACGAAAAAGAAGACATTCGCCAGGTTACCACAACTAACAATTACGTATAGAGTCAACAAGGACATCGTGGTGCGGCTCAAGTGGGGCGAGACCGAGTACAAGGGCCGCCTGGTGTCTATCGACGGCTACTTCAACATCCAGCTGACCAACGCACAAGAGTACATCGACCAGAAGTTCACGAGCGACCTGGGGCAGATTCTCATCCGATGCAACAACGTCCTGTGGATCAAGCAGGCCGATAAAGGGGATGTGCAGATGGAGGGCTAGGGGATTCCTACACGGTTAATATATCTATTTTCCAATGCTTAAAAAAAGAGGGCGAATCACGCAAAACTTTGATCAACACGCAAATGAGACATGGGCTTCGAGGATGGAACTAGGTGCACTTTCTTAGTATGGAATGGTTGGGGAGAGAGAGGTTATGAAAGCGGTAAAGATACCCCGAGAGCAATCATGGTGCGAAAAAAAAAAACGAAACGAAACAAAAGGGCAAAATTAGGATCAAAAAGTGTGAAAACGCGTATATGGACAGGCCTGATTCCGAATCGATATTGGAGATGGGCGAAGAAGGGAAAACATTTGCTACAAGCGGAATGTCATCAATTCGCCAATCTACCCACAGGAAGAATGTGAAGATAGGAGAATAGGATTAGGACAAAGGCTGTCTTGACTCTCCGGTTTCTTCTGAGCAGGGGACGGAGGGGACGGGCAAAATCAGCGTAGAGACAGGGTAGGTAGATACCTAGCCAGCATGATACTACCGGCTGTCTCCCGTTTCACCGAAATCTTGACCTATCTCAGCTTATTCGCCAGCCTTAGACATTCAAGAGAGCCCGAGCCAACCAACAGCTATGATCCATAGTATATATCCCATTGTTTTTGACCGGCCCCGTCTGAAGAAGAAGGGGGCTTCGCATTCGCAAAGTTTCCAGCTCCCCTTTTAACACTGTCTACGCGCTATGTGCATTCATATTCGTGACTCATGCCTTTTTGAATAGCTCTCTCTCTTTTTTTTCTTTTTTCCCCCTCTTTTAAACCCGTTTTACATCTCAAATCCTCATTACATCAAGCACGCCACCTTCCGACTACTGCAGAAATCAGACCCCGCGACCTTGACCCTCTCCGTCTCCGAAACCCACCGGAACGCCTCGACCATCCACTCGTACCATACCTTGGTGTCGTCCGTCTGGCGCCACATCGTGACCTCGAGTTCGGAGTCAGAAGGGAAGTATAGGGGTTGCTGGGGAGGAATGGAGCATTAGTAATTCGGTTTAGGAATATGGTGCCACGAGATGCAGTAAAGTGAGTTGTTTATATGGACGGCAGAGCAGTCACAAGTAGAAAGAGAGGGGGCGGAGGGGAAAATAGAATGCCAACTCACCTTCAAAGGGAAAAAGATAGGAAACCAAGATACCATGTCCTTGCTCTTACGATCGATTGCCTCAGGCAACGTGCTCAGCTCCACCATAGGCCTATCACCGTTGTTATCCTTCTCCTCCTCGACCTGAGATTCGTACAGCACTGCCTCGAAGTACCCCGCAAGCCCGTGGATCACACCGCGCGAGCGACACACGAAGGTAAGGTGGCACTCGCGCGCGTTATGGTCGTTTGCGCCGACGCCGCCCGCCATACTTCCTCCGCCTCCGCCCACTACGCCTCCGGAGCGTCGCGCGGCGACGGCGTCCATGGTGCTCTGCGGTAGCGGGTGCGCGAACTCCCACGCCTGCTGGAAGCGCGCGTGGTCGGGTACGCCGCGGGCCGCGACGAAGTCGAGCGCGAACAAGCGCACGACCCATGGCGTGTCGAAGGCGTTGGCGCCGTCGGCACCGCCTTGCTCGGACCGGCTCTTGATGTCGGCGTAGAGACGCGGCGTCGAGATGGGGCTGACGTGCGCCGTGTACGAGCTCGGGATCGAGATGCCGTGGTCCGGCGCGAGGACGTGCTGGATGCCGTCTAGACATTCAGGCGACAGCTCGTTGTCGCCGAAGGAGCCCAGGAGCTCAGAGACGAGGATGTCGACTTTGCCGTGTGTAGCTTCTGCCGAGGACGATGAGGTCAAGGGGCCTTTCCAGGCTCGCATGTCTGTCTTGACTACCGTCACACGCCCGTTCCATACTGTTTTGTTCTGCCGGAGCAGGTATACGTATGCGTTTGGGTTCTTCTCGACCGCCCAGACTTTGACTGGGACGCCGGTGGTCTCGCTTGCACGGAGGGCCCGCGTCACGAGCGGCCCACGGCCGGAGCCTGCTACTGCGATTACCACGCCGTCTGGGGAGGACGTGGGTTTCTTGAGCTCGGACCATTCCCTCAGCGCTTCTTCAATCGCCAGCTCGTATTGGTTGTACTTGACTGGATCCCCCTCGAAGACCTCATACGTGATGCTCTCCAGGTTGTCCGAGAGAGGCTGTAGAGGGGATTGCAGCCAGTCTTGGAAGTTAGTCAGGGTGTTCAGCTCGAGCTCTGAGTATGGCTCTTGGTGCCTCTCGAGGTGGCGGAAGTACGCGAGATATTCGTTATGTCCCTGTATCCTGCGCTCGCCCTTGGAGGACTGTGTTGCTGCATCCGATAGAGTCGGGAATTCAGATGCTGATGAGGTATCCATTCCATGTTCCGCTGCAGGATCGTCGTAAAGCTCAGGCCCTACATCGCATAGAAGGAAGTAGGGGGCGTGCTTGAGGCGCATGTAAGTATGGATCAGCTCTTGATGCGGCCGACCGAGAGAGGGATGGCCAGCCTTGTTTGTCTGGAATGTGGAAGGACTGTATGTTAAGTATTGGATTGGCTCGGAGAACCATCTCATCTGTAACTCCTTGGGTGGTAGCGCCCGAGGTACTCTCAGGGCTTAGAAAAAGGGGGTCGAGTCAGTTACCAACTATATTTGGGAGCAAGGAGAATAAATGCATCGATTTATGCGCAGAACAGTTGTGCAAATCCCAAATCAGACTCCCTAATGGAACACTTACCGACGAAAAGTCTAGCATCGTACTCGCATGCTGTGCGTATCACATGCCACGAGTCCCAAGTAGTAAAGATATCAATGTCCTCGGCGGGTTGCGGTTTTCCTTGGGATTGCTTTAGAATGGATAGTTGGGCAACCTTTTCCTCTAGGCCAGGTTCGCGGTACATGGGCAAGTGAATAATGAGATGGACACGACTGCCGATCAAAAGAGCCTCTTGTATAGCTCTAGCATATTGAGCGATACCTCGGCCATTGCCGGCCTGTATGCTATCCTGCCGAGGGCCCGGGATGATGATGCTGCGCACACCACAGAAGTTGGCATAATCGACCTCGAGGTTGAGCACCTGTCTTGATATGCTGGCAATAACGTGATCTGGAGAGCACAGATCAAGCCAAGGGCTAGCATAACCAACGAAACCACTCGTGTACACTTCTGGGAAGAGGTTAGTGTCCTCGGGAGTCAAGGACGTCACAATGGGGTCTACGCGTGACCCGGGCTTTTGCTGGCCATTAGCTTGGGACAAAGTGTCGTCGACAAGCTTCAGTATGCGCTCGTGGAAGTGAGTGTTCGTAATAGGTGTGGTGACAAAGCGGAACTGTGGCTCTGTCAGATGGCCTGCAGGGATGGAGACAGTGAAGGGAGAGAGAGCACTTACACCGGTGTTGAGGACTTGGCCGTATTGCAGATTGGTGAGGGTTTCAACGCGGGTCGAGTCATGTTGACCAATATGAAATGCCGGGCGAATGTCGTCGGCACCGTTGTCGCTGTCTCGACTAGAATACTCTTGCGCCATGGTGACTGATGTCCGCCTACACCTGAGATAAACTAAATAAATATAAATAATCAAAGATAACCATGAATATTCCCAATTGAATTATCACGGTTCTGGAACTGTGGTGCAGGGCTTGGCAAACGAACGAGGTGCTCAGACAAAAAGACCCTGGAAGAGTCGTCGTTAAAGAGCGGAGATACTGGCTAGTCACAGGACATGGACAGGACTTGTAGCGAAAACCAGCAGAAGTTTTAAAATGGTATCTCACAAAAAGAGATGGAGATGGAAAGTTACAAGGGATATATCCTGGCCGCAGCCTATTTCACCACTGAAAATCATATGAATGGAGGTGGTTTATCTGCATTGGTAGAAGGGTAAAAAAAATATTTATTTTAGTTAAGATGCTACCCCAAGCGATCCTGCCTGCCCGTCGACCTACATTCCCATGCACTCACGCTTCCGAATCCAACTATTCCTTAGCTTAGGCTGACTAGCTACAGCCAAGAAATCAGCATTCTACTTATTTCAATACGAAGTGAATTTCTAATTTTCCAGCTGCTCCTCAAATATCTGCAGGCGAAGCTCCAGATATCTACCTACTGAACCACATGTGCAGGGACTGGCCGTGGTGGGGTAGGTAAGTTTTCGGGAGGAAGATACAGGGGGGGGGGGGGGGGGGGTAGAGGGGTTTAGGGCTACCCCACGCAGCTTGTGCCTTGCACTTAAGTAATCTGCCTGAAAGTAGGTACCTATACAAGGTATACAAGTACTAGGTATCTTTGCCCCTCATTTGAGGTCCCTGGTGCCATACTATGTAAGCAAGTTGGTATATGTACTAGGTATACATGTACAGTACCTATATACCTAACATATCCTAACATATCTCGGGTGCCTCGCATTCCAAAATAAAATCACTTCATCCAATCTCACCATTGCCCAAAATGAACCGGCGCATGGTATGAAAAACATGCAGTTGCCCCCTGGTTCGCAATTCAGCTGACCGACTGTCTCCTAGCTCACAAAAGACGACGAGGCGACCGCCGGTGACGAGGTCCAAGTTCGCCGCGAAGACCAAGATAAGATCAACAAGTTCAGTCGCCTCCACCAACGGGAGCTGAACTTCGAGGAAGAGCTCAAAGCAAAGAATGTACGGACGCCAGCCACCGAACTATGACCATGACCATGACCGTACCCAACCCAGCATAGCGAGTAACGACCGAAGGCTAACCGACCGCTCGAACACATAGAAAGAGAAAGAAGAGCTTGACGATGTAACACTAGAGCTTGAGTTAGCCGACGAAGATGAATTGGTGCCGTGAGTGCATGCGCCCGAGCCCAGCCACTCGTCATCTGTTGGTGTTATTGTCTAGGCATAGCTAATAGTTTCACCGTTCGCCAACGTCTAGATACAAGATTGGCGATGCCTTCTTCCACATACCCTTATCACAAGCTCAAGAGATGCTCGCCTCGTCGACATCGCGGATAGACGACGAGGTTTCGGAGCTGGAGGACAAGATAGGGTCCACGAAAGAGGAAATGCAGCAGCTCAAGGTTGAATTGTATGCTCGCTTCGGAAGAAGCATCAACCTCGAGACCTAGACACGACCATCGACATGAACGAACGAATGGCACACTAGAAATTTATATCGGTGACGACGATATCGGCGACTCAAGTCAAATGGAACAATTGAGGGATAGGGCTCATGTTTTGCAGCCATAAACACGGGCAAAATATGGCAGCAGGAGATTCCAGCATCACCAGTGTGTAGTGCCAAATATGCTACATAATGGCAACTCAGGCTTGGCATCGGTATCAGATGAATAAGGGGCTGTTGTGGACATCGAGAACAGGATACGCCCCAACCAATGAGTTAATGGTACCCTGTTCTTACTTGGTTGCCCAACAGATACAGCGAGGTGTATTAAGTGGTAATTGCATGGATTACCTAGATAATTACCTAGATAGGTATGATCTCAACCATGTGACGCAGGATTATAAAGATATATGCAAAAAAGATAGATAATATTAAAAGCCCCCAGCCTTTGAACTGTTATGTATTGTATATTGATGGAGCTGTCTCGAAGGTGTGACAACAGACGTTGATAGGTATTTGCTTCCATGTTCGAAGTAGCCGCAACCTTTATAGCATAAATCTCATCCTGCTTTGCTTTTCATAGATGCATAATATTAGAAACAAGGAAAGGACTCATGACAACTTGCTCACAACAGAAGAAGCACCAAATCTCCCCAGCATTTGGTTTCAATTATAGTAAGGCGGGGCTGGCCAAGCATCTTATGAATGCATATGGCGGTGGCTGCGTGCGCAAAGCCGGCGGGACGGACCGGAGAGTGACTGACTTTTCGACAGCATCAATGAGCAGAGTTAGATTAAGCTTCTTTGCCCTGTCGATATCTCGATTCGAGGTTTTTTTTACGAATTGAAGTCATGCAACGAATGAACATGGTGCTGTATCCAGATTTGTGAGAGTGTACAACTTCTTCAGGTCATTACGCTAGATATTCCAAGTAGATAGACGCTAGAACTCTGCTAGAAGGAATAGAAGGATTGTGATTAGTTAAGATTGACGTTTCAGATCTGCAAGGTACCAAACATAACCAACCCTATTCTGCCCTATGCAATCTCACCATCGGCAAACTACCTAGCAGAATTGGTCCTGAACTAAGGATCCTGGAAGACAATGACATGCCGATGATGTCATAGCATGAACAGCCCTACCAAATATCCTGCCAAAAATCTTGTCTATTTCCAACTTGTCATGTTAGTCTCATATGGCATTACCCTACAAAAACGTATCAAAGCCAGCGTCGCATTCTGTTTCCGTCACTCTCCACTTCACCCAAGCTACCTAATAGAAGGCCTTCCATCAACCAAATCTCGACCCAAACTGCCCATTGCGCTTCAGGGGGTTTAATAACAGACGGTAGGAACTTCACAGGCATAACGCCATCTAATTCGTCGCTCTCAAGAACCCATTGGACGAAATTGGGTGAAATCGGCGCAATCAGTGTCGAACCAAATATCCATCGTCAGCTTGAGCCAAGTAGGCAGTTTGAGTTGTCGTAGCTCCCATTTTGCTGTCGTCATAAGTCCAAGGGCTCGGTGGTGGTGCGCGGGTTGGGATTCGCTTTCTTTGTCATTCGCAACCCTACCTTTATCGTACATACTACTTCATTACGCGATCCCTATATGAAATAAGCGGCAATGGCTCTACGACAACTATTGCCAATCAGCCTCTTTGCAGCCCAGGTCATCGGTGCTGCGCATCCTCTCATCACCCCAGCGCCGAGCTTAGAGGACCGCGATCAAGCTCTTGCACGACGGGATTTTGATCCCGCCAGTTATCTCGATAGCGTCTTCAGTGGACTAGGAAGCGATGTCTCGAGCTTCATCGCATCAGGCGTCCCCCAATTCTTCCAGAATCTCCCAGTTGGTGACCGCGTAGAAGAGGAACTTGGAATTGACGACGACGACCTCAAAGCTACGCCAACTCAGGTTCTCAACGTCCCCGGGTACGCGAATTGGACCGATGATGGGTGGAACGTCCGAATACACGGAAACGTCTACAAACAGCCCAATATCAGTCAAGAGAAGCTCGACGACCTAGCCAACATTTTCCTCATCGGTGTGGATATCGATGAACTCCCGGAGGATCAGCAAAGGAACGCCCGCAACTTGACGGCTTCGATATTTGTCGTGCAGCAGGACAACGTGAGCGTCACCGTCAACTTCCAAAATGATGTGGAGGTTCACCCGGACGAGAGTGGCGGTGTCATTAATGCCAAGGGGGGTGCGCAGACCATCGATCTGCCGTACAACACGACATTCGAAGGAGATTTCGACGCGTGGTTGACGCTCCGAAATACAACGGGATCTGGTGGTGGCCACTTGATTGCTGGAAACGCCACTGATCGGATTCAAGCGCTCAATGTGGTATGTATACTCCCAACCCCCTTTCTTTTATTTCTTACATTAGCTCCTCCTTTTTTGAATTTATTTTCTCAACAACGAGTACTTCAACTAACGACCATATTAGTACACGAATGGCACAGACTCTGGCAATGCCACTGCCTACCTGGTTCCCCCAACCGGGTTCACTATTGTCTCAGATATAGACGACATCCTTCGCGTCACTAAGATCTACGATCCTAAAGAGGGTCTTCTGAACTCTTTCGCGCGGCCCTTCACGCCCTGGGAGAACATGCCCGAGATCTACGCCAACTGGTCAGCGACAATTAACAATTTCCACTTCCACTACCTCACGACGACACCCGAGCAGGCCACACGCAACTACATGGATTTCATCTACAAGACGTACCCGCTCGGCTCCTTCGACACGCGGCCGCTCAACTTCTCGGACGTCTCGGCGACTCTCGCGATCCGCCGGGCCCTGCTCGACAAGATCTTCCAGACGTTCCCGCAGCGCAAATTCGTGCTCATGGGGGACACCACTAACTCGGACGTCATGAAGGATTACCCGCAGCTCGTGAAGGACTACCCGGGCCAGGTCCAGTGCATCTTCCTGCGCAACACCACCGCCACGGACCCCACGGACCTCTTCCCCTACGACACCTCGGGCTTCGAGGACGTCGACGAGAAGCAGTACATGTTCTTCGTGCACCCCGACGATCTGCGGGATGTGGACATCGTAGGCGGCAACTGCCGGAACCCTGCCGTCGTCCAGAATGTCACCTTCGGATACCAGGGCCGCGGCTTCGGCAACGAGCCTGACTCTGCGGGCAGTGCGATTGAGTGGACGTGGAGTGTGCTTTGTGCCGGACTTCTTGTGGCGCTGGGTCAGTGGGTGTTGTAATGGGGAGAGAGTTGGTTGTTTTGTATATGAAGATATGAGATTATGGTTATGAAATTACTTTGGTAAAACCTATGTCCTTTGTAATACCGTTAGTGAGTATGAATATTATTCATTAAATTTTGAAAAGACGACGTAGGAGTTGAAGTCTAGGTTTATACGTGCTGTGAAAACAGAGGCCTTACCTCGGCTTCACCAGCATTTGTTCTCTCTTAAGATATGAGGTGTGTGATTTTGACGAACAAGTTCATTCTTCATTGCATCTGATGTATGAGTGTGTTCTGACCGTCAATTGTGGCTCTTATCTCTGCGGAGGAGTATTCACTTGCATGCGGATAGATATATGAGATCACGGATCTCATTACAGCCTCGCCGCTTTGCTCTCGCTCTATCACGCACTCGTTACCTACACAACACCCATAGGCTCTTCGGTCTAGTAACGAGAGCGGTCTGATATAATAGAAATTGACACCAAAATCTAAGAGCAGTATCTCTTAAATTTCCTCGTTTGGAACGAGTCTCATCTTGCACTGCATTTTTGGCCTCGCTCGGCCGGATTCGATGAGCGGCCCAATGCTACATATGAGGTAGCGAGCTTACCGAGGTTGCAGTCCAAATTCCAAGAATAGCACTGCAATGCCAGTCCCTCTCGGCAACATTGAGGCTCGTAACACAACTGCTAGGGCGAGTTGATATGCTGCTATTCGTTGTTTCGAACACATGGCTTCGGCTTAAATCACTGAGCTTGCCGAGGTGACATTTGCACTGCATTTTTAGCCTCGCTCGGCTGCTTATAATGCGTAATCCTTTGCCTAGATAGCGAGCGTGTCGTAGACTAATCAGCTGTGGCAACAGCATTTTGACAAAACTTATAAACAAATGGGAAGCGTGAAGTGAGAACTGCAGATATATATGAAATTAGGATGGGTCCACCCACAAGCTAGAGTGTTCGATGGAATGAGCAGATGTTGGGTGTCAAGTCTATATCCAAGCAAAGACATGATGACGAGTATAGAATGTCACGAAGATAACTTGATGCCAGCTAGATCAGAGACAAAATGATAGTTATGTGAGGACAGCCAAGTGAAGCATCCTCAAGTGTGAGAGGATTAGATGAAGCGAGGAGAGAGAAGCGGCGCTCTTTGATTACGACTTTTGCCCCTTAGCTATCTACAGAGTATCAGTGCATGACTACTGGATGCAAGAATAGCTCAATTTCCTCTCGAGCATATTGCTTTCTTTCCATTCCCATCTCTCCTATCTTACTCCTCAACCATAACCGTACGGTTCAAGGGTGACGTCTATACTACCCGCTTACCAGCGTCCAAGCTCCTCTTTTCAATGTGTAAGTATGTATAAGCCGCCTAGCATGTATGCGCCCTGAGTGGCTCACTCGTGTTAGTTTGACATGGTTACCAGTGTGATTAGAGCCTAAACTGGGTAGCTAGAAGAGAATGCCATCACAATACACAGAGCCTTAGAAGTCTGTGACTTTCATGTGCTTCTCTTCACTTCTGACAGTGTACTGCACGTCAGGGAAGGATCGCGACGACATTTCGCTCTTCTAAAGATATCAGCAAGACATAACCGTGGAATTCACATCCACTATCGGCACCAGCTCCAAAATAAGTGAGACATTCGTTCACCCTAGTTACCAGCTCTGCATGAAGGGAAAAGTCCATATACAATAGTACACTTGGGGAAAGTTAGTATCATTATGGCCCTACACCCCTAAGATGTGAAGACGTTGGATCGTAGTTTGCACTGTTTGTGGTTTCAGGGACACTAGGGAGCCGAGTGACAGAACATTGAGATTGCTAATTCAGGGATGAGTGTCTCGGTGATTCGATACTATAATCTGGCTAGCCAAGAAACTACATATATGGGCGTCTGAAGTTAAGACATAGGGCACAGCCATCTAACTAAGCTAAGTACTTAGGTAGAAAAGCCGGTCTTTGACCCCTTGCAGTGCTGTAAGGGGTTGTCATGTTTGTGAAAACTCACGGAGTTGCGTACGTGCGACCTGGCTTCTGGCCTAGGGAGCTTGCCGTTGCGAATTGAGCGAAATCGTAGCACTTCGTTTGCGCACTAGCATACGAAGCTAGGTGAAACAATTAAAGGGCAGGTATTTCTGTGTCACATATGCGCCAGTCGGTTGGTGAACATTTGACGTCTCGTTTGTAAGAGCACGTCATATGAAAAGCCTCAACCCGTAGGCTCACCATTTGTGCGCCTAGAGCCCCGCCGCCGATTGACGGAGATCCGGTAAGGGGCTACGGGCATGCGCAAGGAAGACACGGCCGGGTGCAGCTTGTGTGGTGCAACCGTCGGTGCCACGAGGCATCAAAGCAAACGAAAAGTAAGTAGAAACCTCACTGTACGAGGTACTGAAACTGTGGCCTTGCTTTCAAGGTCTTCAAAGTTGAAGTTCAAACTAAGGTCGCGGGACCATCAATCGCCCATCAGTAAGGAAACAGAAGGCACTTCTCGTACCGCGTGTTTAGGATATCCGTACAGCATCGGGCTTCTGCAGTTCACAAGTCGATATCATCGTCCGGCGCTTTCTCTCCCTATCGATCAGCCCTGTCGCAATATTAGCAGTTCCACGCGAAAATTACCGTTGCCATGTCCACTCTCAACGACGAAGAGTTCGGCGAGTTCAAAAGGGCATACGAGGTCCGTGTGCTGCCGGCCATCATCCAAGCCCTCGACCAAGCGAATATTGTCGGCGGACAGGTACTTGTCCAAAGGAGGAAGACTATTACTATTGTTACACGAGAGGAGGCACCGCCTAGTCTCAAGAGCCAGATCGAACAGGTAGTGGCTGCACAGCTCCGCGAGGACATCCGCGCAAAGATATCTCTAGAATTTGCGACGGGGCATCTGGTGCATAGTTGAGGCTATAAACGTATGTATAAAGAGTTTGTCCGGCGACAGGTATTATCTCGGCCGAGGGCAGGTAGAACCAAGAGAGCAGCCATTCATCCTCGGTTGTCAGTTCGTAGCCGGGTAAATGGAGATAATGTTTAATTAGTGAAACATGTTGACCCATCTCATCCAAGATATGCTTGCTCTATGAGATGGGATATAGACAACAGAAGATCATATCTGCGGCTATGCCTTCCGCTTCTGATGAGATAAGTCCAGCGAGGTGTGGCTCTTGAATCAATGCTGCTTCGCAATAGATCACCCAAGATGGTTTACCGTAAGGTCGGCGGCCCATCGTGAGAACGGAAGTGAGTCGCTTCCGGGCAGGTGCATGTGTTCGGCTGATGTCTTACTCGCGACTAAACCCCAGGTTGAAAGCCTGCCGAGTGAGTTGATATTGATGCACGATGACCCAGTTGGGTGTTGGCAGTCTCGTCTTTCCAAAGCACCAATGTAAATGAGGCAAGTGGTGAAAAACTTGGCACAAACAATCTTCAGAACACGACCCCAAACAGTGCTGATAGACAACACTCGCCGCCGGTCGTGTATGGCCATGGAGCACATCTAGGCGCCTTAGAGATGTAACCCTCTATGTCATGTTGACGTTAGTATCCCCAGTGGCGCCAGTCCCGCTCCCGCCGTTGCTCGAACGAGGAGGAATAATATACGAGACGTCGATGTCGTTTCACCATTCGGCGTCTAGCGTAGGACCCTCACTGACCCTCACTTGGCTCTCCACAGATGGTCAAGACAAGCCCGTCCGCCGAGCGCGCTGTATTGCCATATCCACTGGATCCGCAGGTGCCTTAAGCCTTAAGCGACGGTTGTTGTTGAGGCCATCGTGATGGAATGTCTAGATGAGATTGAATATCCGCGCAAACCACCTCCCGCCTTTAGCTGCAGACTGGCCTGACCTTGAGTACAATAAGATATCGAGGAGAGTGAACGCTACTATATTTATTTCCGTTTCCTACATGTACGCGCGAGCGAGGTGGAGGCAACATGGAAGTATTGCTGCAATTTCATATCAACTACTAATGCGACGCGGCAGGCCACGTGCGATTCAGATTGACAAATTAGTAGCGCTTCCTACCCTTGTCCCATGACTCGCTCTATGGAGCCATTCTACTAAGCCGATGTGCGAAAGCTTCGACTACTTGCTGTAGTCTACCGGTAGTCGTCTGCTGTAGCTTGTTTATCACTACACGTGGCACAAGATTGATGCCAAATGATACGATATTGAGTGACAAGGAGCAGTGCGGTTGGTAGTGTTCGTTAGCTCGGGCTTAATGAGATACGACAGCCGTCTATTGATTCTACTCTAAGGATACCTAGCTCCCCATCGCTTCAGTCGGTTAGGAATATTCCTCCTCCCGTCGAACAGTGTACCATTGGTTCAACGAACCGACAAGGGTCATGGCAAGCCCATTGCCGGGCATAACGTTTCGCCATGATGTAGTGTACGTCGTACGTCGTAGTGTGGTGGAAGGACGGTAGGTAACAACGACAAATCCTCACTACTAACCGATACCCGTCTTACCTCGCATGTTTTCTCCACCAGCAATGGAACTAAACACTGTTGTAATGTCGGACCGCTGCGTTCCGCCCATAACATGTTGCGGGCATCTGCCAACGTCAGCTAGAATGTTCCCGCAGCTTGGCAGGTACACGGGGACCTGGCTCCTGGCAAGGTGTCGAGCATGACAAGATAATCGAGCGCAGGTACACCGGCTTATAATCTCGGGGCCCTATGTCTACCGCGCTCTTAACCTAGGTGTTGGTGTATTGTCTAGATCATTGGTAAGTCAACAATTTAGAGACGTGAGAGGAGCATGAGGGCGTATATTCTAGAAGGTACTCAGATAAGTAGGAGAAGCTTCAAGAGCTTCCCCCCTGTCAGAGCAGCCATCCTGGTCTCGGTGGGTTCGGGTTGTGCTTCTTAATTTGGTTTTCGTCCAATTCCTGGATCCGGGGTCCGCCCAGCGGAGGGTATTGATGGCACACGAGCCTACTTTCAGTATACCTATTCGAATGGAGAGGTTATGCCAGTGTTGCGTTCCGTAGGATCTAGACTATGTAGCGAGATACCGGACAGACGAACCATTTCTACTCAGCCCATGATGGAGCGGCTACGGTAGAGCGAGCGTCCACTCACCTATACATAAGATACGCGAAGTGTTTGGGCATGTCTCCCTCTTTGAGCTGTTACCATGGTAGCCCCTCATGGACCATGGACCATGGACCATGGATACGCTCCACCAAGCAATATGTATTCTCTGCATGAGTTTCTATCCTTGCAGCCGTTAGCAGGCCCATCCCAGCTTCCCGACCCAATGGTTCCCAATTCTGGAAAGGTAAAGCCTAAGGAAACCATGCACTTACACCACTTATCAAGTACCCCTGCGAGTAAGAAGCTGAAAATAAAATGACCAGAGCATCGTAGATAAATATTGTCGTTAGGTCCCCCATCCTCTTCCAGGTTGTTGCCTGGAGTGAATGAGCTGATATGATATCCATCGTGCTTGGTTCGCATGTCGAGATGAAGTAAAGTAGTTGGTTGATTAAGCCTTTCATCCGAGACCTAACTTCAATGGCTACTTAGACAAGTTCTCGCCAGCATTAGCGGATGCATATTTTCTCTATCGTCGCTGAGAATTTACATGCCGTCAAGTCAAAGCGGTGTTGTCATTGAACAGATTGGTAAGGACCGTATTAACATACATTATCCTCCTCAATACAATCCCACTGGTATCAGCTTTGCCATCTTCGTCGTCACCAAAAACATTGCCCACCAGAATTACTAGTTCTCGATCCGCACGAAGCTCATACTCAGGCGCCTCCTTGTTCTCACGCGACACACAAACTACCGATTGTCTTTCGTTCACATCTTATACGTCGAATCGTGCCAACTTGTTACGTCACCTTCCCTCGCTCCCTTTGGACATAGTTAGTTTTGTCGAAAGCTCTTCTCAGTAATTTGTGGCTGCTGTCGCACTTCCGGGGATAGCGTTCGTTGTCGGAATCCGAGCTTGAGCCTGGTTGTTGGCACCGTACCAATAATTGTTGGTGGTAGCCGTTTGGACGTTTTCTACTTCCACGGGAATCTCCGTACGGGTATAATACAGCACACCGTCTTCGACTCGGGGCACGCATCTCTCCTGTGAGTAATAAACCACGGGTGCTTGGGATGCCTCTGAGTCGGCTTCTCGCCCTTGGGCCTGGATATCCAATTGCTGGTCAGCATCATGTGGTTATTGTGGGATAAATCAATCTTTTCACTCACGCTACATTCAGCGCATGCGGTATTGTTTACATATACCCAGTTGGGGCACTCATGCGTAAGGAAGTACTTGCAGCGGTACTTGTAGAATCCGCCGCTGCCACTCATGTTGAGGTTCGTTTTCAAAACGCTTCTGGAAATGGGCCAAATTTCTACTCAAATTCCAGAGAAATTGTAAATGGGAAAACACGATCGTTTGATATGTTGAAGGTGTGACTGTCCGCTGACAGCCAAGCGGCGTTGAATGACTGAAGGACAGGAAGCGTCCAATCAGTAGAGCTTAGTTGTCAAGCTCTTGAAGTATAAATCGAGGTCGAAGGGGCCTTGCTACAGCGTAGTATGGCACCAGCGGAAAGAAAAAGCAAGGAGGTCGACATAGGGCACAGATGGGAGCATGCTGATATACTGGGGGCCTCGCCCAGGACACGCACGCATCGTGTCAACATGGATTGACACAGGTTACAGGTAGTGTACAATGCGTAGTAGACAGTGCCAGAACGCAATCCTGTAGGAACGAGTAACCGGAGCACTCTACCACGGCAATCATGAGAGAGGGGTGGCGGGACCATCACAGACTGGTCTTCTCGAATCGCGTTATAACCCAGTCCCCTTGAGAGATGGGTACGCTTAACAAACACCCCTGCCACATTTTCCGGCTGCACACCACTTGCTTCACGAGATCAATGTGACAAACATGGGGCCAAGCGGCAGGGCATGTGGAGACCTGCTGCCCAGTCCCGTAATGTGGACTGAAACATGAGATCATGTCTTAGTTTGCGATTTTTTTCTTCTTCTGGTCTTCGTAAGTTATTAAAATATTCTATATGCGGAGGTGAATGTTCAGTAGAAGCAACCTAAGACAAATTACCCCGTAATTTTATCTCGCTACCAGTTCAGCATCATATGACAGCGTCGGAGCTGGATGTTCATTCAGCAGTGGTGTTTTTTTTTTTTTTTTTTTTTTTTTTTTTTTTGTTGGTACCAGGATATCACAACCCCATCAAAAGAACCACATTATCCCTAACCTAGTATCTTACTATACACTACATTGCAATATGATGTACAATAAGCCTACATGTTACACGCAATACTCATAGATACAGGTCGATAAGCATCGAGCCGCAGCTTATTGGTTCCCCAACCCAACTGTCTGCTGTAGTTTGGGAGTGTAACCCAGCTTGTTCGTGCGCGCCTTGTAACCGCATTGAGGCACATTTGATACCTTCCTGAATATACATCTATAACCGAGAAGTGAAGCTTATGACCGATCTCGGCGAGCTGTGTAGAACTTTTAATAGAATCATCGCCGCCTTGGAGTCCAAGCTTTGGTAAATAATCCTTCACGAGGTCCAAGAGTAGAGTATACCTAGTGTAGCTAGTGTAATGTGCTACCGCATATTTACACTATGGCACGGTAGTTGAGAAGATATTTCCCGTTAGGTCCAGGGTCGCTACGCGTGTATAGTCTACAATAAGGCGCGATGCCTATTGTAGATCAACTCATGAATGCAGTGTACAAGACTGTGATACGTACGTAGGCACGCTAATGTAGCTGTGTCCAGGTATCCCTTGTTCACAGCTGCGAGTAATTCGCCCACTCGCACATGTAACCCTCGCACATTGGACGGTGCGATTGCTGAGCTCCAGCAGTGCAGGCGTCAACCTTGCCCTGGTACTGCCCTGGCGTAGATGAACCCATGGATGCGGCTGAAGGAATAAAACTGTATGCCGGCCGCCTACGTACCTACTACCTAGCCGCCAGATCTGCTGTCTGTGGAGGCTCTATAGTAGGTAACTCGGATACTGGCCGGGCACATCGCCTCTCAAAACGACTGGGCAAGTCATATGTTACTCTATTGTTGTCCCACCTATCATAGAGTTTCGGGGCCATCGGAAGGTGTACGCTACAGTTAGGGGAGGGTAGCACAACAGGAAGAGAAGAGGTCCTTGCTCCACGGGGATTGCTGCATTCGAAAGCTGGCGGCTGGCTCACTGTGTAGTGGGACTCTGAGTGTCAACTGTCTCTCCCGCAGATCGGGGAACAGGGATCGCAGCCCCCTGGCCCTTCTTGGATGGCGATGGCACACTCATTTGGGATCGACAAAAACCGCTAACGGGAGAAAAACGTTATGTTGTTACATTCAGTGGTTCCCGTTATGCATATGTGTATTCGCAGAAAAATGATCCGCACTAACGAATCATTACCCCATGGATTCTAAATACGTAGTGCAGTTTCAATGGTTCGACAGCCATTCCACGTGGTGTACATGGCCATCTTCCCTTCAGGTCAGTTCGTATGTAAAAAACTTGAATGAAAACTCGATGTAGACAGTTAGAGCGCGGCATTTTCGCTTCTCATGCTACTAGTAGCCTTTTGGGTAAGCATTGAAGAGATATAAATACTTACCGCAAGTGCTTGTAAGGTTACTGCTTTGTCTTGCTTACTCTAGCTGCAGATGAGCCATATCCTGCATCACAAGCCTTTGACGTCACGATACCCCATGCCTGTTGTCGACCAAGACGCTGCCATTGTATTGTCATACTGTCTACCGACAATTCCGCGGTACAGGAAAGGAGCACAGATATCGACGATACAACCCCACGTCGTCTTCAGCTGCACTGATTCCAGCCACTTGTATATCACCTAAGGAGTTTACTGGTGTAAGATGTCACCGCACGGGCAATAGAAGGCACCCTGGTATCCCGCTGCCTATCTCACCGGTCGTCAAGTCAGACAAAGAAAGGATAGGATGCAATGTTTCAGTATCTAGCATCCAAAATAAGTTTGTTGATCTTGGCGTATCACTACATCCGGCTTGCTTAGTTTCGGGCTGTAAACTCGAAATTCAAGTTCAGCGGTATAGGTATTCAGATATATTTATTTCTGCAGATACCTAGCTGGGTGCTATGGCCGTCGCATAAATTGGCAAATGGCTCCTGCAATTTCCATCAGTGTACTCTATTGAAGCATAAGCTTGCCTCATGCCTAGGAAGAAGGTACAAAGGAGACGTGTATGTGTAGAGGCGCGCTGGTATGATCATGAAGGCGTTGGATCATATGATTGGGTTGAACTTGCAGGAAGTCCTACGAAGTATCTTAGAAAATGCCAGAAACCACACCGTAAGAGTAATTCGTCAGATGCATTATAGAAGGCTCTACGTATACTATCTTTTAGTTTCATGTGCCAGTCTGCACAATATCTTACCTGGGTCAAAGTCGCTTATGTCAGCCGAATGCATTGTATCGTGTGGACTTTTGTCATCCTCAACTCCACTTGTGTTACCAGCGTTTGTTACGTAGCCTTCTTCCTATCATGCTATGGCAGGTTGGAAAAAAAACAAAAAAAAGAAGGGGTGAAAAGTGCTTTGGATGCATCCTCTTCCCCCTACTCATGTGCTCCGTCAACGTATCGTATCCTATACGGTATATGCTATGTAGTTTGGGATTGTCATGTAAGGCTCGGATTCATATGACCCGCCAGAAAGTAGAAGGGAAGAGGGTGACAACATACGGAGTACAATAAAGCGTAAACTCAAGGCTTTTGCAGCAAGCCGCACGTGCAGATCAGGCATCACTGCTTCCTCTCGAAAGGCGAATGATAGTCTATTACACCCGATTACACGTTTAAATAGATTTTGTGCTTTTAGATTTAAATATTGCCGCGATTCGAGCTTGCTATTTCATAATTGTCTAAGACCACACCATCCTTGCTTTGTTCAAGGGGTTTCGCCTCTTAGGTGTCAACCCGGGGTTTTTGTTTCGTGCATTGCATATCTGGTGTCCGGCGCGTCGAGCTGTGAGCAATGTGCAGATAGCTTCGGTACCAATTTTGCGGCGATGATTAGAGGGTCCACGAAAATTTTAGTCTCGCTAATATCGCCTGGACAGAAATTATTTCAGCGCTTGATGCCAGTAGTCTATCTCGTAGCAGTAAGAAGACGATGGGAATAGAGGACAAATTGTCATATGATAGATAGGGATCAACTGCAATGACCAACAGGCAAAATGCAATGACTGGCTGATTATGGGCAATACCCCTTTGTTGAGTTCATAATACTACCGCATGGAACTGATATCATCAGTCAACAGGGTGGTGAATGTGCATATAATTAATGGTAGGGGTAGGCATGGCCCAGATTGTGCCACAGCAGCCTGTTGTATAACCCCCTGTTCCCAAACATTTTCATCCTAGCATGTCTCTTCCCGTATTCTACCATTCGACAGTGAAGAGCTTGAGAGCACCAAAATGTCACTGTCCTGGCTAGATCTCCTTCCGGCCAGCCTCCGTAGCATTGACACCCACGCCGGATGCACCGGGGGAGTATTGACTCTCTCCCACTCCTACGTAGTATGTAAACGAGCACCCTACTTTGCTGAGAGGATTCTGAACTACACATTGGCAGGATCGACATGTGATAGTTCTGTGGAGGGGGGGGGGGACGGGACGTCGACACAGAAAGTGGGACTATATGGCTCATAAACATCGACAGCTATACCTGCTACTCAAAATTATTGCTATTTGTCGATCTACATTCTTGCATGTATATCTGACATAGTGTGCTTTACGATGTACAAACTATTGTCAGTGCTTAACATCGTACGCCACCTTAGTCTGTCCTCTCAATACGTCAAAAGTATCCCCTCTTATTTTTTCTACCTGCCGTTATCCTTAACCTAACTACTTCCCTAAATACCTCTAGGTTAATCGTGAGTCCCCTTCAAAGGATGTACAGTACTATCCCGGAGCATGTCCAGACACTAAAGCATATCAAAGTCCGTCCAGTTGCACTCGAATTACAATGCTCACAGCTACTACCTTGTGAAGGTGAGCATTCAACTACTGGTGAACGAAATGGCATTGGTTGGTTTATTAGGGTTACAAGAGACCTTCGCGTTTAATCTAGAACCGTATGCACGGAGCCTCTTTTGTTATACGTTCTGGTGTCGTCAAGATCTCCCTCAAGGGATACTTCCTTCGGGACACCTAGTAAAGGCTTCCTGAGTCTGTGTGGTATCACCCCAATAATAGGATAGCACAATGCATATTATATGCTACCAGACCAAATACCCCTTGTGGAAGAACTTATTACATCAGCCTTGAGATTGTTCAACGTAGTCGTACGACTTAAACAAAACATTTAGTTCAGCTCACCAATGATCTCGCTTAACCTAATGCTTCAGTCCTAATGACATATCGATCTATAGCTAGTGGGATCGTTCACCTGGGCGTAGAGCTAATTGTAGGGAGATCAATTGTATCTGACTAGGATCTAGGTAAATGAAGCTACCCAGAAAGGAACGTAGGACACAGCCTGTCAAACACAAGCTTGACAACACTTTCTCCAATAGTATATTTACGCAAGGCACCCGGCAAGATTTCATTGGTAGCAATATGTACATGACAGTCAACTCTCAAAGCAAGCGTTTCATCGGGCAGTTTTCGAATGTTTAAGGTTTTTAGGAACTTTTTCTGCTGAATGTCTGCCGTGTTTCAATGCCGAGACACCGAGCAGGCTGGGCATGCTATCCCCGAACTCAGATATCAGATTCCTCTATTAGACCAGGTAGGTACTGCTCCTGGTTGATAAGTAAACTTGTAGAGTTTGTGTCAACTAGATTCTCAACATTTGATGCACAATTATCGCTTATAACAGTTCTACATTTAACTTCATTCATATTTGGTGGTTTAGTCAGAGAGGAAGAATAGGAATATCATGTTCGAAACGGTGACCCATACTGCGACAAGGGTCGAGGTGGCCATCACTATCCTCGCACTCTAACTCCACTTGACTGGAAATAGAGCCGACCTCGCCCAATGGTGGTATTACTCCAGCGTTCAAGTACATGTACAATAAGACAATGGTATTGTAGATCACATCGTGAATATAAATAAGATCTGTATTCTGTTGGCATTAGATCTAGGCGGTTTGCTTGCCCTGCGAATCGCTTGATCACACGGTAAATATAGTGTTATTTTTTTACGACTCGCCGGACTCGCTGTGATGACAAAGGAAAAGTGGCGTGATTAATAGAATCCCTGGCAACTATTGTCTAGATAGTCCTTCTGGAGTGAATAGCAATACTGTAACCTCAGCAATGAAGGTGTGGTCGTCTCGGCTAGACGTGCCGATACAAATGTCATGTATAGCATCTTCTAGCGACTTGAATCGAGAAATTAGAGGCTGTTGAAGACCTCTGTGGAGTTTGCTGTGATTTTTTCTTGCTGTTGGTTACATGTAAACACGTACTGGGGCGTTCTGTACTGGTCTAATAGCTAATTGGATGGATGTGTTGATTCCATAATTCAAAAAACGGGCGGTAAGCACGCTGATACGGTTGTATTAGGAACAATTCTGGGACGATACTGTTCCTAATACGGAATGGAACAAAAGGGGGTTGGTTAATTACGGCTATGGTAGGCAAGAAAACTAAATAGAAAGTCCCCTTTTGTGTTTAGTCCCCTATGTTGTGTATTAGAACACAAGCCATCTCTTGCGAGCTTTTGTTCCCAAAACTACCTAGGTATCTGGTTTAGGTATTTATCAATTTCGTATTGTTGATCTGTTGAGTCTCGTCATCGAAACTGTTTTACATATCATGAACGCAGGACGGATACCTATCAGCCCTTCTACTCGTCAGAGCCCTCGACACGCGTCATTTCAGTTCGGATTTACCATACCGCTTCCATCCAACTCGACGATCCCCAAATTCTTCGACAAATCCTGTTCGCGAGGCCTTACTTCAGTGTCTAACTCTTTGGGTGACCGTGTTGCCGAAAGCTCGATTGGCGATTCGTTGGATGCTGAATAAAGATATGGTGGCCAAATGACATCGTCCGTCTTAATGTGCTTTGTCGTTTGTACCAACGACAACTGATGCCTATTTCGACGCAAGCCCTTTCTACAAACGTATGCCGCCCCAAGACAGAGACCGAGCAGCCCGACGCTAGCACCTACACCGATACCAGCGGCCACAGGACCACTGATGTCCAGGCCTTCTATTCCGGTTTCTGATGCCATCGGAACAACGGGGGTCGATTGGGACGTCTTTGCCGTGGATTGCGGATCGGTGTATGTTACTGTAGAGGCAAGAGTAATAACTGTAGTGGGCATCCCACCCCATCGCCCTGACCATGGATTGCCACCCGCGGTCCAGTCGCCGTTCCATGGCCATGCATTCTGACCAAGAGCTGTAGTCTGATCTTGGGTAGGAGCGACTGAAGTTGTGCTCCCAGCCTTCGGAGTCGAGATCGCAGTGGTGGTCAAGTCTTTCTCTGTCTTAGTTGTCACTATTGTCGTTCTGGTTTCGATGCTGTCAACGTCTCTCGTAACCACAGATGGAATAACATCCCGTGCAATGTCACCACGACCGCTGAACTGGAGCATTGTCAGAGCTGGGTGTTTCTCGCATTCCCCATTCCTCACAACAGCAGCACAAGATATTCTTCAAGAGTGTAGTAGCTCAACTACCAACTCCATATTATAGCAGTTTCAAAACGTCAATTTGAAGCTCAGTTCTGGCATGGAATTGCTTTATATTTAATCTAAGACTCAAGGACGGATAGAGAGTTTCCAACACAGCCCGAGTAAATAGTATCGGGCAGTGTTGTGGCCCCCAAGCCCAGGATATCAATACCAATGTGTGTTTATTCGGCCACAGTTGTGACCGCACACGCACAAACTACAGCTTGCAACGGCACGCAATGTTACGTGACAGGTCACTCTCCATAAGTCGCGGTGCCGAATGCAGTCAGCTTCCTTCAGTATGTTACAACCAACTTTGTGCGAGGCTGGTATTGGTGAACGGCACTTTCTTCGGTTCCGTTCTTGGCGCAAACTCTGGCGGTGACCAACACTGAAGCGAGAGAAGGTTCGGGGGCGCCACCTCGGCTCCGAATCCTATGATTGACCGAAGCTGCGGCACCTCCAAATCTACAAAGTTCTTGGTACCTTACCATGGCTTGACGCCCTGCGTGGGGGCAGTCCCCCGAATTAGCAGACCATATAATTATATCTCGACTTGGCTGCGTCAATGTAACATGATCCCCTGCAGCTGTCAAGGGGATGCAAGGTTGGCAGCGGGACAGCGTTCTATTCCAGAGTTAGATACCCTTCCTTTCATTCGGCCGCTCCGTTGGGCAATATCATTGGTGGCAATGCTTCCGAAGCCCGTTCGTCATTGGAAATCGTGTATCGAGAACTCAAAAAGTACATCATCAGAACTTAAACCACGGGAACGGGACAACAATCGTATAATGTGAAATCAACTCCGAACTGAAAGTGCATACACTCACACTGACAGATCACGTATTTTTGTCTGAAGATAAGACAGAAGAGATGATCTATCCGAACGAGAAGGAAACACAGTATTTGATAAATGATTGGTCATTTCTGCAAGTAATACTTAAACAGAGCCACGACCCGACAAACCTGCTGTTCTTATCTTAACCCAGTCATTTCACTGTGATGCCTATGTCATGAATATTTCTTATTGTGAAGAAGTCTTTAATCAGATTCAGAGGCCGGGTCTAAACTATACAAAAGAAACTGTGCCACGCATTGCGCCTTGCATTTTCCCGATCGCAACTCTACTCAATTCGGCTTTCTTGGCTCTTTCCAGAGAAGATCTCAGGGTGGTGAAGCTAAGTCCAAATAGGCTTGTGCAACTGTCTTCACTTACGACCTACCTACATAATGTACGTTGTCTTAACTCTGCTGCAACCTAACACTTAAATTCAGAGGTCGACTAGTGATCACATTCTTCTCAGGGATACTGATAGCCAAAAGAGGTCATACGACTATTTGATCACTCTATGATTTGGCTAGGCATGCAACCTATCCGTGAGTAGCCATTTATCTCCACGATAAAAGCTACGTTCAAATCCCAAACCAAAACAATCCACTTAAAGTATGGGCGGAAATCGCGGCCCGTAAGATAAGTTAATAACATAATAGTTTTCTAGAAGCAGTGCAATAACCCTACCTTGCTTTGGTGGTGAGACTGTATTACCACGAGCTGAAGGACGTCACGATACCACGCTGGATCAAACTAGCAATTTATAAGTAAATGGCAGGCGAGGATCGCACGGACGATCTCTTTGTGCAACAATGCCAATCCATTTACGTGCCAATAGCAAGCTACATAAAGTGCTTGCCACGGCTTGAGGAATTCTCCGACGCAAGTTCACGACTTCCAGGCGCTCGATGGAATAGCCCAAGTATATGGATTATTGTCGCTTCGCGCGGTAAAAATATCGAGATTCCTCTTCTAATGCAATATCTAAACTACCTGGCTGATGAAAATGAGACCGACGATACTTTCTCCAATGCTAGAGCTGGAGGAAGCGGGCTACGCGCTGCAATAAAACAATTCAACCCCTAGGGGACATCAATGAAGGGTCATTACCACGCCGGTTGCACCAATGACGACACATCATGTAACACTACCAGCTGATCTTCGTCTATCTCTAACTATAATCCGAAGTGCCGAGGCTTCGTTCCCTGCGTTCAGCCATCTCCAAGAATCCCGGGAGCAGGTCTAGGGTCTTATTGGCGAAGACTTCATCACTCAAGTTGAAAGGCACCTGCTTTTATGATTATCCGGTCTTATTATTCCAAGTCTCGTGAAAATAACACTGGGCCACATCACATGTGTCTAGGCCTCTGGGATGAAGTAACAGAATACGAAGGTACCCCATCATACCATGCGGCAAGCAGATGGGAGCGTTATAATTGGGAAGATGTTCGGAGGCACTTGAGCGAATTTTCAAGACACCATTCGACGTCTTCGAATCACTACAACCATACTAGACTTGGCAGCTGCGTCGCCTCAGGAACGAAGACGAAATAGCGAATGCCGACTGGTCATGCAGGCCTTGATAAACAAATTTTATATAACAAGGGCAGATAAATTGGGCTTGGAACAGAGGATTCTGATTACAATGATCTACTAGGGCCGCAGTAGTCCTTGACCAACCAACTCCTTCTCGGCTGTTGGTGGCTTGAGATGACTCTATATACAAATGATCTGCCAGCCCAGACCGCCTGGGTCTCTAAGGTCTGTTTCAAGAAGCGAAGTCTGTATAACATCACTTTCCAATATTGCCCAATATTGCCTGCATGTCTTGAAAGGTCATGAACAGCCTGCAATGGTCCTTCGTACGGCCGAAGTGCAAGGTGAACTGCATACTTCAGCCGGTACAGAGGTTACATGTGTAACATTTTACCCCCCACACCATTACCTATAACCATCCGTTTCGATGTCTGCTGTAGCTGCAGACTCTAAAAGTCAAACCAAAGTAAGACTTAGTTACCAATTCTTCGAGTGTAACTCGCTCAATACTCCTCCATAACGCTAAAAACACACTTATCTGCTCTATATTCTGACTCTATGAGGCCTATGACAAGTCATTCATATACACTGCCATACGTGCTCACCAGCATAAACAGTGCCGATCTACTAGAATTAAGAAAATACCAGGTAAAGCTTACCGAAGCGGCAGGCGTGACTAGTTTGATTGGGAGTTCTTTTGATTCAGTGCTTTACCCTCCTTGATCGCTTCTCACCTGCTCCTATAGCCACTATATGAGGAGGAAATCTTCTTGCAACAAGCCTTATCAACAAGTTACATCTTATTCCTGAGAACCGGCAAACCGGCTCTTTATCTGGAGGCAAAATGAAGAGAAGGCGTCTACATGCTGCAAGGCCCCCCACCCCAAACCCACCCGTCCTCCTGTCTTCTTCCCCTCGCATACCCAAGATACAAGGCTCACAAACCTTAACTCCGTACCAAAGCCAGGTAAAATGTGAACAATGTATATATATACTTGCAAACTATGGGTGCACGCACCTAGTAAACTGTATGGAAAAGGACTGCAGTCGAACAATCGGGGAGTTGACCGATGACTATATATAGCTAAGGGTAGGAGGGACGTAGTAGAACTGCTGGGAATACAGGACGTTTTCACCCAGCTCCCGGCACGACTACGGTACCTTTGCGAACGGAGGATAGCCGGGAGAATGGTTTTACCTGTACATTAATAGCAAATGCCGGCATGGCCAGAGGCCGTAGAACCGAGTAATACAATATATATATATATATATATATTACATAAGCCCAAGAAAATGGCACCTACTTGAAAGAAAAAGAGGATAAACGATAGTTCAGAGAAGGTCGGGGGGAAAAAATTAGCGCAGGAAGAACTACCTTGCCATTCGTATCTCCATTGTTTTCTCCCTACCTGCTTACCTGCCGATCTGTCTAGCACTCTAGGTAATATAATTTACACAGTTGCGCTGCCTACTCGCAAATACACCCAGAAGGAGGCATACATGCACTGAAAAACACATTCACGATAATCCACTCCCGATCTTCACTTACACATAATGCCAAATGGAGTCTTTCTTTTCTTTCTACATTATTTTATTTTATTTCGTATCAAGAACTTTCTAGGTCTAGACGAGTCGAGTCTGAGAATAACAGTAAGGACACCACCAAACTCTATCAGCCCCTACGCAATTCCTTTAAATGGACCGGCAGAAACAAAAACCGGCTTGTCTCTCCGCATGGGTATATCAGAAAACTCGCAGGTTTGCTCTCAAAATGGGCGTTGCTTCCAAAAACCTTCTCCATAGGGTAGCCTCGTAATGTGTGTTACCGACATCTTCCATAGACCAAGTATACATGGAGCATCGGTTATTTATTAGGCCTGGGATCGCAGAAGCTTTGACCATGGCGTAGAAGTCCCTTCCTGCTGGACTTTCCACGTGGCATGGGGGGTGTAATACTGTCACATCGAGGTAATGTAGTAATAAGCAGAGATTAGCGACCGGCCTTCATTGCTGCGCGCCTTCTCATCTTGTCTGCGACGGCCTTCAGGGCCTGCTTGACATCTTTCTGTCCTTCCCATGACTCTAGATCGTAGTACTGAGGAGCCAATTCCTGTAGAACACAATCAGTATAAGATCGGATGTTCTTCCCATAAAGAAAATAGGAAAACAGAACGGAATAATGGAGGGGAAAAAAAAAACTGGAGCGAGAGGGATTACTGACCAGTAGCCATTCAGGTCGAATGCCAGTAACTGTTCGGACATATTGCTTCGATGTTAGTACGAACTCGTTGTAGATAACCCATTCGTAGTCGGCACCAAGGACTGTGCTCGGGTGCAGCATCACGGCGGAGTTGTTATCCTTCAAAGTTCGATATATTTTGTTGTTTTCGCGCTTGGCTACCTGCATGAAGAAGCCCGCGACCAGGGCTCGGCGAATATTGGTATAGTAGTCTCTGTCGTTGAAATCGGTACTAACTAGGTCGAGACTATGGGTTTCCATGATACGCTTGAGTTGGGCTCGCACGTTGTCTGCGCTTGAGAGGTGACGGAAAGAAAGGTAATGTTGGTGGCACCATTTCTTGCTGTCTTCTCCACGCCCCAAGACGCCTTTAAAGGCGTGGTAAACGTTCAACATAGTGAGATGATCGCCGTCGTTATGTTTGAAGAGGTTCTTCATTTCATCAGCCTCTCGCCTTTTTTGTGCTGGTCGCACAAAGATCTGAGGGACCGACAAAAGCGCGGTAAGAGACAGTATCTCGTTGGAACAGTAGAACTCGGGGCTTGAGATCAGCATCACTGCCAGAGCTGGGTCAAGGGGAAATTCAGACGCCAAACTCCCTAGCTGCGTTAGTTCACCCTCATCATCTAGACAGGCTAGATAGTTCAGTTCTTCAAGCGCACGCATCATAGTCTCAGGGGCAGGGGGGTCCATCAGATCAAAATGAACTAAATCTTCCACGCCAAGCTTCTTCAATTCCAGGACCGTGTTTGCAAGATTGGAACGGAGAATTTCAGGATACGTTTGTTCAATGAGTTCTTCCTTAAAGGCCTTTTCGGTGTAGAGACGGAAACACTTTCCGGGCTTCGTACGACCAGCTCGACCAGCTCGTTGTTGAGCCGAAGCCTTGGAGATTGCTGATACAAGAAGCGACTCTACTCTTAATCTCGGGTTGTAAATCTTTTGCTTGCTAAATCCAGGGTCGACGACGTAAACAATACCATCAATGGTCAAACTGGTCTCGGCAATATTGGTCGAAATGATACATTTACGGCCGGGACGGCCACCCTTTCTGAAAGGTGCCGGGGGTGGGTCGAAGATCTTCTGCTGCTGGTGCGGGGGTAATGTTCCGTAGAGAGGATATACAGCCATTGGGCCACAGTCAGTCTCCCTGACAAGCTCATCGACTTCAAGGGAGATCTTGCGACACGTATCCTCAATCTCTTCCTCTCCAGTCAGGAAAAGTAAAATATCCCCTTCGGCCTCGCCGGCATGAATCTGTAGAACTGTCCGGATTGCGCCTTCGACATAATCTTTCTCGGGCTCTGGCGTGTAGAAAATCTCAACAGGGTGAGTTCGGCCCGGTACAACGAGAAGAGGTGCATCGAAGAAATATCTTTGAAACTTTTGAGCGTCTAGAGTTGCAGACATGACAATGAGCTTCAGATCGGGCCTGCGTTGAGTAATGCCCTTCAATAGAGCCATGAGGATATCGGTGGCCAGGGTACGCTCGTGAGCTTCGTCAAGAATAATACAGCTATATCGGGAGAGAGCATGATCGTGCATAGCTTCTCTCAAGAGCATACCATCCGTCATATACTTCAGAATAGTCTTTGAACTTGTTTTATCCTCGAAACGGATGCTATAACCAACTTCTTCACCAAGGTTGACATCAAGTTCGTCAGCAACACGCTGAGCAACCGACATGGCAGCAACTCGTCTTGGCTGGGTACAGGCAACCATCTTGTGATTGAGATGGGGAAGCTCGTCGTAAATGACATATTGAGGGATCTGTGTGGTCTTTCCGGAACCTGTCTCACCAACGAAAACGAGGATCTGGGACTTCTGGTACGCATTGAGGAACTCCTGCCTGATGAGTGGAGAAAAAAAAAGAACCAAGTTAGCTGATGGCGCTGCGGTATTCGGGAATCGCATGGCCACTCACCTCTGTTTATGTACGGGCAGGTTTCGGCGAGACTTCAGGATAGAGAAATACTGTTCGGAATGCGGCTCGCCAGTAAAAGGATTATTGTCGCCATCTTCGGCTTTAGCGGCTTGGTTAGAGGTCGTCTCGCGGCGCTTGAAGTGGTTCAAGGCAGATCCGGCAGGGAGCTTCCCGTTGGCGTAGCCATTGCTGTTGTCATTCCAGTGCGACAGGTAGGGGTTGTTTTCGATGGTCTTCTTGTCGTCGTCTTCAACTTTCATCCGCTTGGTTGATGAGTTAGCATGGGCCGGGCTCCCGCTCCTCTTGCGCTCGGGCATGCTGACCTTGGAACTCCTCTCGTCAGCCATGGTGAATGTCGGATAGTGCTGGCAACGATGCGCGGCTATGCTACGGGTGCCCCTTGGATGCTGGGGAGCAGCAGGCAGCGGTGGAAAGAGGACAGGCTGTTGAATGCACCTAGTGGAGCGAAAGAATGAAATGAAAGAAGGCAACAAGATGCCACAAGATGAGAAAAGAGAGTCTACCTAGGTAGGCAGGCAAGCAGCTGGATCAGGACATACGGCTGGCTTGCGAATTCGGGATGTGCTATTTTTTTTTTAATCTGGAAGGACCGCCACGGTTGAGCGCCCCACCAAACAAGCTTCATCGTCGCTGCTGTCGCATCCATCCTTGCCAATAGCGATAAGGCTGCGATAAGGGAGGTGCAGTACCTGGGTACATCTAACAATCCAAGACTTGAACAAAATATACAGCGATGTAAATTTCATCTCTTACCATACCTAGGTAGCCTAGAAAATCCAACAAACATAGGTACTTAATATATAATATATAACTAGTTTTCGATCGCGTTTATGAATTTAGCTGCCCAGCTAGGGCCCTATCTGCCTCGAACGCCTCTAAAATGATATAGTAAAGCAATTCCATCGCTCTAACAACTACCGGTTTTGTACTTGGTATTGGTTGTCATCCGTGGCCTAGTGTAAACTCCGCAAGCAAAACAATGTCAAGTAATATACATGAACCGTTGCATCGTTTCGCGCCATCCGAAGCGCCCATAACGATTACTCCCTCCCTTGCCTGCTACTATTCACTCATTAACTCTTGGACTCGTCTGTCGTCTGTCGTCTGCCCGCTTGCGTACTGTACATGCATGAACTTTGTTTTACCACCATGTCAAAGCTATCGTTGGTCTGGACAACCCGTAACACCAAAACGCCCAAAGAATGCTTGTTTTTACATTATTCTCTCTCGAGCCCAATGTGTCCATACGCCTACCCATAGCCTAGTCACAGACGTCTCAGACGTCAGATATAGTCCGCCGTAAAAAATCCACTAGCCTTCTGAGCATTCCGTATTATGCTTTCAACAAGCTCCATAGACCCATCCGAGACCTCTGGTAGATCAGGCGTCCCGTTGGCTTGATTCGGTGCCACTAAGGGCCCTGTTGTAGGAAATAGTACGGGTGCGGGTTGTTCCCCTGCACTGATAGCGGGATATTGGCCCCCTGTTGCGTAAGATACGCCGGGGGAATGGCATACTGCGACGGGCGGTGATAGAGATGTGGCTGCTGGCTGGGGCTGCTGTACGGGGGACACCCGAGAGCCGGCAGACTGAACCTGTTGCTGTTAGGCATTGCTGGTGGGAGAGTCTGCCGGAGAGGTCGGCTTACAACATGATTAAGCTGGCATCCCGCTTGGGGGAGATGCCTTGAATTCTCCGATAAGCTATAGGCGGGCAACATGTGCGGGCTGGGCGTCATAGATGCTGGACTAGGAGTCGCTGCCATGGAAACGGGTGGCGGTGGCTGCGTTTTCCGTAATGTTTCCCACGGTCTTGGTGCAGGAATATGTGTCTTCTTAGGTATAGTCGGCGTAGCTTTAGCTGAAGCAGCAAGCCCTGATGTGCTCTGCGGGCCCCTGGGTGTAACGGGCAATGATGGTGGAGGGATTGGAGTCGTAGATTTAGGTTGTGCTGTCAGCTTGGGTGCAGACTGGCAAGTTGGTAACTCTAATGGGAGTGCTGGCATTGGAGTTACAGGTACCGATGATGGTATGTTCGGAGGAGCCGACGACAATGGCGGAATCATTGCTAATGGCTGGTTTGTATCGCCGGAGTCGACCTGGTGCTCCATCTTCACATTCCTGTTTGAAAGCATGGCAGCATAGTGAGTCCGAATGGCTGGGTGTAAAGTGGCACCTGTGCTGAGATTGTCGTCCCATCGATTGGGCATCCCGGAAGGCCAATTAGATGGGTTATCTATTCTAGCATCTTGACATGATGGAGGCGGCGCCGACTGTAAACCTGCGAATGATGCTAAAGGTACAGCTGGACTAACAAATGGAATGGTCTGTTGGGTTGGGTTGTTGGGGGCGGGAGGAGACTGAGACTGCAGCGCAGAATCGCTTGAAGAGCTCGCTGGTGGCAGAACGCCCGCGGCGACCTTTTGTAATGTTGACGACACCCCAGGACTTACCCCATTCAAGCCTAGTGACTGTCTTGGTATATTATATAAGGCATCTGGACTACGCATCAAATGTGCTCGGAGACTTCCCTCGTATCCGTTCGTGAACCCACCCCAGTGCGCATATGGAGTTCTATACTTGGTCGAGTCCCTATAATACACGATCAGACATGAGGTAAAGATGAACGAATAGACAAATAAACAAACCTATTATGATGCACTTGGAAGAAGGCGTATTTCTGGATGACGCTGGGTCGCGGCTCCTTCGGTGAGACGGCAGACTGCAATTGTCCTGTCAACGCTTGCATCGAGGCGGAAGATGACGGCCTAATCGCCGATGATGTCATTGGAGTGTTGAGTGAAAGATTAGATACAAGTGAGCTCGATCGTGCCCTTGCTTGATTTTGGAACAGCCGGCCATTTTGAGGTGATGGCGATGGCCCTAGACCAGGCGGCTGTGTGAAGCCATGACTGAAAGGCGATTTCGTCAATGAGTCCCCACGTGCATGTCCGTAAGACGCAGGTGGCGTCCCGAATCGCTGTCCAGATCCAAGAGCGCGGCGTCCACCGTAGCTACTGACAGAAGATTTATTTCGCGTATGGCCAGGCCCATTATGAGCGGGCGTTGGCCTAGGAATAGAAGGCCGTCTTGGGACGAATTGCTGCTGCGTTGAGGCATCCGTAGCACAGATAGCATTGGCACCAGCTTGTGAGGCAGGAGTAGTCGTCGACTGGGGAGCTGGCGGTTGCGACTGTCGCGCAGGATCTGCAGAATAGGTTGCGAAATAAGGCGTGGGCTGTGGTGTAGCTTGCTGCGGCTTCTGTGGTTGCTGACTTGGCTTGTTAATCTGGAAGGTAGAATAATGCTGGTGCTTTTGCGCGGCATGCTGTGGCCGTTGTTGGGATGCTGGTGTTGCCGGCTGTGCCTGTGGTGGTTGGATCGCACGTTGTGCTTGCTGCCTAGGTGCCATGTACGACGAATGCTGGAACTTGTAGTATGGTGAATGCATGGATGCGGACTGGGGAGGAGTAGCGTAGTTTTGTGGTCCGGCATTAGGCGGCGTATGGTGGACAAAAGTAGTAGCATTGGAAGGTTTAGGTTCAAAGTGATGGGCGGTGTATGGAGAAGGTTTTGGTACAAATTGATGCGCCGTAAAGGGAGAACGGACGTAAGTTGGTGGGACAGGATCCCGGGGCTTGTATTGATATGGCTTCTCGGCCTTTGTTATCGGAGTAGGGGTGTGAATCGAGAAGGTTGAACCGTACGACTTCCGTGGCATGGGGGGCGGAGGAGCCGGCCGAGGAATGGTGTCCAAGAAATTACTCTTTGGATTATGCTTCTTTTTCTGGGGATCCTCGGTATACTGTGGCCGTGCATCAGTAGAGTACCTTCCCAGGTAGTGCCAGACCTGGTTATCCTTGGACAAGTCCACTCTAGCTTGAACTGGGTTTCGCTCAAGATCATGGTGGTTAAACTCTGCCCACGTGAAGCCGCCTTCGACGAATGGTTCTTCTGGACGGGGAGGCTCTTCGATTCGCTTCCTAGTTGCATTGATGAGCTCCTTCGCCTTGCGTGAGGTTGGCATTGGAATAGCCTTTTGTGATGCCTGTGGTAAATGGAAGTCGGCTGGATCTGGGAGAAGCAACCATTTCCATTCCACTTCCACCCGATCACTAGAGATTGTCAATACTTGTCTACTATCAGAGCTAATTTGGCGTTCGTACCCATTCGGTATGATATCCAGTAGGAATGTCTGCTCGCTGTCCCTGTTTTCAATAATGATACCTGCGAAAATCTCACCACGGTGGTATTGGAGCTGACAGATATCGCCCTTCTTGAGTGCTGAGGCAGCCCGGCGCGTCTTCTGGCAATCATCCAAGACATTTCCATCCAACTTCCGATCTCGTTTCGTCCTGTGAAATCGGCACGTGAACTCGAATGCTTGTTCCTTGTATTCGGTGCCATCCTCGCCGAATATGGGCACTTCAGCTTCTTCCACAAAAACTCCTGCCGCGGCGGCGCACGTTGCGTGGTAGGATCTAGCGCATTTTTTGTGGGAGCACTGAAAGCACGTTCCCCTCTTGGAGCGGCAAAACAAGCATTTCAGATCAAGCCGAGCTTTGCTAATGTTCGCGACGTTTGCAACGACTTCTTTTCCATCCACTGTCTCGATCCACGTTTCTGCGCCGTAAAGGGCACAGAGACGATGAGCTTTGCGGTCATTGTCGGTAGGCAGTAGCTCGATACCTGGAATATCATGCGGGCAAAGACAGCAAGGCGGTTCAACCTGACTCTTGAGACGTAGCCGGATCTTCTTAACCTTCTTTTCTCCTTTATCATTTGTCGCCCGTTTGCGTTTACGCCCAGGTGCTATGAATTTGATAGCATGACCGGGTCGGGATGTATTCTCAAGCTCATCATCATCATCTTCCTCGTCATCTTCCTCATCTTCGTCTTCTGTCTCTTCGTACTCCGTGTCTTCACCCCGTAGTTTTCGTTCAATCTCATAAACGTCAACCCATACACTGTCCTGAGCTTGCGCACATTCACACTTCTTAGCAATCTTTCCCATCGGTAGCCAAGAGTCTAGGGCGAAATTGACAGCTTCTGCGCAATTGTAGCCAAGATTGTATCCGGAATGATAGCCATAGGGATACGTTACAACGAATTCTCCGGGATAAGAAACACATTTGTTAACTTTGATGTTGAAGTTCTGCTGAAGATGATTTGGTGAGATCAAGAATGCCTTATGACGTAAAAACTGACTACAAGCCTTAGCGTCCGTGGGCCAGATATTCTTCATGGCAGCTTCGAAACGACGAGCGTCGCCTTGGGAAATGCTATACCACTGTTTTGGTGCGCCGAAATGAAGGTAATTGATGCTGTAAAGATCGACATCTTCCAAATGCCATGCGAATGTGGCCTTCCACATGCCGAGGTATAAATATGCCGTGTTGACACCGGGAACTTTAGTGCCCAGGACGTCGAGGAGGTTTGGAAGTTTATTGAGGTTCCATTCCTCAGTAGAGTCGTCAAATAAAGTTCCGAGAACATCAGCTCCGTACAGGGGAGGTGCATATGTCAGAGTTTTCCAGTAGATGCGTTCGAGTTCCTCACATCGTTCGGGCGTATAGTCAGATATGTCCATCTGGTAATCAAAGTCTTTAAAAGCCTCTTCGTCAATCCTAGCAGAGCCCTCGCGTCGAGCGAACTTGCGTCGGGCCGAAGTGCTCTGCTCCTTGGGCTTAGCCTGTCTCGAGCCGCCCATCCGGCCAACTGTTGGTAGAACTGGGTCATCGTTGTCAATTTCATCGCCTATTTCCTGCTCTACAGACTCGATAACAGCCTCGGGCCTGGGCGAGACTGGGGTCATAGGGCGGTCCTCTGAGTCTGCAATACCACCTTTGGCACCACCTTTCTTGGTCTTGCTCCTCGTAGAACGCCCGGCTCCAACATCAGTAACAGGACCACGCCTTCTGGCGTTGGACGATGTCGGAGCGGATACTGCTTTAGATTTTGGAGGGGCTTGCGCACGCCTCTCTCCTCGCCTAGCGGGGGGCTGATGCTCACTCTGATCACAGAGTTGTCGCCACTGGGGTAGGTTGTAGGCCCTCTGGTGGAGGATGTTCACCTGTCGATAAGTACCACTGGAGCCCATAATCTCTTGTTTGATGGGCTCGCGAACCCTAATCTGCTTCACCAAGTTATCAAGCGCAGGAAGCTTATCCTTCCACTCCTGCGGCGGTATTATCTTGACGATGCCGGATTTCATTCCATAGGAATCGATCTTCTCCATCTGTTCACGATCCAGGTCAGCAGCGTGAGCACGGGACGGTTATGGGGGAAGTAGGAGCCATAACACATCACCAACGTACGAATTTCTTGAAGTCCTTGAACTGAGACATGTCGGGTTTGAAAACTGGAACTGTGCCAGACCAATGGTCGGGTGTCACTTCGCCAATATCTTCCTCTTCCTCTTGGGGAGTGTCCTCGGGGGTCTTCTGGGGCGTGGATTGAGCATGCAAGAAGGGAATTTGGTCTGGGTCCAGGGTGGGGTCCTCGACGTCGCTCAATTCCGAGTCATCATCACTACCATCAAGCTTCATGGCGTTATTGCTATCAGGCGGGGAATGCAGACCGATGTGTTTGGGAGATTGGTGGGATACAGCATAGTCGGCAAGTACATGTGCGGATTTGACATCGGGCTGGACATGATTGTCGGGGTGGTCAAGGCAAGCCTGAGTAGGTTGATTGTCGTGAAGCATGGCCGTGGGCTCATTACCTGCCATCTCAGGCGCAGAGGCCGCGACCGGGACAGGCGCTTCAACGGACATGGTAGCGACTGATAGGCTACATGCGATCAACGAGAGAATTGAGGATCCTCATCGACGCAGGCTGCTAGTGGCAACGGATCGGACGAAACCGTCTTTCGGTCGAGACTACGTCGGTACTGGGGGGCCGATATGATGTCGAAAGGCAGGGGCGATAATAGCAGTGGTAGCAGTAACAGCAGTAGCAGTAGCAGCAGCAGCGGCGGCGGCGGCGGCGGCAGCGGTGCAACGTTCTTTTGCCACCTACGATCGGTAGGGAGGTGTATGTATATTGGCTGGTTGGTTGGATTGATGGACGGAGGGATGGATGTATGGGATGTATGTATGATTGATATGGTATTGAATGGTATGGTTCGTTGGTTGGCTGGCTGAGCTGAAGCGGGCTGGGCTTGGGCTCGTCTGCTGGCTGGCTGGCTGGTTGGATTGAAGCGAGCCAGGTCGAGTGTACTGGTTCTTGCACTGGAAAGAGACAAGAGGCTCCTGGGGAGAGGTAGGTTAGAGGCAGGTTAGAGGCAGTGGAGGAAGGTCGATCTGTGGTCCCAGTAGGTAGGTACCTACGTACTGAACCTACCTACATTACCTACCTACCTCTGTACTGCCAGGGTGGACCGGGGGCTGCACTTTTTTTGCCCACAAACCCGCTTCTTGGTTGGTTGGTTCTGCTGGTTCCCCGGTTGAGTTTGCAGTGAAGCTGCTCAACTCGCATGTACAATAGGAGGTACCTTTCAGAGAGATATGTATAGTAGAGGTACCTAGAGGTACAACTTTGATGGGTCCAGAGGGGGGAGGATTGAGGTTGAATAGATGTCCAGTCCAATGAAGGTAGACTTAACAGAAAGAGCACCTTTCTACATGTACCCAGCACACAAGACAGGAGTTGTTGGAACTTCTGTTAGCGTTCATATATGTATATGCTAATGTAACCTGCTCAAGTATATACCTAACAGCTACTACCTACCACCTACTACGATCTGTACGACCATGGTAAGCACACATGTATGTAGGTACCTACCAAGGTAAAACTGTGGTACCTCTAGGTAGGTAAGTACTAGGTACTGATCGATGCTGGGGGTTTAGGGCGTTGTTAGGGATTTTCTGCAGAGGAGCATTTCTAGCGAGTCGCGTTGTATGGACAGGTGTGGCTTACGCACTTGTAAATGGTTCGATGCACTGCTGGGATTGCGTGTTGGTGGCCTGATGCGGCTTACTTACAGTATATCATGACCTAAATGTCATCCATCCCCCCAAAATCCTTGAGATAAGAAAGCAGGGTAATTTGTCCAAATACAGTCCCAACCATACTGAATAGATACATAGGTACCTACATAATACAGAAGCGAAGTAAACGTCTTTGTTCAAGTAATGGCTTTGTATCTCCATTCGACGTCCGACACCTGGTTGTAAATAAGTGCTGGTGGTGTTCAGAGGTTAAGTAAGTAAGTACAGTACAGTACCGAGGTATGATCGATCAATGGCCCAAAAAACTTACCTAACCCTCGCCTAACCTACCGAATGAATGCGATCAATCAATCAATCGCAGGCGATGATGACACGCATGTGAATGGTAGGTTCCGATATCTGATTGCGCCTATCTTAGTAAGTGGGAAGCAGATCCACGCATTATCAGATCGAGCTCTGGTCAGACTCTTGGTTCCATTGCGCCAGGGTACTATAGAAGCTCTAGATAGTCTAGCCATCACCATCTCTTCCTTCACAAGAGACTCGGTATCGAAGGACTTCTCCTCCACAGCTTCATCTCATTCCATTCCATCCCCGTCATTATCTATCTAACCTACAGAGCGACAGAATCTATTATACTCTTAGTGGTAAATAAACACCAGGTACACACAATGGGTTGCGCACTTATCGCATTACATCATCATTATCATGACTAACCTCACCGATCTAATATCAGCATCATTATGACCCCTCTTGCTACGGGAATTGCATTGCAGTCTAGTACCTAGGTATATTCACATACCTGGGTACAAGTACGGTATGGGGGAGGCACGTGCGATACCACCATTGATATTATCAATGTTTGCCTCGCCCTGCAAGGACTAGATAACAAACCATGCTACAATCAAACCTCGGAAGTATCTATATGTACAGTGGTACGCTGGTTTGCGCATCCCACGTGGCCGTCAGCCAGGGTACAAAATCTATCATCACCACACTACTTTCTTTTAGCATCGGCATATCTACAGTAAAGCACAGTAGCTGCCAATAGCCTCAGACAACTAGAGTACTTGGCAACCCGCGCTATAAGTTAACCTACAGCGAGGCGATACAGAAGTGGCTGAGCGCATTCCTCAGACGATGGGGCTTGGAAGATGATAGTCTCCTAACAGCTACCGGTAGGGTAATACGGAACAAAAGATACACATTGAGCCTTTCAAGTGAAGAAGTAGTGAAGATGACTAGCCAATAGATATTAGAGGATGGCGATACGCTCAACTCCTCCTCACATCGCGATATAGTGCAAGATATGTATACCTATTCGTTACACAAGCGAAGTCAGTGATGAAAAAAGCATATGGATTCAGGAAGCCGCAACGACGTTTCCCCCCCCTCCCCTTCCCAGAATACAGGGAAAAGAAAAGGAAAGTCAGAAAGAAAGAAGGAAGGACTGAGTGAGATGTAGGTAGATGTTCCTCTTCCATTCACAATGCGTACACCCAGAATCTACTAGCGATGATATACGAAGGCATCACACACATGTCAGAGTAGTTGTTGTAAAGGTAGATTTTCTAGTGTTTTTTCTTATTGTTCTAATTTATTCCTTCCTTCCTTCTTTCTCTTCAATATCTCCTCGACGCCGCGAGAACATGATTCATCGAGGCCGGAGAGCTGGCTGGTTCCTTCATATCGTCTCATATATTCCCTTCAGATATACTTTCGTCCTCATCAGGTAGGGAAGAAGATATCAATGATCGAAGCAAATGAGAGACGGAGAGAGGAAACCAGCGGCTAGTAATCATCAACCACCTCCGCTGTGTGTCTTGCCAATGCGCGAACTCATCAACCCAGGAAACATGGATGTGAAGAATCAAAGCGCTCGCTCTTTCGCTTGCGATGTTGTATGACAAGACATCGTCACCAATAACCAGTACTCCCCCCAATGAAACCCCCTCACCCCTTTCCTTTCCATCCCTAAATTCTTGGTCGCCCATGGAGTTTCTCCTTTCTCCTTTCTAATTTCGGATTGTGTGGCGGCGCAAGGGAATAAATAGAACAAGACACTAGGTAATATGGAAAATAAACACTAGTGATTAAATGCGTATTGTGGCACGGCCACAGCGCAAGAATGGAATTGGGCCGAATGAATACAATAGCAAGACCAACTGATTTCGTCTTCCCGTCGCGTGGCTGCAGAAGCCGATTCCGCAAGCGCAACGAGGTGACCAGCCAGCGAGCCAGCATGGGCGCCAGCAATCAATACGAATCCATGTGGCGTTTCGCCTTGGAGTCGTCCGTCTGCAGAAACAGAAACATGCCCATGCTCCATAACCCAAAGGGTTCAATAGCCGAAAATGCATGATATGGTAGTATGTGGCTTGTCAGCCAATCAACCCTCCATCCTTTTTTTTTCTCTGATAAAAAACAGGCTCCCAACACCGGGCTGTGTAAATGGAAGATGAAAATGACGCTAGGTAGTAATATCAATAAAGACAGATTTTTCTTATGTACGACGAAGCCAGAACGCTAGTGGTAGATTCAGGGCTGATGGCTTCGGTGGTAGGTGTGTGTGCCGACGAAAATTGTCAAATACACACGTATATGCATACATCCATGGTGCTCCCATGCGACGCTTGCAGTATGCCTTAGTATGTGTGATCAGGTAACAGTAACAGAATGGTATCTCTCTATGCGCAAAACGATGGCAACATAAACTATGCCGCCAATATGTAGATGGGTAAAATCAATGTAAATGATGCCGCGCAGCAGGTCGTAAATGGGTCATGACATATCGTGGGAGCCGTTGGATCGTAATTGTCATCGCTCTCGTTCATCCTTTCCTTTTTTTCATGTAGCCAATTCGATCATAACCAAATCTCTCTATTTCCGTAAGCCGACACGGTCTGTCAAGTGCCGCCAGAAGCTCGGTCGCCGGCGCTCGGTCCCGGTAGGCGAGGTCATGGTCAATTCACGCACCATGGGCCCGACTATGTCCTCGTCGCCACGCTCAGGGAACTTGCCCTCACCGTCCATGACGGGGACCGTAGTCATGATAGTTTCGTCAAACTTCTCGCAGCCTACCGCTTCACCGCTGGCAACGACAGCATCGACGACCTCGTCGTGGAGTGTGCGCCATTGTCGGTCGATCTCTGCCCATTTCTCTTCCGTGTACCCATATGTCTTAGACGTAAGACCGTAGTGCTCACCAGTCCGAACAAGGTGCTTCGTATAGTTGACACGTGCTGTTTCCCAGTCCGTTCGTAGCTCCAGAAGTGATGAGAGAGTCGAGACCACAGGTCTGTATGGAACCGGTAAGATAGTAAAGTTAGCGTGTCCGAGACGATCCGACCAGGAATCCGGAGCCAAATCAGACAACAATTCATCGGATGCCATCATCTGCCGGAATGATGATATAGAGGGTTTGGTGCTGAGGGGCGGTGACAAGATCAGAGGTGATTGGAATTCATCGTCTACCGGAGACGCGATGGTCGGTGATTGCAGTGGTGAGGGTTGAGAGTGGCCATAATCGGCGAAGTTGCTGGTCATCATTGGTGGCAACAAAGGCGTTGTTGCTTGGGTGCGCTCGCGCTGAATTGAAGACAACACGATGTCGGCGTGCTCCACGTCCAAGGGACCGGGTAAAATGATGCTGTCGCTGCTCTCGAAAAATGATAGAGCAGGTGTCGGCGGGGCGACCGGTTCAATTGAGCGATCAGCCAGGTACCGATTCGACCTCGACAACGACGACGACCGGCTGGAAGGAGCGCGCGACGTGGAGCGACGCTCAGAACCCACGTCCGAAACAGGTGAGCTAACGGCACTCAACTTCCTAGGCGATCTCCATCGTGTAAAGGGAAAACGCGAACCTATCCGATGTGAAAGACTGGTGAGCGGTGGCAAAGATCCGTTGCGTTGTTTCGTCCTCGATGAGCGTTGCGAGGTTGGAGAGTCGCCATCACTCAGAAAGCCAAAGTCAGGTTCAACTCCTCTGCCACGCGCGTAAAAGTTGGTTGAGGTCCGCACGATATCACCATCTCGATGTATGCACAAAGGTTCATCGCCTAGAAAGGTAGAATGTTAGAATGAGATTTTGGTGGTATATCCACAACGAGCTTTATAGACTTACATAGGCAGTGGTATAGATCCTGGTCCGAGCAGTCACCATATCCAACATGGGCGTCGCTAACGTAATGGTTAAAGCGATCATACTCGAAAGGCTCCTCCTCTTCGACGTCATCGAGAATGCGTTTGCTTGGCGTTTGCTGGGCCTGTACGGGTGATGGTAAGTCCTCGCAGCTGGGCGGTAGAGCCAAATCGAACGAGGACATTGAGCTCGAATAGCGCAAATGCCCCCGAGCAGAGAAAGTTGGTGTCACGGGCGACGTCATGCCCGAAGAGGTGGAATCTGTAACCATGGGCGGTTGTTGGCGGGTTTGCTGTTGCTGCCAACTGTAGTGATATGAAGAAAGATCGCCGTCGGTTGTGTCACAAAACGTCGTCACGGCTTCTTCCTCTCGTTTTCTCCTCCGCTCAACCAGTAACGGCAGTCGAAGAGGGCGTAGTCCAGGAGACATGCTGTCTGTGGCGCACGTAAACTCAAGTCACCAATCACGCCGCTTGCACGCACACAACGAATGTTGAGGTCAGCGTCGGTCGGCTAATCAGCAAAGCTGCGATATGACGAGCGGTGACGAGGCGCGATACTATATTCCCAGTGCGGACGGCAATGCCTAGTGAAATGGTTAGGGTGAGAAGAGACAATTTAATGACTGTGGTCAATGTGTCCCTGTGGTTTTTGTGAGCGTGTCAACGGCCCAATGTGGTGGTGGTTGTGGTGGTGGTGTAAGTGCGCGTCCGTGTGTGTTTTGGCGTTGCAGCGATGATGAGAGTAACGAATGGCGGGGGTGTGCGTGAGCTGTATGTCGTATGCTGTATGAGCAATGCTTCTCCAACCCACGCAGCCTATAGCTCAATAGGCAGGGTATACGTCAATGATAATGGTGAATGGTCAATGAACAGGACGGCAAGCTTGCTGGTGCTGGTAGTGCTAGTGCGTTCGTCTCCAATTCTCGTTTCTTCTTGCTCTTCCCGCGCTTTGACCCTGGAAGCTGGTCCGTCTCTTACTCTCGTCCTGACTACTCAATGATGGTCGAAACAAAACACGCTTGGTTTCTTGCTTGCTTGCTTGCTGAAGAACAGGCCAAGGTCTACCTCCACATAATATACTGGGTAAGACAGATCAAGTTGACAAGATGGATTGGGCGTGTGCCGACTCCCTCGTCGCTACTCCTAATAGAGCCAAGTGTAGAGGGATTCCAAGCTTCGAGTGGCCTCGTGGCTTCGCACATTCATACGTGTACCACTCGCCGTGCACACGACTCTGCGTAGTGGGAGTCGTCCACGTGTACCGACGAGGTGTGTGGAGGAGGGTGGTGTGTGATGCGAGAGGTGAGGTGTGAGTTGTGGTGTGAGAAGTGCTGTATACCGCCTGTGAGTCTTCGTGGGGTAAGTAGCAGTTAGGCTCCTGTTGTGTGCTGTGCTGGTCCTCCAGAAGCAGGAAGAAACGCCTCTTCCCCAATCAAATCCAGGATGCGTCCCAATTCCGATACTGTCCCGGGGTCTGGTGCAGAGATGGCCCTGTGACACGGGGCCAAGCGAGCGAGGTAGCAGTGGTGGCAGTGGTGGTGCCAAAGCCTGTCTCCAAATTCGAGTCCTCGGTGGTAACCAAGGCACGACAGATGCCAATGGGCGGGCGCGGGGTTCAAATTATGTATATACTACTATGGAAGTGAGAACTCGCGTCGCGATGCTGGAGCTGAACAAGTTTCCTTCTATCCTTGTGGCGGTGGCCAGTTGAAGCATGTGGTAGCACGGGATATGGTGCATGTATGTATGTATGTATATGTGAGCGAGCGAGAGCGTTTCCAAGACCCGAGCCACTCGTAATTCTGGAGGCTTGGTTGCAGGCAGGGGACCCGTTGACAAGTAGAGGGAAACTGGGGGGGAAGGGGAAAGGGGAGGAGGAGGAGGGGAGGGGAGATGGCAAGAGAGGCGGAGGAGGTGGGAAAAGCTGGCTTGATTCTCACGATTTGCTTCTTTCCTCACATGCCGCTCTATTTTTCTGCCAGTAGTGTACACGTAGGTAGAGTAGAGAGCATCTGTGAGAACCTGGGGCAGACTGGGGGTAAGCTGATGGTTGGGCGGCGGTGGGTTGGGCGACATAACCTGCCTTTGCTGACAGATACCAGATTACCAGACTGACAAACCGACTGACTGAACGACTCTACTTCGTTCCAGCATACTGGCCGGCGCACGCAGACATGTACACTCGTCAACTTACCAAGCCAACGGCAATGACTGACTGGTTCTTCGCTTTGCTGTGATGGCGGAATCAGTCCAACCACCAATCGCCCTGGGTCTGCCCTGGTTCTGCCCTGGTTCTGCCCTGGTGGCTGTCGACAAGCCGACTCCACCAAGAACCAGGAGTCGGGATGGCCCCGGACACTGTACGTAGTTAGCAGACTGTAGCCATGGGATCCTGGGAAACCATCACGCTAAAGGTTGCGTGTCGAAGAAGAAGATGAAGAACGCGATACTATCATACAGTATGTTTGTCCTACTATACTGTCCCAATCCTTACTGTCTTTCCAGTTTTCTTTTTCTTCTCTCTTTCACTAATTTTTTTTTTTTTTTTTTCTTCCTCGATGCTCCTTCTCGCCAATCCGCTTGACACAGCCTAGCCCCATCAAGCCGAAGCCAAACTACCTATAATAGTGTTCGAACCCAGGCAAATGGGAATCTGGCGGATCCGTTCCCCCCGGCCCACGCCGTCGGTTGGACTTCTTTCCTCTTCTCCCGCTGACTGACTGACTGAATGTGTTTTCTGACTGTGACAGTGGACTGAGAAGCACTGACGTTTCTTGGGAGCCCGCTTGTCCGTCTGCTGCCGCGGCTTGTTACTTACTTTAGTCCTCTGGCTCCTCTCTGACCTGGCCCATTGAATGATGACGGCGAAAAGTCGGTCTACAGTCTACACCAACCAACATACGTAAAGTAGATACATGCCCAATCGTACGCATACCGGTACTTAGTATATCGACTCACTAACCGCTTGGTATCTACCGAGGTATCTCCAGTAACTATGCATAAATGGTGCTGTCTCCACGTGTTGCTGTGGGCAGTGTCACGAGCGAAACAGCTCGACAGGCAAGGCAAGCAAGCAACGTGTAATCACGGTGCATACCGTACTTCGCTGCGATACCGCCATCGTTACTTACGTGTACTATATGCCATACCGAAAGGGTGATAGCAGACTACACTACACTATTTACGTACACTATTCCCAGTACCAAGGTCTGGCCACGTCGAAAAGAGTCATGTCATTGCTAGTACACTGCCCTACGCTGCCAGGACAGTGTGGATATCGATGCCGACGTATGTCCTGACCTCGTGCTATACTTGTGTGTACACGTACGTTTCTACATACCTAAGCATCACGATACCCAACTTACTATGTACTGAGGATTCTGCCGCGGTATATGATACACCGCACGTTGTTGCTGTCACGGTTCCAAATCCCGTAGATAAGAGCAATGACAGCAAAGCGGTATGTATCTCTTGTACACTCTTCTATGCTTACCGACAGCTATCAACACAAGGAACTCGTTATGCTTACTTACAGATACGTGTGGTATCTATCTAGTGTACCGTGCCTTGCTGGTCTTGAATAACACCGTACTATGAGCCGGGGGCACGCTACGCGACTAAAGTAAGGACGGCGGGTTTGCTTCGTCGACCCGCCGCCGGCCGCACGGGTAACAGCACCCGCCACGCCCGCAGGTGGCGCTACGCGGTTCGTGGCTAGATAGATAGGCTTTTCTTACCTCTTTTGGCGAGCCCTGGTAGAACTCTGTGCTGGGTTTGCCTGGGTTCTGCTTGGGGCTCAGGCTTAACTTGCCCATGCTATACAGTACGAAACAGTGTTATTTGTGGCATAAGCACTTAGTAGCTTGGATGGGCAGAAATGGGTCTGGATGGGGCCGAGTAGAATTTTTTCCAATCGCGCTAGAAGCTCTCCGCTTGTCAGATTTTGAGACTACACTACTCTGTGCTCAGGTTAGTGCTATAATTCCTCGGAGGCGGGTGGCCTTACAGTATGGCTGTTTCTATTTGTACTTAGTTGGTCTTCCGTTGTGTTGGCACCAGGTTAAGAAACTGGGTTTCGTGGCGGTAGGATTGTGAGATAACTAGGCTCAGTAAAGCTCCGTCAAGCTCAGTGTGTGATTTACATAAAAACGGATAACAGACAGAGGGGCCGATGACAAGGCCAAGCAAGGCTTCTCAGTGCTGTTATCATGCCCAAGAAGCGCATAGCACGTTACTTTAGTATCATGAAGCGCCCAATAAGCACCAGACTTACACCGTATGGTAGTTCGACAAGTACGTAAAGAGATCCAAGACACGTCTCAAGACCCGTTATCGGCTCTCAAGAAAAGGAGCAGAATAACGCGATCTGACAATCGCACTTGGTATATACATGTAACTTGCTTCTCGATATGATGCTATGTGCTGGGCTGGTATGATGGAACGGGGAAAGGGATCGCCGCAGCCCCTCATCGCCGAAGCTGAAGTCCTGGAAACCGAGCTTCCGGGCGCAGAGAGAGCTTGGGCTTTTTCAAGCCTCGTTTCTTTTTTTCCCGGCTTTTCTTGGTCTATTTGTGTAGGCTTGTGTAGCGTACCAGCCCAAATTTAGCCCGACTACCAGAAACAAATTCCTTCTGGATACCTACATGGCGCTCTGCCCGCCCACACTACACATAATCCCCGTGTGCCAGGGATACCTAGAGCAGTGTGGCGGGTTGAAGGGCCGTGGACAGTTTTATATATGCCTATATTCGCCCTTGAATGTTATATAAATGCTTAAGAAACGAGATGGTATTTATGTGGTCAGGGAGTAGGTAGGCAAATGCTTCCTAGAATACTAGGTAGTGCATGTCTACATTACAGCGGCGAAATGGGTGACTGGGATGCACATGTCAAGACTACCCAGCCTATCATATACTCACCTTACACACTCACACCCTCGACTATAGTTTCTAATTGAAGATTGCGCCTCGCAGAACGGCAAGATGCAGACAAGCTGGCGCACAATAAACGCCTGACTCCGTCCATCTCTCATACAGGAGCCCGTCCACCGAAGCCTGTCTCTCGTGTCGAGATTCACTACCAGCATCATCAATTCATTCCCATGCTCCCGGGCTCCTATTTAGCCAGCGATGTTACTGGGAGACGTGTAGCACTGCTGGGCATTTGCATAGGCTTGTGGGCTTTATCGTGCTGCTTGGATCACGACGGGGGGGCTTCCCGTTTCTTCCGTCTGTCGTGTGACGGTGCCCCGGGGGAATGTTCCTTTTTCCCATGCCCAGTCTTGACCTTTTGACTTATTGTTCAAGATCGGGCCTATTCTGCCACCGGCCTGCTTCCATCTCTTATCGCGGCGCACCCAAGGATTATCTATTAGTATCCAGAAGCTCTGCCACCTGGCAATCTATGGTCTATCGCTCAGGAAGACGAGGCTCTGAATCTGTTAGTCATAGATTACATACCAGAGTATGTTTAGGCCGCTCCGGACAAAACTCAGATGGAGTAGATGGAGAGTACTGTTAAGAAGTGGTGGCTAGGCCCAATTTCATTGGCACAAGCCACATTCGACTTTTCCCTAAAATCGAGCTTTACTTCGTGAGTGGCACAAATCACAACAAGACAATGCTAACCATCTTGGAAACACAGCAGAGGTTGTTGGTCGATCTCAAAAGTACATTTGTGGCACAATGCATGAATGAACCGTTGGCAGCAAGCTCGTTAGACGAACCGTTAGACGAACCGAGTTTGCTTACCCTCGTACAGTAACGGCCGTACCTCAATGTTGGCCGGTCCCTAATGACACTGTGCTCCTCGTTACGCGAGGTCGCTATGATTCTGGCAAGGCGTGTGCGAGCAATAGAATAATGTTCGTTCGCTTATGAAGGGAAGTTTACGCACCGACCTACTCGGCCGTGTTCGCTATAACATTGATTTACCTCCAGCAGCACCACGGCGCTGGCACACGATAATGCCCCTCAACAACCATGTAGCGTTGTCCGAGTTGGTTACTGTCAATGTCGATTGCCCAACGCCGCCGCAATGGTCTCGCTGCGAGCTGGGCGTACCTTGCATTAGCTAACACCGGAGGGAGGGTCAGGCAGCCTGCCTATTCGGTGGATGCTGTGAACAAGAGCACGGTATTGTTCGGGACTTTTGGGAAAAATAGACGACGGTGTGTGGTGTGTCCGTACTGGTGGTGTGGACACGATACACACCAAACCTTGAAGCAGTTACTACATGAACACTACATAAACTACCATCACACTATAAACTTTCCATCTCCATGTGTACTACATCCCCAGACAACCCAATCAAAGCCACTGCCGCCCCAACTGCCGCCTGCAGATTCCAAGACTATATCAATGGTATATACGGCATGGCAAGGTATGATATGATATATCGACTTGTCTTCAGCGTGCGTATTGAGTCTCAGTGACAGTCCGGAGTTGTGGTGAGGGGGCTTTAAAATGAGGAAAATTTTTCCAGAGGCTCTAGACTATTGCCAGCCACATACGTCAGAGGATGAGAGGCTACCTGTTACTGTGCCTTCTACTGTATGTATGTGTATGTCTGAAGTAGCAGCTATGCAGGGTTGAGACAGGCTTCTCCGCTGAAGCAGGGCCATAGCGCCCATAAGCCAGGGAATTACGTTCGAGTGCTGTAGGAAATCCAGCCCTTACAGCCCGATCTACAGATCTGAGCTGTAAGGGACCGATAGCTGGCCTCTTAATAAAGCTTACCAGGATTCATATGCTCATAACCTTTGACAGAGGTTGGCACTGCTATAGGTCTTCAACAGATATTGCTACGAATCATATGGGTATATTTTATGTTGAAGTATAGTATGACAACTCATGTACTCTTATAGCACACTAAAAGAAACACAGCATAAGTCACATTTGATACACCACGTAGTCGAGAGCAGAGTCGGCTCTAGAACTGTACCTAGCTCGCCTAGCGTATAGATATCCCAGCACAGTCCACGTCTCTAGCAATGCACGTCATCGCGGATGTTCCTGGTTCCCGGTGCCATACCAGGCGAGAACGCGTTATTGCTCGTAACGGCTCGGGAATTGCGCCATGAAGCTCGCCGAGCGAAAGCCGCTGCCACTGGCGTTGATGTGTATGGTATTTAGTCTCAGAAGGTGTTAATGTATTGACTAACAAGGAATATATAACGGCATTTGGTAAAAGTCTGCGGAGGGCGCAAAAGACGACACTACATCGCGATCATGCCGTCATTTTGTGAGAATTCTGCAAAAAATGCCGCGATGATCATCATCTGAGCCCCCTAACGATCACGTCAGATCTCAAGCTGCGGGAGCGTTACGGATTATACTAGACTAGTAAAGTTAGTGTAAACACTCCGCTTGTCTTCGCCTGCTAATAGAGACAATAGCCAGCCTCGCCAGCCGTCACCTCCATAGTACATCCAGTGAGTGGTGTAGAGATGCTGACAGAGGCAAACAACGGGTTGACCTACATAGGCTACTATAGATATTGTACCGTAATGGAAGTACGTGCGAGGCGCCCTTAAACAGCAGCCGATCTCGACTAACGGCCAGCAAAACATTACATACAGTAGTCTTGGGACATTTCATCAACTGCAGAGCACACGAGAATTCAACATACCTAGGTAGAGACTGTGAAAATTCTAAACTCCCGGAAAATGGACATCGTTCTTCAGCTTGCCTGCTTACCAGACCAGGGTTCTACTGTAGCTAACGTATATAGATAGCTCTCCCATCCACCGGGACTGAGCTATATATCGCCGATGTTCCCGTGGCTCACTGCCTTCCAATTCACGCCTAACGTATCATGTACTTGTAGATGTGATTGCATACCTGGGTTTGGCTTACCGGGGTTTTAACAACCGTTCGGGAACGGGGCTAACGCATAGCGGAGTCTAGAACCATGTGGCGACGGGTGATTCGCGTCTTCATGCGATCGCGAACTGATTTGTCGACCCGAGGTAGGCCCATTCACTAACCGCTGTGTTTTCCTCCGTTTTGGTAGACGAGCCGTACGTACTACAATTTGGCCAACATATGAGACCTCGTTCCTCGTAGGGAAAAAAAGATCCTTACACGGCCGCGTTCGGCTTCAAAGCCGGGCTTGGCTAGCACAGAGCCAGTTGGCAGTAGTTTGGTTGTTCTCTCCTTCGCCCATTTGCGCCCTGAGGCGACATCTCTTGAGAGCATTACCAATCGAATCAGCGAGCTTCCTCGGTGTAGGTATTCGCCCAAAATAACTTCTAAGCTACTTAGATAGCTAGGTAGTTTTCTACCCAGTGTAGTGTAGGTACTACATCTTCGCGCTATAATAGTTTGGTCTCCAAGGAGTTGATGGTGCCATGTCTACTGCCGCGCATAGCCTACCAAGTACGCTAGGTATTACACCCTCAGATCCTCAAGCTGAACCTGAATATGATCTGATCGTAGACGTGGTGGATGGGCGGGAGTAGCCAAGATCCTGGCTCACCTCATCCTGCAAGGTACAACCGTGTAATTCACACGACGGCGCATTGCGATACAAAACCATACCCTCCATTGCCCGCTCTCAACGGCGTGCCGGCCAGTCAGAATCGCTCGGCCTTGGAGGCAGGACGCTCGCTATTTAGGAAAATATCTGATAACATGCGCCTAGATGCATCTATCAGACAGCAAATCAGAGTAGTTGTAATGTGGAACTTTCTGACACATCATCAAGACTGTGAGTAATAGCTAAACTTTTTCTGATCCGAATAAGGATCGTTACCAGGTGAGATATATAGCTAGGTGCCGAATTCGGTTCAATGTAAGCAAGTAAGTTTCCATCTTGCTGGTATCTACGCGTTTAATGTTCTCCAATAGAAAGAAAGTCACTAGAGATACCGATTATATCCCCAAGAGTCGCAAACTCCAACCACAGTCAATTGAATAGGTATGCGGGGAAATCTTACCTTTTTTGGCCAAAAGATTTTGCATGACGCCCACAAAAGACCGTAGCATCGCATCTGCCCGCCGCTCGTTGACGCCCCCATTTAGTCCGTACGAGGCATCTTCTCCCGGGTGCAGGAAAAAAACGGGAAGGGGAGAAAAAAGCTACCCAATCCCACAGCTAGCCCTCGTGCCATAAGGCTGAGCAACCAATGGGAAACGATTCCTCTAGCTATAAATGTGTGGTAGATGCGACCCTCCTTTTTGCATTACGGTACGTGGCGCCGTCGTCGGTTGGTCGAGTTGGTTGGTTGGGAGTTCGCCCCAAGAAGCTATATTCAGTTGAGAATAGCTGACGATAAACAGGCGAACATATTCATAGGCTATCCAACTCAGCATCGATATTCAATTGTACAGGATGCTGCGGTCCCCTTTCATGTTGTAAAGAGCGTAATCTTCGTTGGGTCCACTGTGAGATGTCCAACATATCTGTAAGCTTTGGTCCGAAGAAAGCCAGTCAACCGCCGACAATAATGAACCAGGCAAACACCTGTTCGGTCCAACGGCCTGGATTGCTAAGCAGATGCAGAAAAGAACCCTTGCATCAAATTTTCATAGAACTTGCACTTCCGGCCCCCCGTCGATCGCAAGTATACGCGAGAACTGTGATTTGTCTGCGTTTTCCATGCCGTGAGCTGTCTTTGCTCAGCATCGGATGGCCGGCATTATGAGCTTTGATAGTTACTCGCTATAGGCTATGTATTCTCTTTTCACGTGCGTGCTTGTCTGAGTACAAAAGTTGCCACGGACATAGAGTTATTATATGTACGTGTTACCTAGCATGAACCCCGAGCATTACTACTGTAGGATTGAGATTCGGTTCGTCGGATGGTGTAGCCGCGGCCATAGTTCGCCGTTCAAGAATCATCGTGCCAAGCAGCCAGCTTACCATCAGATAGAGTAGCAAGCCGATAAGGTGTACAGTAGCATTGTGTCCCATGAATCTCGCCTCTTCACTATTGACTGTGCCAGCTCATTATCTGCGGGCAGAGTTCTTATTCATTCGGTTCAGTTCGCCGAGACTCGTCTTGACCTTATTCCGATCTTTTGTGTCCATGTACTCAATCGATCTTGCTGCACACTCTCTCATTCACACGCCATCGTCTCCTTTCCCTCAGCTTCGGCAACGATCCTATGAAATATGGTTGAGCAAGTCTGTTGTGCTTGTGGCGACTTCCGTCGCCGATATGTTCCAATGCTGACGCATAGGCCTAGAACGAGAGGACCAATGTGGGGGGTGAAGTTAGGAAGTCCTGTCTAACATTGGCCCAAAAAAAGCATCTGGCTGGCACAGTTGATGGGAATTATAGGAACCAATGCTTCTCGCTATCCCTCCAAACCAATGGTTGTGAACAGTCGTTTATGGGCGCGCAAACCAATGTGTTTATGGACGATGGCAATTGAATCGAAACGCCCAAGGTTCCAAAGCCCATCTGTTGTATAATACGAATGCTGAGACACAACATGTGGCGAGTATGCGCAGCTTCAGCTGCAACCGATTCGCAACCATTCAGTTATACTAGAACAGCGCTACAAGATATATCTGAAGCCAGGAACAATGATTTCCGAATCATGAGCAACTGTGCCTCCGGACTCAGCAGCCGCCTCACGCTCTGCTAGTTTCTTATTATCACGTTGCAACACCAATCTCGTGACCAAGGCAAGAACTGCGCACAAGAATGCGACACCAGCTGTAGCAGCGCCGCCAGGAAGGTATCGAGGCCCATCAGAAGCCGGGTACATGTAGCTGCCGTAAATGTTTGCTACGTTACCGATCAGGTTGGCAAACGATATGCATGCACTGCGCTTCACGAGCGGACGGGGAAAGCTGTTGGCCACCCAGGCAAGGATAATCTGATAAGATGTGACGGCGCCAATAGGCAAGAGGAAGAGCTGCGAAAATGGGATAGTTAGTGATGGCTAGGTAGAGCAGGTCAAATGAATGCGGCAATGGATATCCTGTGAGACTGGAAGACGGGGAAGACAAGGGGACTTACGGCAAGAAAGCGTGCTCCTGTGTTGAGAGTGGACACCGCGATGATGTTTCCAATAACAGATATCAGCATCAAGCAGATGATGTGAATGCCGCGGTCGTTGAAACGACTCGATGTGTAAGTGACAACTAGGGAGACGAGGAAGGTGGCGATCCAGACGGGCGCAGTCAGGAGCAAAGTGATGGTTGTTCCATACCCGAGAGTCTGAACAATGCTAGGGAAAAAATATTGGAAGGCTTGCGATAGAATGGAAACGTGCTGAAGAAGTGTGAAAAGGTATAGTTTGGGATCCTTAAAGGCTAGTTTGACTCCCTCCTTGACTGAGGTTGAGTTAGCAAGATCGGCCTCTCCAGTATCTTCAATCAGCCGCCATTGAGCATACGCTTGCTCCTCAGGGGTCAGCCACTTCGTATTTGTAGGGTAGTTGGGCAAGATAAAGCCAGCGAGGATGGCAGCCGCGATAGTGATAGTCCCTTCGATGATGAAGAGCCAACGCCTACGATGGATTTATTCAGCATAAGGGACAATGTGAACTTATTGTTGCCGTGAATTGTGAGACTCACCATCCGGAGATGCCGTGTGCACCGCTCAAGTTCGTCAGAACACCAGCGCCAATGAAACCACCGAAGGCATTGGCTAATGCACTGCCTGAATAAAACCAGGCAACTCTGTGAGCCATCTCACTACGGGTATACCAACTCGACATCAGGAAGATCTAGTGCGAAGGCATGTGATTAGTCCAGTCTACAGTGATAAGTATACGAAACTTGTCCGCTTTAAGGAGACTGGGCTTCTTACTGCTCCTGGAAAGAATGGCGCTTCTGCGAAGCCTAAAAAGAAGCGAGCGGCCACGAGACCGCCAAAAGAATGAGTAGCTGCTTGTGCAGTGGAAATAATTCCCCACACGGTCATTGCAATGCTGAGGTATAGTGATGGCTTCACTCGAGTGAGCATTAGGTTGGAAGGGAGCTGCATTAGGATATAGCCCACGAACAAGATGCTCGTCGCCAGGTTGAAGTCGGTTCCTGACATTCCTAGATCTTGCTCCAGGGTCCCCAGACGAGCTTGTGACAAGTTACTGCCACCAACCAGTCAGACTCGGCGTGTGTCCTAAAAGGAGAGAGGGTGTCGTCTTACTTTCTATCAAGGAAGTTGAGGAGATACATCAACACCAGCAGCGGCAGCAGATGCCAGTCTACCTTTCTCATCAGCTGCTTATGCATGCTTCGGTGCCACTCTACATCGGCCTCTTTAAAGCGTCGAAATTGGGTGATCTGCTCCTCGTCCACGCCCTTGCTTCTAGCGGCCTCCTCGATGATGTCCTCTCTGTGCTGTACCGCCTCCTTGTCATAATTGGCCGCACCGAGAGGCTCGTGGGCCTTGGAGTTGTCCATCCTAACTATGTGATGGATGATCTGCCGATGGTATAGACGCAGGTCGTAACTTTGGAGTTTGCACAGCGATTCTGGATAACAATGCTTGAGTTTACAAACTAACACCACTCTTTATAGCTGTTGACGAGTTTTCTAGTGACGGTCTTTTATCTTTCGATGTTTGCTTCGTCCTGTATAAATAGCGGTAAGTAAAGAAGCAAACAACACCTCCGCAAAAGCTGGTGTGGGGTGAACGTCTTGGATGAGGAGAGACGGAGCCCCCAACGTGGGGAAGACCTCTTGACTTTGTGGGGGTGAAGTGTTAAGATCCGGGGTAATAATACCCGAGATCGATCGTCCATATTGGCATATCTATTTAATTCCTATGTCATTGCTGTTAGCAAGTATAGCCGACCTTTCTGAAAGAGGTGCTGTTGCCTCAGTTCGAGAATGCGAGTATGGCGGTTATCATTCAAGCTCACCTGCTGGAATAGTCACCAAACTGCCAGTAGAATGTTGTCCCCCCCCTCCTTATTTTGGTTGGAGGTTTCCCAGTATGCAGCACATTCTAGACTCATGTCAACGGATCATAAGTAGAAATCTACTAGTCTAGCCAACACCTCATGCTTAGTAGCTCCACGGCAAGTTGAATGCTTTTATGTTCAACATCGTGACCGCTCACCTATCGGTGGTGGTGCTGTATGCTTCCTATACTTTATAGGTAATACAAACACTGCATCTAAACATGCCCAGAAGAGCCACGTTCTAGCTAGTTGTCAGCCGACTATAGAACTTGCCTAGAGACTTGTCCAATGCAAAGCACACAAGATCCGGCTACTGGCATCGGGTACTGTTATGTGAGCTCATGGAAATGTGTTTATCAGGTAGTAGGGGCTGTTAGTTGGAGATTAGATCATCGACGACAGAACCCTGCTACGTTCCTACAACCACACAAAAAAGTGTTAAAAAGAAAGCCTCAGTACCATTGAACCGTCTCCTCATTCATCTTGCCCTCCTTTTCCAGCTGTGCCAGAAGTACCTTAATACGCGCAACGAGCGCCTTGCCATACTCTGGACCTACGGGTGGAGTAGCCTTGGTGAGGTCTGGGCGTAGCCATGGAATGGGCTTGATGCCTGCCGCAGCCTCCATCATCACAGCGGTATCACCATCGTCGAAAGCCGCGCCTAGAATGACGGCGACTGGCGGTTTAGAGTAATCTTTGCTGCCCAGTCTAGAGTCTGATGGCGGTTGCTGGTCCCCCCTTAAAATGGCGGGGATCTGCACGGCACCACTTGCCGGGGACATCACAAAATGAATAACTATATACACATTAAATTGAGTTCTCGAAATTCGTTAATAGACGGATGGTAGGAGGGGGTTTTGGGTAGAGCATGTGGTGTTATACTGACCATCGTACTCGGGCTTTAGGGTGGCAATCACGCCTTGGCCGATTTGTTCTGTTTTGCCACATAGAATGACTGGTGCACCCATCTTGCTAAATGGGCGACGACTAAGAGGTCGACGAAAATAGACTGTTGGGGGAATTCGCGCTACAACGCTCCGAGTTGAGTGAACGGCAAGCATTTAGTTCGTAGATTCACGGTGGACTGAAGAAGACAAAGAAGCTAAAGCTGAGAATGTGTCCACTGCATCGTGGAGGCGGTCTAGATGTACTATCTCTCACATGATAAGATCAACAGGAGTGATTCACTAAAGGTGGTCCCACAGCTACGTGCTACGTGCCAAATGTGAAGGGTGCCAAGATCAGCTGTTGGCATTAGGCAATTTACCAGAGCTGTGTGAGCATATGGCAGACGTGATTGCGAAATCGACTATGATGTTGGCACAAGTCCACTCGTCAAGCAGCCGGCTAATTGAACAGAGATGATATCTAAGCAGAAAGCTGATTATAACGAGTATGTATATATGACTGTCCCCGGGGTCGTATAATAATCTTGTCGATTGAAACTTACGCCATTCACAGTTAGATTGCCACACGTGGAACGTCACGACACAAGCGCAGGCCAGAACCACTCATTTTTATCTCTCGTTCAGCTCGCTAGATAGGCATCAAATAGTTTCCTGTGATATCATCTATCCACCTTACAGTTCATCATGTGCCCGAGTTTTGTCTTGCCTTCTCTGTCCATCCCACGGTTTTACCTTCCCTTGTACAATGTCCATCACAAAAGCACCAACAGTCTCAGGGGTTATATCCGCCCCTGAGGGATAGGGGAAGGTCTGACCAACCCTCGGATTTTGAACTGACAGGGCAGGAAATTCGCCAGCCGCCAAACCAAGCGGCGCTGCGAAGTCTGCGTACTCATCACCATCTACCGTCACGAAGCTGAGATATTCTTTATACATTTTCGCAACCGGCCTCATCTTATTGACGTATGCTTCCCTCTCGTTCGATGACATGGCAAAGAAGAATACCAACGACTTTCCAGACTATAATATCTCAATTAGTTAGGCCAACTTGACAGCAGTCTCTCTGCTCGTTGGTAGGGGCGCTTTCTGACACGCACCTGGAGATAATCCAGCTCGTTAGCTCGCGTGAACTCGCCAATCAATGGCGCTATGCAACTTTGGGTCAGCTTAGTGATTGCGTCGATAGCCGTCAAGTCAGATAAGGTAAACTTCTGCTCGTCCCTGTTGTTGTAGCACTCGACGCTTGTAGTACCCGCCGTATCTACGAGTCCGAATGACGCTCGATCCTCGAACTGGGATGCAACTGCCCTAAGTGCAGTTGCGATGTGCTCGTCGCGAGGGTTTACATGCGCGATTAGCACCGTATCATCAATCGATTGGAAACTGGCTGTCGTTTCGTCATCTAATATTGTAACGGTGGGACGTTGAGCTCTCCGAAGGAATGAGGAAATCCTGAGAAACGTTTGGTATGGTGTTCTCCACGAGGTAACAGGAGGTCTGCTGTACGTACGCTGAAGCCTTCCTCGGCCCTCGATAGGATATGGTATAACCATGTCCGTCGAAAAATCGCAACGCAGGGTACGATATTACACCAAATTCGTCGCACAACATTGAGTTAGTTGAGCAATCGATACTCATTAGCGATCTATGTGATTTGGCGACCGATGTCCATTCTGGTTCTAGAATTTGGCTTCCGGCGCTATGTTTTGGTTAGCATTATAGGTAATACCTGATGTTAGAGCAACGGAAAACCCACGATGAGGGCTGTTATCCCCAATATGACGAGTTAGTAAGAATGTTGCTACAAAGTCATACAACACATACGTGTATAACTATGTTTTCGACCGCTGTCAGTATGTTCCTCTAGAGGGCATCATAAGCTGACTTACATGCGACCAGCGCATGATTATGTCCTGAAATGCCGCGACGAAGGTCTTGTTCACTGGTGTGCTCCCAAGCTGAACACTTGAAGACAAGAATAGAGGCTGATAGGAGATATGCTTGAGGCTTCATGTTGAAATCTCGAGCCTTTAACTTGTCGTCATTTATCGCTGTCCCCGCCGATGCCGTTAGTTTATATGTAGTGAAAGAGCGATGTAGACTACCCAATTGTTTGAAATATAACTTCCACCATCTGGGCACGGAGTGTGGGGAGTTGAGGGGCAGCTCAAGCAGAGCTCGAGTAAGTAAGCAACGCTACCCTACAACTTGACAATCCCAATTCAGGGGTTCTCCTGCAGGGGCCACAAGCGCCGCGACCCAAGAAGATCAGACGTACGGCGGCATGACGATCCCTGCACTTGCATCGGGACTGGGATTAGAGGCAGCTAAAACATGCGGTTACCGTGCGTTGGGACGATGGTTCGTGAATAATACCAAACGGTAGGATTTTGGTGCACAGCAGTGCTCCTGACGTTTCACTCCTGCAGCTCATCCCCCGTGTGTTGCGCTGGTAATTGAACAAGTTGCACAGTTGCTGCTACGAGATGACTCTCATCACTTTATCTTCATGTAAAAAAAAAACCAAGTTCTCAATTATAGACTCATTGAAAAGTTGAGCGTAGGTGTCGAGATGGGTCTTCTCAAATCATTATCATACACGATATTTGCTGCCGCCATCACCGGCGCACACAGCCAACCTGATCAAAGTGCATCATGTCAACATCCAGCATACCACAACTACATGGTATCGACATCACCGCTCGTAATCTACCTCGAAAACTTCCTGACACCACAAGAGCAAAAGCATCTACAAATAATCACGTAAGTCTGTCAGCTCAGCGACACAGGATTCTCTAGTACACTATACGCTAACAACCCGTTGTAGAAAAGATACATTCTCACGCTCAGGCGTTTCTGACCAAGCTGGTGTCCAAGGACAGCGGGAAACACGGACTTCGCAGTCAACCAACGTCGAGCGCGACGACATAGTCCGCTGCATCGAGGAGCGCGCACTCTTGTTTCAGGGCTTCGACACGCCCCGAACACATCTCGAGCCACTGCAGCTAGTGAAGTACGGCACAGGCGAGCGCTATCATTTCCACACGGACTGGTTCACGAACGCGGCGCAGGCGTCGTCTGCCGTAGGCGGCAACAGGCAAAGCTCATTCTTCGCCTATGTTTCCGCCGAGAACATCACGGGTGGCGGGACAAACTTCCCAATGGTGAAGGCGCCGCACCATGCGAGGTGGTGTGATTTCATAGACTGCGACGAGCCGTGGGAAAACGGCGTCACGTTCCGCCCGATAGTGGGAAATGCCGTCTTCTGGTCGAACTTGCTCGACGATGGCACCGGAGACCAGCGAACGCTACACGCTGGTCTCCCGGTGACGAGTGGCTCGAAGATAGGGATGAACATTTGGACCCGACAGGGGGCATTGAGTGAGGATATTCGGGGTAAAGACTGAGATATCTAGAATGGTTTTATGGCTTGATACTGAGGCAGGCAAGATATAATAAAGACAGGTGTCCCACGTCGGTATACAAATCAAGATCTTTCCGTGCTTAGTATACTACCGTATCGCATTCCGAAACGAAGTAATCGACGCTGTTTCACCAGCAGAGGCCCGTATAATCTAACCAAAGCTCTCTACCAGCGTTCACCGTCAGATCGCTGATATCATCACTGTCACATGTCATATACTGAGCGAGCCAGATAGCGTCGTTCATCTGGTCGAATACAACTATGTCAAGCATCAGCTTCTCGACCACATACAACAATAACAAAATGGTGATGATAGATGGAAGCATACTATACGCAGCCCGGATGAAACTATTCCCCAGCACCCAGCTCGCAACCCCCAGATCCGCAGGCTGGACGCCCAAGGCGCAATAAGTATCGAAATCGACAATAAAGTCGGCATAGCTGACGCGAATAACCATGTTGCCTCGATTGAACCCGAAGCTCACGAAGCCATCCTCGGATCGCAGTTCACAGTTCACATAATACACACCCTCTTCATCAATCCAGGCATTAAGCGCCTGCGCCACGGCCGCAACGAGGTCCGCGTCGAGATATGTAAAGGTTGACCCAGTGTCGATCAGCATCGTCCGGGCAAAATCGTCGCTGGTCAGCGTAACCTCAGACTGGCCGGGTCGAGTGAACCCAAACGAGGTTAAGTTGATCGAGTACCTTGGGTTGCGGAAAGAAAAAGCCTTAGTCACAAAACTGCCACACCCATCTCCGCTGGGGAGAATATAAGGGGTATCACTCACCCTACCTGGTGAAGCTGATCCTTCTGATCGGACGGGTTGGGCCATATCTGCACTGGCTCAAGATAGCCGCGGTACTTCCAGCGATTGACGCCTCCGAAGACGATACTACCTAGTGCAGCAAATACCCAATATCAATCACCAGCGTTTGCGGGTTTCAAAGTAAGAGAGAGTACCAACATACCAGACTGCAGAGATCCGTTCCCCTGCATCCCCACCTCGAGACTGAAGATAGGCACTTCGATATACGCGAGCTGGACCAACTGGTCCAGCAGCGTGGGATACGCTGTATTCCATCGCATCCCGTACGACACCCCGAGGATCCCCGCCCACAGATATGTGCTCCAGATATTGACGCCTATCCGCGAGCGCGGGAGAGGCAGCTCTGTATAGACATAGTAGGTTAAATTAGACAGCCAAAAGCAAAGGCAGCAAGCAAACACCATAGATAGATCTGTACTCTGCCACATAGGAAGTTAAGGAAAAGGGGCGTCCAACGTACTGTCCTGCCCGACGTAAATAGTATCATTATACCACGAACCCTCCATATATCCCGTTCCAAACTGGGCAGCGAAGTATTTATCCAGAGCGAGCGCTGTGATCGACGCACTCGTGTCATAATGCCCGTACTTCCGACACGCGTCAGGGTCCGCGGCGCGAACGCAATCCGGGTCCACGAACGTCGTGGACGAGCCCGTGTCTAGTATCAGCGAGATTCTCTGCTGCGGAGTCCCGATCTCGACTACATTATCCAACAAATGGTTCGTTAGTTCTAGAGCATTCAAAGCTTGAAAGAGCAAATGCGAGAACGAGAACGAGAACGAGACGGACGGACGGTCCAACATGTACACGGTTCCGACGCCGAACCCAGCCAATCCCTCCCTCTGCCACGCCGGCGCAACGCGCGATGAGTCGCGGTCCGACGTGTTCACCGAGTACAGGATCTGCGACTGCAGCGCCGCGCTGATGTGTCGTGAGCCAGTACCATCAATGCGCTCCAAGCTCTTATTCGATTTGTCGATGCGTGTAAGATCTGGTCGAGAGTAGCTCGGCAGAATGAATCCCACGACAGACGAACAAATGAGAAATATGTGAAGGACCAGCTTGCCCTGCATGATATTCTTTCCTGCACCGAAAGACAAAAATCAAGAATAATGTATTTCCAGACCCTCGCGAACCCCTCCAGGATTTCACTAGAAGCGCGAGACAAGCTTGACTGGAGGATATATAGACAGACGACCACGCAGCATCGCCATGGGCTTCGCATGAAGGTGAAAGGGATCCAAACAGCCCACCCCCCTTCCTTAATATGTAGAATGCAGGGCCTCGAGCATCTAAGAGAATGCGCAGTCAGGACATCCAGAACGCAATGAGCTCATACTTACCTTTTCCCACCTTACGTACCCCGTCATCACGATATTACCACTACTCGAGCTCATGCTTAATGCGGCGCGGACTTTACCCGCAAGTGGTTCATCGCGCGCGTGATGATAGAAAAGACGGATAAATAACAACCTCCCCCCCAAACATATATAAGCAAGTCATCTTAAGTAAGTAGGTATGGGGGTTTGTTAGTGAACATCTACCTATTCACAAACGTAATGAAAATAAGAGGAGCTCGTTGAATACTATAGTTGAAACCTGAAAAACTCGCTCGCTCAAGCGTGCTGCCGATCATAGATATGGATCTTCAGTAGCTTTCCAGTCCAGGCGCGTGTAAGTCGAATATACCCGCAATATAGACTCTCCGCACAAATATGGGACTAAACCTAGACTTGTTATGACTGGAATACCTCAAGGTGTAGTTGGTCAAAGCATCGTGGCAGCGGCTGATTCACTTAAGATACCGGCCCGTCACACTATGAGCACAATCCAAATGAGACACAGGGGTGAAACGATCAGATACTTTTTTATATTGACGGTTCAATCCCCTGGGGAAGCGATTAGGTATCTCGCAATGCACCCCGTTTTCCGCTATGATGACCATCTCGCCCATACTCTTCTGCCCTAACTCCACGTTGCAGCCGACCCTCGTTCTAAGCAATACTAATTCCGCCCTCGGATCAAGTCACTCGCCCGAGCAAATCGAAATGCGCAATACAATAGCGAAGAGACACGCATTTAAAAGACAATTCTGTCGAGTATACAATCCATTACCCGCCGCCGTCTCTCTTCATATTCATCACTAGGCCACACGGCTGCACGGCAAACGAATAAGTCCAACCAGCGCCAAAAGAAATAGAAAATAGTGAGAAATAAGCATAAAATTCAATCAATACGTAATAGGTTCCGTCAACATCATGGTTTCGTTCTTCGTGTCCAGTCTGCTGATACTAAGTTGGCAACTGCCATGACGACCCCAGATTTTGTTCTGCCGTAGTGACAATCATTAGCAGAGTCGTCTTGGTGTTGTAATAGCCAACCGGTACCGCAATTTCCGTCTTTAATTGATGCGCATATGCGTCATAACAGCGTGGCCATCGTCAAGGGGGTTTCCTGGTTCCGTTTCCAAGCCCCATGGGGAGAGCGGTGCAGAAACCGGGAACGTCCCGAGGGTATAGCTGTGAAATCATCAAGCCGTAAATGGTCGCCCATGAATTGTTGTATATTGTATCCAGAGATGGTACGCTTACCGGGTCATCATCAGAGGCTATCGTGGCATAAAATGAAGAGGATCGTATACTGCCTTCCATCTGCTTCCGTAAATAACTTGCGAGCTCCCTCACAAAGCCACATCTCCATTTGTATCAGGTGGACTTTCAGCGTGGGCGAAAAAGCAGATAATAATGCGCGTGGTGTATAAAGAAGCACCGCAAACCAGTTATCATATTACAAAATGGTCGAAAGCCAACGCCGTAGAACGGAAAGAACTGTCCGTTCGGTAAAATGCCGATAATTAGACAAAGTCATCTGACCCAAATGGCGGAGAAGGGAGATGTGGCAAATGAGATCTGATCCGGGGAGCAGGCTGTAACTCTATATCGTAAAATCATCGTCTCGTTGGTGCGCCTTTCGCGCAAAGGTCGAGATGAAAAGCATCATGACCGTGGGTAACTTGCAAATACATCTCAAGCGTGTCTCCATATGGCATTCTTGATATCAATCCCCAGACATCAGAAGTCGTCATACAATCCTAAGTGGAGTGGCTCGCGTGTACAGCGGGAAGCAAGGTTTTCTAAATATTGAAATGGACCAATGCGCTACTGCAGCCCTCGTTGAGCTGTGGATTGGGGCATTTAGCATGGCAAATTAATGGAACCGGGGATTTCCAGAGTTACGACCAGCATCAGAAGAGTCTATAAACCCACACAAGATCAGTACAGGAAGAGGTCATGAAGAAAATAGCAAGTCTCTGGATGGCTTACCGCTGCTTCGTTGCATGTGGCCACGACCGCGGGCTGAGAATCCAGAGCTTGGCTCTCCCCATTCTGGACCACGAGGTTGTCTTTCGGGAGCGTTACGACTGGCTCCATTTGCGCCTGGGCGTTGACTTCCAATAGCACCTGGAGTGCTTCGCAAATGTGAGCCACTCGAGTCGTAGCCGAGACCTAATGAGTTCATATTGGATGCCAACAAGGCATCTGTGCTGGAAGCAGCATTATGCGCAGTGGTGGGAGTTAGATTTGGAGGTGTTGTGAGCGATGTCTGGGAGAAGTCACCATAGCGAGCCCCCAGCCCATTGCCAAGACCAGCATAACTGGAACCTGAAGGCGCAGGACTAGGACTGTGAGCTCGAAGATCCGCAAAGCTCTTTGCAGCACGGAGATTGTTGGGTATGCTGTGTTCTGGGCTGCCAGGGAGCTCTAATGTAGGGTTCTGTCGGCCAAGAGTGTGGTATGCACTTGAACCTATGCGAGATTCTGCGAAATCGAAAGTAGCAGCACGGCTCAGTCCTCGCCTGTGGTCCTCCCAAGATACATTAGGAAACTGGTTCTGATTGTGCACAGGGGGTGAATTTTCCGATCGTTTCTGAACCTGGATCTGCCTGTTGTGCGCCTCGCCCACAGATTTATGCTCCAAACCCATATTATGAGCCAAGATATGTATCTGGCGACGCTGCTCCGGAGCAACCTCAGCAGGGAATATGTGAATTTCGCGAGTTGGATCGTTCTTGAAGATGGTTAACTGAGTATAGAAGTCTAAGGTTGCGGGATCGTTTAGATCTACGTCACCTAGAATGATGAGTTAGTATACAGGACTAATCAGGCGCAAATAAGAATTGTCGACGTACGTAAAGGGGAATTATTCGGCTGCTGCTTAACGCTGACACCAAGAGCCTGTAGAGCGCTTTGCTGGTGCATGGGAAGTGGCGCGCGATGTTGCTCCTCAAGCTGTCCACGTTTCTCCCTCTTCTCCCTATCGATCCTGTCACGCTCGTCCTGCGGCAGCATCTTCTTGTACTCAACGCGAAGCTTCCGACCCATAACTTCTAGCCCGTTCATCTTCTGGATCACAATAGCTGTGTCCTCTGGGGTGGAGAAATTGGCGAAGGCAAGACCCCTGAAGACTCCCTTGTCAAAGTGGTAGTTAAAAGCGTAGGGCTGTGGAAGGTTCATGGAGACCATTAGACCTTGCAGTATCTCTTTTCTGCATTGGAACTGGATGTTTTTTATGACGATGGCGGTGGGGATTAATTGTTCAGCATCGGCGGAAGCAGGGGTTGTCATCATGCCGCGGGCATCGGCTGCCATGCCTGGTATGTCATGTTCGTTGCCGTTCATGCCCATGCTAGGATCGAACATCTGGGACATGGGCGGCTGCATACCTAGATTCGCCTGGTCGGTCCAGGTCTAATAAACACATTGTTAGACACTGACAATGCCAGGGAGATGTGTGAGCAAGAAGAGAAGGGCTACTTACAGATGGCAACGCAGCGCGTCGGTTAACAGCTCTACCACCCAGCCGGCTATTGCCATTCATAGGACCATTCATAGTGGCTATCCCTCCATTGTACCCCCAAGTCTGGCTGTTATCGAGCATGTACCCAGGGTGCATTCCGTTTGGATTTAAACGCTCGAATCTCTGTGCAGCCTCGAATGGCGAAGTTCCTCCAAGCCGGTCATCGTGACCGTAGGCGCCGACATGGTGGTTGTGGGAATCTAATGGACGCTGACCTTGGCGATTTCCTCCCAAACCCGAGGACAGGCCAACAGTCGCGTATCCTTGCCTCATCGATCCCGGTGAACGCGCAGCGGTCGCAGAATAATCATAGTACATGTCTCCTCGGTTCATCTTTGTGCGGGCGGAGCGGGTGTAGGGATAGGATGGGATGGGTACACCGGCTATGGGTGACCAGCGGTCTGCTACAGCTGTTTTGTCGGAGCTAGGCGGCACTGAAGGAAGGGTAAGCGATCTGGTGTGCAAAGATAGCGCGTACGGGTGTAGCGATATTCAGAGGATAGCCGAGTCCGCTGAATTTCGACTTGTAGCTGGTGTCCAACCGATGACAGATTTTTAATGGGGATAAATCTGGAGGTTGTGAGAACTGGGTGAAAGCCGACAACGGATGGTGTCGCGTGGTTGAGAGCGACAGCACGACTGAAGCAACAGCGACAGCGACAGCGACAGAGACAATAGCAGCAGCAGCGACAAAGGGCTTAGGACGTGGGAGTGTCGATCGGGAGGTAGGGTGTGGAATGGAGGTTGGTGGGATGGAGATGGAGAAGGCTGGTTGGCTGATGCGAGGGTTAGTCAGGTAGGAGAAGAAGAGATTGGCTGGGCGGTCAGACGCAGGAAAGGGAAAGAAGAGAGCTTAGGTGTAGGTCAGGCTACCTAGGTAGGTAGGTAGCAGTAGGCAAGTACCTATGGAGTCTCGGTATGGAGTCTTTGTATGGAGGGAATCTTAAGTGCTAGGACCTACCTGGGTGCTGTATGTAAGGCGGTAGCTTAGATTGATGGAGATTGATGGAGATTGATGGTGTGGGCTGTAGGTAGGAGGCATGTAGTATCAGGCCGTTCACGGCTCACGAGCCAAGGACTGCTCACTCATGCAAGGATGGGAAATGTTCTGTGAACGTCTTGTGGCCGAGGCAAGAGATTATGTGCGCCCAGGAGCAAATAGCAAATGAGAATGATAATGAGAATGGAGGAAAAGGGGGCGACGAGGAATGGGAAAAGAACGGACAACGGGACGGACACAACCCTCCAGCAAACAACAGGAACAACAATAGGCACAACAACAGCACAGCACAACACAAAAGGTGTCTGTGATGAGGATGGGAAGAGGAGAGAATGGGCCTCTTGTCCAAGGCCTTGGGTATATCCTATTAATCCTAGTGATCCTGTTGCTGTGCCGGGGCAGAGCAAGCAAAGCAGCGCAGGAGAGAATTTTTGCTCTCCTGTTTGGCTTCGCCGTTGCTGGACAAGGCAGCCAGCCAGCCAGCCAGGCGGGCAGTGGAGAAGGGAAAGATTTTAGCGCACCACAGCGCAGCTCAGGCTTCACCTAGACTAACCTACTGTAGGTAGTTAGGTAGATTGCTTGCTTGAATACCTAGACAGACCTAGAAGACGGAGCGGACGCCAGATGAGAGATGGGAACAAGATGGAGATGGGAAATGGGAGAGCGGGACACGTGCAGGGAAGATACCCTGTACCCGGACTGTAGCGTGTGTGTGTGTGTGTGTGTATATGTATGTACCTATGCGACGCTAGTCAGGTACTTTATAAGTGAGTAAGGTAGAATCTTGGCCTTGAGGTACTTGCACATAACATGCTCGTAACTTTCAATCTTAGATCTGATATACAGTAGGAACATACCTACTAGATCATTGAGTTGAGCTTGAAGCAGAGAGCTAAGCAAATATCTATACAAATGGGTGTAGTAGCAGAATAGAAGTTGTTGATAGGCAGGTATATACGTGGCTATTATTATACTAAGTAGGTAGGTAGATAGGTAAAAGATTCTTGGTGTTGCAAGCATGAAAAGGAGGGGAAGCCCAGGGATGATGGATGATGAGGGGGGGAGAGAAGAACCAAAACTAAGTATGAGAATAAATCAAAAAGTTAGAGATAATCGTCACCAAGACTTCAACACCGCTACTCAGCCAGTCTGATAATCGATGGAAGAACTCTTGCGGTCAGACGAGTCAGGAATAAATATGCTATGCTGGCTCTGTGCTTCTTATCCCGGCGGTGCTTCGTGTTCTCTACTTTCTTATCCTATGAGAAGCAGTATCGCGATGCTTCTTCGAAGCTTGACCCCCCCCTAGGTAGGCTCTCTTGATTTATTCTGCTTTTTTTTACTACTTTGTATTTGATTTGTTTATTTTTCGTTCTCATTCTCTACTTTTTTTCTTTTTCTGCCTCTGTCCGCCCGCCCCCTTTTATGGACCTATCTAAGTATAAGACTACAAGTACCAACTTACCTACCTGCTGTAAGATACATACTCGAAGGTCTGGCAGATAGCATCTGTGTCAGAGAAAAGGCTGCCAGCTAAATCCTAACATCCCTCATAGAGCCTGCAAGATAGTCTTCAGGTCAGGGTTTGTGGTATTAGATTCTACTTTTATGGTACCTACATATATGTATGTAGGTAGGTACTTAACACCTACAATCGGTACAAACTATTACCAGTCGAGCCCACGAGACATCGTGCTGTCTGTCTACCGATAAATAAAGTATATTTGAACCCAATTCGCTCCAGGAAATGTAGACCACTTACGCACCACCAGGAGTACTACGTAAGTAGTCGCATGATCATCAAAGAAGAACGTACACATTCGTCAACTATCCAATCGTGTCCCTCCCTTCCCCGGACTCCAGCTCGGTCGATCATGATGCAGATGAAACGAAACACCGCAGGCCACCCACCTATCTGACCTACCTACCTATAGTACTGTATGTCGCCGTCCAAGTACGTGTACCCCGATGTGCCGAATACCTACCTACATGTAGATGGTGGCGGCGGCCCGTTCGATCTGGTCACGCCGCTACGTACTATGTATAGCTTCGATCGAATCTACGGGCTGTCAGGGCGGCAGAGGCTAAAATGGCTGCAAATGAAATCGCTGACCAATAAGTTTCGTTGCACTGCTCAGGCTTCTCGCCCAGACATTTGTCTATGTACATACACACTTATGGGTACCGGAAAGACCCAGAGATGCTGAAGTTGTTAGGAATAAGGGGGTGGCAAGGCAGCGGGAAGAGCTGATTCGATGCACTCGCGCGCTGTTCTCGTCAATTCAGGTGTCCCTGGATTCGCTATTCGCTTAGTACCGACTTAGCGACTTTAGTATTATATCGAACCTGCCCAGTAAGCGTCTTGGTCGGTAGACTGTATCGATCAAGGCTCGTCAAAGCACTGGCCTTTTTTTCTGTATCTAGTATTATTTCCCCTGTCGGGACCACCAGGCAGGAAAAGCTGTCGGTGAAGTCTGTGGTGAGATAACCCTGATACCGTAGGTACTTTTTCGAGTTTAGGGCGAAGGACCCAGCAGTATTAGTGTTGGCCGGATCAGAAGCCGGGACAGTAGACGCGCTAGAAAACCAGAAGAGCCACCACAACTCTTTCTTCCAAGTGCAAATAAGGATCAAGTCACCGTTACCGCCAGAGACGGTCAGCTACTTAAGTAATACGGGTATATATAAGACAGATACCTCCCGCCTCCCTACAGGCCGACCGCGGTAGCGTGCTTGCGATATTGCGGCAGGTACTCGGCCGAGTGACGATAAATACTTGAACAAATATAAAAAACTCCTTGCCTCCGGCGAAGCCGTTGGCTGTTACTCAAGTCTTACGAAAGTTATATGTACAGTGCCGACTACAGTGTGTGGGGAAATCTAGGTTTCTCGGCCCGTGTCTCGTTTGTTCACGCTCGGGTTACCTGATATTGTAATATGTAGGCAGTGAAAGAGCATCGAAAACTGCTCCGGTGGTCAGGTCTACTTGAAATACGTGGGGGATGCGTGCTACCTATCAAAGGTAATAGATAATAAATGCTACCTTGAGTGAGACACTGCTGGCTGCTAGATCATGTGAAAATGTGATGTGTACTATGCAAAGCGCTCAACTGTGTCCGATGGCATACATTTCCCACTCTAGTTATATCTAGGTACAACATATACTCACAGAATGAGGGAAAGTGGTAGGTATCCTACTTGGCAGCTGTGAATCGTTGACCTACCTGTACAAGAGAGAGGTAGCCCGAACAGACCCGACCTTTAAGGGAGAGACTGCGCGAGCACTGTGTCACGATGGTTTTGAGACGACTTCTAACTAAAATGCACTAAGCCCTTCCCGTGCTCTGCCTTATAAAATCTAAGGTGAAGATTTGGCCCTTTACCTTAAGAAAGACTCACTATGTAGATAGTTAGGCACCTAGGTATGATCAAGTGACGATAAATTCGTAGATACTACCCTCACTTCCCTCATGAATTTCCGCGATTCTTACTATTAAGCGCCAGGAACGAGGCAAAGGGGTCGAGCTCTCCCGAGCAACTACCAACGGAAGCGCTTACATCAAGTCAGAATAAGCACTTCAATAGACAATTCTGAACCGAATCTCAGTACATGATACTCGTAGGCACCTTGTTAGGTAGTACTGCATATATGTATGCAAGGACTCAGCAATGACTCCCATTTCTGGGCCATATCAATCAAACAGCCAATACAATGCGACATTCCAGACTTCCAGAGTAGTACTTGGAAAACAAATAGCATACACATCTTGCCAACAAGGGCGGCCTGCATTCCACGATTCCTAAGCAGCAAATCAAGTCATGCCGTTTCGCGGTGCCGAGGCGAATCAAACATCATCGGTTCGCCTATTGATCTGCAGTGCATTACGCTGTGGGCACATGATGCCGGCATCTACACACGGTCTCAAGAGTCACGACATGTACCGCCTCCATATATTACGTTGGTTGCAGATGACACTCTTACCAGGTAATATCCTATCTTACCTGAACAATACGTACATGTAGTGATGATATGGAGGCACCTCTTTGCTTTGCTTATCTGAAAAATGTCATGCGCGAGATAGCAAGCCGTTAACAGACAAATATATCTAGCTTAACAGAGGCGAAATCTCTGGGAAAATGCGACTTGTTATACATGTTGGTCCAAGCGACAACGGTGAACTCACCCCTTCTAATAGCCTATGCAGTACATGTACACGGGCAGTGCTTGAAGTCGCGGTATGTTACGTAGCATTACATTGCCATACAATGACAATGAGCAACGAGCCATGAGATCTCAGAAACACACGGACCGCGTAATCAAGTCGTGTGCACCGCAACGAGCGAACAGAGAGCGAAGAACCGCCACTCTCAAGCTCCAGAGGATTAGCACAATCTCCTCGTTCAAAACATTGGCCCTACCAACGGAGTGAGTATTGCTACCAACTCGCTCGGTGCTCTCAGCCAACGCCAAGGAACACAAAATATTTCTTTTTTTGGTCCTAGACGCTGCTGGGAAACTAAAACGGCCCGACACCACCAACATGTATGTAGGTGCTCCCTTATCACCAACGTCAGAGTTGGAAGATCTCTGGTCTCAATAGATGTCCCAACTTTTGTCTAAGAACAGCCTCAACTAGGTCGGTACTAACGAAGTAGGTAAGGTGCCATTGTAGCTCAGCCATGTGCGCTAGTCCGGGCCAGAGAGGTCAGAAATGCAACCTAACGGCTGCGGCCAAGAGCAAGCCGACCCGGTGGTATGGTAAAACGATGTATGATACACAACATGTTGGTGCTTACGTATTAACGACATGCGAAGGATGCGAGGAGACCTACCTACCATTTGCGCAATAGGGACTGATGCAATATCTTCGTATGTCCAGAACACCATGCAGGTTACCAGACGACTAACATTCCTTCGGCCTCTTCGGAACTGTGAGTGTCACTCGAGCTGATTCTAAGCTACTCAAAATGGTTAGTTTACCTATCAACCAGAGACGCCATGAGGTCTAACGAACTGCTGACGCCTTTTACATACGTTGTCATTAAAATCGCAATCTTGCATAGGTATGTCACACTTGACGGTGGTAACGTTAGCAAACACTCCCCATGCTAAAAGTGTTTTGTAGAATACAGATTTATCGGCAACGAGGTATCTCTCCTTTCAATTCGTACCCTAATCCTCTACAGCTTGTTTCCCTATTGTTAGATAGTGTAATTAATTTTTCATCTCGGTCTCAGGATTTCGACGCACAAGATCGGAAAGAAGCTAATGAGTTGCTATGATTTGTTGCCGTCTTGTGCTGCAAAACGAGGTGGCCTTGTCAGGTCTTGCCCACCTCAGTAGCGCCTTCGATCCAACTCTTTACAGCAAGGGCAATAATAATCATATCTGTTACAGATCGCATATCAGAGAGCAGCGCTGTATGACAGAACCAGCCGCAATATACAACCAAACTACGCCAACGTTACATTCAAAGACAAAATGGCTTGACGATCGTCTGTCTTTGGATGGTGAGCGTAATATCGTTGTAGTGTCGTACATCCACCTGCCAATTCTGCTGTCTCGGGCTACGACAGCAATAGTGTATGTATCTATGGGTCGATGATGCTGGCGACAGTGTCACAGCGCGAGCATCTGCATGCAAAGTCGATCTTCCAATGGGGACAACGCCAGTGTCTTGGCTGCTGATACCACTCGTTTCCCTTTTTGAAGGTCAAGAACCAACCGAGTCACCTGGGGTTCTATTGTTGTAACTGAATTCGGCGCCCTAGCAGCTCTTGTGCATAGAATTTCTGCAAATTCATGTTAAGCACTTAGTCTAGATAAGACAGGCGATGAGACCAAAGTAGATGAAGACTGTAGTCTCTCCAAAGTGATCTAAATCAAAAGGTTACCAATACTGGTACATGATACATGCAGAATAACCCCAGCAGTTCAGCCGAAAATGTCACGTCGAGGTCATAGTCAGAAATCATGTCTCAACTAACATATGCATGTCTCTACTCTTATACGATATCGCCAAGAATCGATTCACCTTCCAACTAACAAGCTATGCCAAGCTGTTGCTCTGCCAATCACCATGGAGAAATAAACAAAATAAATAAAACAATAAGAATGTAAGTAGCAAACGCATATCATGATCACACCGTTCGACAATGAGTCTGGAAATAATGTGAGCGGTGCTTCATAACACGAGAAGTTTTCTTCAGATCTTCATATTGCTATGTGCTTAAAACATACTTCAGGGATATATACTCCACATGGGTACTCGACGAATATGAACGGAATAGGAATAAAAAAGGCTAACTTCGAATCGCCATTGTGTTTATAGATACGGCATTATGTGAGTAAGATAACTGAACCGCCGAGGAACTGGCGCAGAAATTAGGAGAAAGACCTAGTACACGAGATCTTGACACAACCTCAGCCGAGCAAAATCAATCACTAACTAAAACCACTCACACAATTCACCTCCACTCGGTGTATTTTGTTTTTAGCAACTTTAGGTGCTAAAGTACAGGTATATTATGGAACGGGGGCTTCTGTTACTGCCACTAGGCATCATGACCGAATTGCGAATTATAGCCGTACTACACCATAGCGGTTGATTTGCGACGAAAGGTAGAGAGACGTTACTCCTAAGTGACATATACATAACACATGCTCAAGAGGCCCCTTTATCTCTCCATGATTTCCATATGAACCTATCTGCAGCCTAATGGGTGAAGTATAAGCTACTAATCTCAGAGCGGTAAGTTGCTTGAATCGTTCCTTGCCCAATGATAAACTTCCCAGATGAGTACGGCATGTCAACAAAGCTCTCCTGATCGGTATGTCCGATTTCATCACTGATCCGCATTTGAAGTAAAAGCAAAGCCTACAAGGAGTTCGCATTTCTGCAAGCGTACCACCTTTATCTCCTCATCTCTGCCTCACCTTCCAATAACGGCATATGTACTATGCATTCATTAAGTCCCCAAACAGCAACACGAAGACAAAAGACCTAAAACCCTCCGCCGCGGGGTTACACCGAAATGATCATATCAACTCACACCGCCACGAACCCGCCAATATCGCAATCCCCATTGTATATCGTCGGCGCAACAGTAGTCCTAATGCCCACGAATTCGCACTCAGGGAACTCGACGGGCGTCGTATCGTACGTGTAATAGAAAAGCTGTTTCCAGGGCCCGGGTCCGAGGTCGTGATCGGCCTCGCACAGTATGAAGCCGTGCACGATATTCAGCGGCTCCTCGTGGTACAGATCATACGTGCCGTCGGGGCTGCCGCCGGAGAGATACCACTCGCTCTCCACCTCTCCAGGCCAGGTCGACGCGTTGGCGAAGCCCACCGTGTACCGGTGTGTGCCGTTGACTTCGTCGCGCTGGTTGAGGTACCCCGTTGCGCCCGTGTCGTAGAGCTGGTTGTAGATGTCGCGGCCTTGGGACTTGACTGATGAGTTGGCGAAGTTGGAGAGCAGGACTGGGGAGGACGGGTCTAGACCTGCGAAGAAGCCCCCTTCGAGATACGGGTTCGGACGCAGTTGGATTGCGCGGTTGTTGGTGCTTGCTGTTGTCGAGGCGATGGTGAAGATTAGTCCGTTGTTGCTTTCTGTTGTGTTGACGTGTACGGGATAGTTGTAGGGGCAGATGCTTTGGGCTGAGAGGGCGCTTGTTGCGAGGAGGGCGAGTGAGGCTGCTACCTGTGTGAACCACATCGTGCTTGGTTGAAGATGATGAAGTGAGATTGCAGATCGATTATTGTAGCCCCAATTGATTATTATTGCTATCAAGTTTCACCACGAAGCTTGAATATACAGCCCGTAGACTTTCTGCTTCAGATATATAGGCACAATTCAATTCTCTATCTGCTAGATCACAATGCGATCCACGTTGTTTATAAATAAGGCATGAAGCTCTTGAACTACTGCTGACCTCGCTAGGAGCTTTGATGGCGTCATATGAACAGGGGCAATTGGCACATAGGTAAATAATATCATGATCTAACTGGACGATTTAACTACATATGTAAGTTAGGTCGCAGCGGATTACAAAAAGCTCGTATTTAGGACTTCCAGAAGCCCAAAGCGGGGGAGAGGTGGTGGAAGGAGGATCGACAAAGGCACCGATATTTTGAGCTGCTGCGGTGACTAAGCCAGTAAAGACCGGCCGAGACTCTTTGTCAGAGCAAATTGGAGAGAAGACTTGCGGGCTCTGCCATTCTGGTGATAAGAAGTCATCGTGAGAGAACTGTTTGCGAGTGGGAGCAGTGGGAGATTCGTGAGCCGACCTCGAACGATTGATTGAGGTCCGATGCTACACTACGTATAAGTAGTACCATTGTACAGTCGTGATATTGCGAATGACCACAAGTTAGATTAGGTACTTACTCATAGGGATGTACCACCAAGACTCGAACCTCGAGGGCGTTCATCACCCGTTGTCTTAGACATCGGGTATTCTGTATCTCTTGTGGAAACGTTACTATGATGATATGAGATTCTGTGTATGTCAACTGCGAAACAAATTAAAACCGTTACTCTGTTTCGCTGATCGATCTTAAAGGGCAGCTTGACTGGTATGACGTATTCTACTGGACCCGGTAGCTGCACATGTGAGCTTCTCAGGTACTTGGGTACTTGAGTACTTGTAGAGTCTGGGTAAGAGGGAAGCCGTTGTGGCGGTGCATCCCGGCATGATGGTTGGACCAGGTGCCGGAACTTCCAGGTCAAGCCACATCTCTCCTCCACATGGGCACCGCCAAAGATTCCACCTCATCCCTCCATCCGTCCAGCCCTGGCCTGGCACGGCCCGCTGCTCTCCGGGTTTTGCAACCTAATCTCCCTGACCTACATAGGGAGCGACAACCACAGCACTGCACTCGAACCAAACCGCCTGCTTCAGATTCCTGTTTTCCCTGAGTATCAGAGTCTGGCAAGGCTCGTGCTGGCTGGCTCTGTGTAAGCCAAAAGACATCCATGATGGGCTAGAACAGCAGATAGCGGCTACTCAGTCTACAGACTCCTTGCTAGAGGTATAGAGCTGGATGATACACTGTTGTGTTCGTCATCATGCTGCCACCTTTTGAAGCTGAGGCTGTAGGTGAGTCAGCCAACTCTTCCCAGGATCCCTGAGCTCAGCTAGCTCGAGGAAGGCTTGAGACAAGGTATGGTGAGTCCACACGTCGTTTGCCTTTCTTTCTATCCGGGCTAGGGACAGCTTTGGCCTCTCCTGGTGCGACTCAGACGCCATTCAACAGCATCACCGAGCCATACATACAGGCATATACGTCTCCCCTCGGAGATGCCTTGGCTCCCTCCAAACCGGGGTTTCTCCGGAGAGACACCAGACCAAGTGGTTTACCTAGCTCATCATGTCTACTAGTCGAGGTACACTGCCTATCTTGGTCCTACTATGTCCATGTAGGTATCTAGGATAGACACGCCTTCCTATCCATCCAGGCCTCTATCTGTACACCAGTACGGTAGTTACCTCCTCTTTAGGTACATACTTACACAGCAATTTGGAACAAGCTGCTAGGCAGCATGGAAACAAAGACAGCATATACATTACCTACATAGGTAGGTACAGCACTGCGCACATGGTACTCACTGCTCTATGGAGGAGCATGTAGGTGAAGCAAGTACTTGTTGTCCATGTCGATCCAACTGCGTTCAGTACTTCATCTAAGTACTTCGCCGCAAACACGGTCAGTGCACCGAACGAACCCAACACTAACCCACCCCTGCCACTGAGCAGCAGCTAGCACCCGACCGGCAGCGTGGAGCAGCCTAAACAGCCCTGGAACTTCCCCAACTCGGCTCTATCTTGACCTACTTACGGAGCATTCTGACCTAACTAACCAACCACACCTGGGCACTTACCTAACTTACCTACCTGGGCAGACATACCTACCCCGGGCCCTAGGCAGGCCGCTAAATCCCCCAAAGCATCGCTGAGGCGGCTCCCCTAGTTAGAGCCTGGTTCGACGGTATAGCGCCTGCAGCCAGCACCATGCTGGCCACTGGGCAGTCTTTGCGCCGCCTCTCGATTTTCCAGCTCACAGCGATCAAATCATCGATGGATGCTTCCCGCCCAAAAACACCACAACAACAAAACATTTTTCGCCGCATCCCGACGCGCAAACATTCTCAACAACACTCCCGACCCCGAAAACACCCCAATCATCAGCTTCCCGCGCCGATATATCTGCTTTCCCACAATCTGCTATTTGTTGCGACCACATTGACACGACATATATCTACGGCTTCGTTTCTCCAGACCTCCACATTCTCCTCTGCGCGACCGCCCCATCTCGTCGTCGCCCCATAACACACCTACACAGTCCACAATGGCTGGTGGAAAAGGCAAATCCTCTGGCGGAAAGAGCTCGGGTGGAAAGACAGCTGTTGATGGCCCCAAGAAGCAGCAAAGCCATTCTGCTCGTGCCGGTCTTCAGGTAAGATAGAGCTGTCCCTCATCCTCTCTTTTCCGGCAGTTCGTCGTCGTCATCTTTGTCTATCCGTGCCTGTATGCCCATTGCCCCTCGCTCGATCACGCACAACACGATGCACGCGCATGCACAATCCGACAATATCGAGAACAAACCATCTATCCCATCTCCATGACAATACATTGCGCTGCTATTTGTCGCTGTATTCCCATTCTCTGTCTACTGCATGCTACACCACATCTCAATAGGCACATAATGTCATGCGAAACTCCCTCAATGATCCTTGGGTCTTTCTTTTTATTGCACATTGTATGATATGACTTTGATGCAACTGGAAGCGCATGGTCCCACGGCTGCACACCGTCATTACGCGCTCTTTAAGATCTCCTACTGGTGCCCTTGCAGTTCACTGACAAGCTCATCTCTAGTTTCCATGTGGTCGTGTCAAGCGTTTCCTGAAGCAAAACACCCAGAACAAAATGCGGGTAGGCGCGAAGGCAGCCGTCTACGTTACTGCTGTGTTAGAATATCTGACTGCTGAAGTCCTAGAACTTGCAGGCGTGAGTCACACCCCTCTTCTCTTGTTGCTGCCTATGACCCCTATGACTCCTGCCAGGGTTCTAGCAACGTACTGGCGCATTATCTTCTGATTTGCCGAGAGGCTGTGGTAAACTGTACAAATCTGACTTGTTGTCTAGAATGCTGCCAAGGACCTCAAGGTCAAACGTATCACCCCCCGCCATCTCCAACTGGCCATCCGCGGTGATGAAGAGCTCGACACCCTGATCCGTGCCACTATTGCCTTTGGTGGTGTTCTACCACATATCAACCGCGCTTTGCTTCTGAAGGTTGAGCAGAAGAAGAAGAGCAAGGCCATCGAAGCCTAGTTGCTGGTCTGTTGTTCACGTAATCGGTTTAAATTAATGTATACCCTGCTGGTATTATTAGGGGTATGGGCTGATGCTGAGGAAGCCCTTATTTTCGTTGCGGGTGCGACTGTGAGGCAGCAACGGAGGGAAGGATGGTCATAGGAGTGGAGTTTGTAACGCTTGTGGGTTTTTATTTCATTGCGTTTCATTTGACCTCCCCAACAATATATGAGCTGGCCATGAGTCGGGTGAAGCTCTCTGTGCGTCGAGAATGTGTCCCGGCAATATCAGAATGGCTGGAAACTCTGGTATGCACACACATATTCAGACATAGCTTCGTCTGGGCATTGCGGAGGACAAGATAGATGAACTTATCAAAGAGGTCGGACTTCTCACTCTAGCTAGTCTATTAGTGGCATGTAAAACACAATGCGTTCACTTCCAATCTGAATCTAAAGAATGTCTGAATTAGTTTGGTCACAGTCGTGATTGAGTGACAGCGCTGTAGAACAACTCCTATACATTGGTCTATTTTCATATATGTTCAATACTTAATCATGACTAGGTGGTTGAACCCATGGTAGGGGGTGATTGGGAAGCCCAAGCTAGTTGACAAGAGCGCACTTCATTTACCATGGATTGTTTGCTGTCAAATCAGAATCTTCTGTAACCTAACGTTCATTTTGATAATAGCATTTGTTGACTCTATTCTGAATGAAAGAAGGCTGGACAACGCTATCAACTATGTGGGATTAGGGGATTCTCTAAGAGCTGAATGAAAGCTATCAGAAAGCACGGCGGAAGTAATCTCATGACCTCGTATGTACACAAACACACATATCCTAGTAACCAAAGCGCTTTTAGGAAGTAGGACGGACAATTCTGTGATACCGGCTTTGTCTCCCTGGGCCGTCACACATCCCCGTCTATTGGCAGTTCATTGTTTGTGTTCGGAGCAAGAGGGAGGCCAAAAATGCCGGGATAATGAGTCCAACCTCATTCAACTAACCTTTGTCGCTGGCATAACAAGCATCTGCAAAGCATATCTCTTCATCTCGTGGACTGGGAGAAAGATGTCTTTCTCTACGGCCACGTGGAGGCGGAGCAACAAAGCTGGCGATGATAGAGGATCCTCACCTGGACCTTTGGGAGAAGGGCTAGGCTTCGTGGATGCTTTGTCGAGACCAGCGGGACAAAGTGCCTTGAGGCTATTTGAATAGGTGTCACTAATATTCTTATCGTTGCGCGCAGTCGATCAGTCTTGGAATTCTCTTCTTCTTCTTGTGTTCGTCTTCGCCGGATGAGAAGTTCCGTTTCTGTCCTTGTGTCTCTCTTGTCATTTCCTTCTCGTTCGTGTAATTGTTGCTGCTTTTTGAGCATACCTTTTCCATTCTATACACTCACTAGGAAGACGATCCGATCGTGTCATATCGTAACGTCTCGAGATATCCCGTCCTCGTTAGACATTCTTCATATCACGATCTGTGGTCATTTCACGCACGCACGCTGGCGGTGCTGCTTCACCTACCTACAAAATACCTTTTCTATTTTCCATACAACGCACTAGACGCTAGGAAAACTACAGATTTGGGTTTGTCCTGTCTTTTGCTTGCTAGCAAGCAAAGCTGAGCCGTTCAAAACCTCGTTCGTTGCCCCCCAAGAAAGGAAGAAGAGCATTTCCCGACTTCAGAGATTAGAATTACATCTTGCTCTTGATATCCGGATTCGATTCTCGCCGCAAAATTAGAGTCACAGTATAACAAACCTGTCACAACCCAAGACACCCGGATCTCTGTCCGTCTGTCGTACAAATGCCGTCACGGATAAATCTCCCCAAGTTATCCCTCTTCTCCTCGTCCCGGAACTCCTCGTCCTCCTTCTCTTCTCCTCCATCCCCATCCTCATCTACCCCTGCATTCAAGATGCCAACACCATCAACAAGCAAATCAAACAACAACCGCAGCCCCGTGTTCCCCCCGGCCCGGCTGCACCTCCGCAACATCCTCCCCTCAAGCCCGGAGGAGCCCCCGAGCCTGCCGCCTCCACCTCGGTCCCCGCGGGCCTGGGTCTGGCAGTGCCACAGATGCATGAACGTGTACCGTCTAAGCTGCACGCGGCGCTGCCTAGACTGCTCGCACACATACTGCGTCTCGAACCCCAAAAACACAAACCCGCGCTCCGCTAACCCGAAAAAGAAGAACCATCACCGCCGGCGGGCCACGGGGCTCTGCGGCGCCGAGTTCGACTACGTCGGCTGGGAGCAGTGGGGCTCCTGGCGGCGCAAGGTCCTCGGTTACGAGGCCGCGGGCCGGTGCGAGCCCAAGGCGCGCGATCGCGCGTTCATGAAGAAACTACACAACTGCTGGATCGATTGCGATTCGCCCTCGGAGTGCTGCCATCGCCGCTTCGAACTAACCACCGAGGCGCTGCGGAACGCGCAGATGCAGGCGCAGGAGATGGTGAAGACCAGTGGTTTTGTCCCGGTGAACCGCCCCGTTGATCCCGATCTATCGGAGCCGGTGGAGACTCATGACGGAGATGAGACGCCGCCGAAGAGCCCGTTGGGCCAGTCTAGTTTCTTGTGGGACGATGATGAGACCGAGGTCGAATATGGCGGTGAGAATAAGGAGAATGAGGAAGTTTTTGAAGTTGAAGAGCCCGAGGAGGACAAGTGGTGCGCTGATGCCTCTGGTTCTAAGACGTACGCTGAGCAGAGCTCGCCTTGGAAAATCCCCGGTCTGGACAGCAAGTACTGGGCGAGCGCCTTTGAGGACGACGCGCAAGCCTGTGCTTCCAAAGGGTTGACTGTGCGGAATCTGACTGGTGAGGATTCCACACCCGCCGGGTCTGACTCGGAGTCTGAGTCGGATCGCAGTAGCTGGTCGACGTCTAGTGAGGAGTCGGACGATAGCTTAGAGATTGGCGCCGCGGTCTAGGTAGCCTGATATCTATGATCATGGCTCTCTTTTCTTTTCCGCACTTACCTAATTATTCTGCCTGGGTCGAGAGGTGGCATTTTGTTTAAGAAATGGGGTTCTCGCATGATAGGAAGATGTACACGCCTCCTTGATGGAGAACGGGTATAGCTTGTGTATGTTAGTTGTATTGATAGATAGATTGGTGTTAAGGAGTTGTGTTTTGGTATCGAGAATCAAAATAATTATTTGCGTTTTAGCGACTATTTTTGAGCCTGAAATAAGTCCTTGAGATATAGCATCACTGAAGAAGTAACCTTGATCGCTTAAACCGATGTAGTGAGACATCACGTTAGCGATAATAGCCATATTATAGGCATGTGAATCATGTGGTATTATGTAATTGTCCTAAGAGAGAAAGCGGAGGCGTGGTGCGGGAGTGTTTTTACCGGGTTTATAACTTCAAGTATGATCTCGATGCGACCACCAAATAACGAATCAATATAAAGGGTATAACTACATTATGACTTGGTTACAGCCATGGATCAACTAACATATAACTAGGTAGGACTATCTAGCTCCAGTGCCGTTAGGAAATTCCAGGATTGTGACCCGGTCGCTGTAGCTTCCTATCCCAAGGGTAGAGCTGTTTGATTCCATTCTTAGTCACCCCGTCAAACAATTTATCCACCGAATAAATTGAACGATCTCTAACTTCCTTTTTGATTTGTATCATCGCGTCAGCTCGGGAGGTCGAGCTCTCCCATACCCAAGTACTACTGTCGGCCGGTAACGCTCTATCATCTTCATTCTCCGACTTAGGCTTGAGCGCCTTCTTCATCCGAGCCTTCAGTGACCTCATGGTTGCACTGATGAATTTTGAGGTGCTTAAGTGAAAATCCTATGAGACTCAATTGATTAATTATTTGATTGTACATGCTAGCTAATTACCCTTTGCATAAGTTATGAATGAAGTAGTGTCGGGATAAGCACCAGCTATCACCACAATTGTTAAGCGACTAATCTACTTTTACCTCAGGCATCCCGCGCCGGATTGCTGGGTGAGAATGTTGCATCTTGAGAGTTGTATCCGAGGCGGAGCTGTTCATATTTGTGATCACTGAGAGATAAGATAGCCCCTAAACTGCAGTAGTTCTACGTGGGCAACTGAACATCGACTTTACTGATTTTCACATACAAGATTTGGGCAAAAGCCATAACAGTTCCTACCCCGGTCGAAAGTGATAGCTTACCTCACTCTATACCTCGCTGCCCGGCACACGCTGTAGTTTACCGCATATTGTCTGTCCTAGTCAGGTGGTAGAGGAGGCGTCTCCTAATGCCTCGCATCACCGATCTCACAATAACTATTTCAAAACTGGTGCCGAAGGATAAGAAGGGCCCCTTCCCCTTATCTATTGAATAACGTATAATCACGCACCTTATCCGCGCTCAGAGGATTTGTGTATGTGTATTTCATGCCACTTTTCTAATCAAAAAGTATCAATAGTTTTCAAGTTACAATCGCTAACCTACTAAGTATTCACATCATTATCAGTAAAACTCATGACTACATGTAAATGCCAATCTTTGAACTCTGCCGCACTATAATGAACACCGCGGGGGCTAAAAATACAGTGCAGAGCCTGAGTCCTATACGAGTATGCCCAAACGTGCGGTGTGCCCGGCACATGCCTAGGTAAAATCCGCTAATAGAACATACTCGTCGTATTGAAAAGTGAGTCTATACAGACGTCACTAACCTAGGAATGACACATCTCGGGGTTTGAAGAGCACCAAAGACCATACCAGTTTGTATAGCGTTCAATTCAGCCACCGGGGCCAAGTGGAACTCGTTATGCAACATGGAACTAACTCTATGGCCTCCCAGATGACCATATTGTACATGTCTTCAATCCCAAGCCCTATTACCATCCATTGTTGTCCTGACTGCACCAGCAACATGGTAGCCTCACTCGCGACTGTGTAATAGATATCGCCGAATTCTAAACACTATGCGCAGTAAAGGTGTCCAGTGCGTCTAACATCTTCACCGTGAAGGGACTGACAACCCTCTGAGTAAGCATGAGTCTAGCCTCTAGTGCATTCTCTGTAAAGCTGAACAAGTTAAGTACCTCTTTATGTATATAAAAAGCGCAGTAGATCTCAGACACTAGACAAGTATCAATTAATTACGAACAATGCCCATGGCATGGTTACGGGATAGACGGTGCTATACCTCCAACGCGGTGATAAGGAGATACTACCCCTGAACGGCGAGTAATAGGCACGCAATAATAAGGGTTCCTTCCCAGATGTTCTTAGATCGAAGAGAACATGAGCCTCGAACGAAAATTGAACGAAAATTGCATGTCTAATGCACTTGATACAGAATCTCACCTAGACTACCTAAGTATGTAGGGTAGGTAGGTGGTCTTTAGGCAATTATATTACAGATAGCACTGCTTTTACTCTAATCCTAACCTATCCTTCTCAACCGCGCACTCGTATTTTAGAAGTCGTCAGTATAAATTGTATCAAACGTCGACTTACGTGCCTAATGGCTCTCACTAGTTACACAAGGTACTCTTGCTTCGGAGTGATGCTGTGAAAATAGAAAATAGGGAAATATCTGCGAGAGGGCCCCGAACAAGTTCAAATGGGTCCGTGGCCGGCCAAGAATTATCAAGACTCTTCACATAGAAGAAAAAGAACACCATGCCATTGCTGGACTCCGGAATCTACCAGGTATCATTTAATCTATGCGTCAAGATACTACTGACAGAGTCGTTCTCTTTTTCACATTATTCGTCTCACATCCCTTCTCCGCCATCATCCATTCCGCCCGGTCCACCCTGGCGCCCCATTTGTCGTGCCTTTAGCAATTCATCGCACAACAACAGGTTTGAAGCTATACTTGAGCTCGATGCGATGCAATTTCTCAGAACTCGGAAAGAGTCATACACGCCTTCCAACTCCGGGGACATGGGCTCTCCTGTTGTGAGATCGAGTCCTACGACATTACCATCCGCATATTCGTCCTGCAAAGCAGCGACTGTTTTCATTAGCGTGGGCAAAGGGCTTATAGGAGAAGAAGAGGGTCACTTACGGGCATCCTGGATATCGAGACCAGCGTTTGCGGCCAGCGTCTTAGGAATGATTAAGAGCGCATCAGCGAAAGCTGCCACACCCCATTTTGCCTTGCCTTTAACCGTTTTCGAGAATGCATCGGCCTTGAGGTGCGACGCACAAGCGACTTGAAACGCACCGGCACCAGGTACGACACTCTTGTCAACAATAGTGTTGTAAACGCTGCGCAAGCCGTCCCGTACCGCGTCTGTGACTTGGGCAATAGTATGCTGGTTTGGCCCCTTGATCAAGAGTGTTACCGACTTTGGATCTTTGACCTCTTCAACAAACGTGAACTTCTCTTCGCCCAGAGTCTGCTCGTAGACGAGACCGGCCCAACCGAGGACCTCTGGCGACAAGTCCTCAACGCTGTTCTGCGCTGAACCACCGCACACGAGCTGCAGCCGCTCCATGTTTCGCCTCTTAGCCCTCCGGAGGGCAAAAATGCCGTTCTTCGCAAGGACATCGAGCGATAAGGGGTCAATTCCTTTCTGGTTGATGACGACAAAGCTTTTATCATTACCGGCGCACACCTCCTTCTTGAGCTCGACGATCTTTTTCAACTTGGCATCGACGAAGCGTCGCTCACTCTCTACCAACTTGTCACGCTGCTCAGCGCTCGAGTAGAAGAAGCCCGAGTTAATCTCCGACTTCTCATATTCGAGGCTGACGTTGAGCGTTAGGATGTAGGCATTCTCGAGCCGCTTGGGCATATCCGGGTGACGTGCACCATGGTCGAGTACTAGACCGCGGATCAACTGGGTGTCAGATGCAGTCCGGTGCTGCATCTTCATAATCTCAACCATGTGTAGATCGGGCTTCGCAGGCGCTTTGTAGATGGCGAGGACGGCGTCGACAATGTTAGGGTAGAGTTTTGCTGTAAGACTGGCGTTCAATTTTGTAGCGAGAGATGTCCTTGCAACGTTAAGAAGCAGTTCTCTGTCGATATCCCGTGGAAGCTTGAACGAGTCGAGGAACTGGCGAGGGGGTTAGTCGCGGAGGGACCTCGGTGTAGATGCTGGCGTTTACCTTCAGGGCCTCAACTTTGGCTATCTCGAATCCATCGGTGATTACTCGCGGGTGTAATCCCTCAGCGATGTATCTCTCTGCTTGCTTGAGAAGCTCGCCAACCATGAGCACAACAGAGGTTGTTCCATCTCCGCAGATATCATCTTGTGCCGTGGCAGCTCGTCCGATCATTACTGCTGTGGGATTCGTGATTTGCATTTCTCGAAGTAGGACGTTGCCGTCTTTTGTTAATTTGATCTGCACCGGCGTCAGGGCTTACTCGAAGTGTGAGGAGGTAGGCAGGTCAAACCTGTCCGGCGCCATCGACCAGCCTGACCACGAAACATTAGTACATTGTCGACGGCTGTGCAGCTCCGTAAGCCAGAAGAAGCAGGAGATGTCGAGGGAGGAATTTGGGGCGGGCTCACATCTTTATGGTCCCTAGAGGACCAAGGTTTGACTTCAAGACATTCCGAAGACCCTCACCAGCACTGATGTTGACCTGGAGAGCTTCCCCCCTCCGCTAAGACTCTAATTAGTGGCATGTCGCATAGAGGAACAAGAATGAGAACAAGACACAGAGGGTTCACGCACCCGCGACTCGGCTTTGGGATTCAGTAATTCTGCGGCGGACATGGCAATGTGGTGGAGTTTTGTGTATTATCGAATATCGAATATCGAAGCTCGAAGCTCGAAGAATGCCAGGTTTGGGTTGCTGGCTCTGTTTTGGCGAAGTGGGACCCTAATTTTTCTGTTGCGGTGAAGGTAGAGTCTGGTAGAAAGCGCATGTATCTGTACCTGATTAGATAGAGGGCTGCCTATTGAGATACCTACCCCTCCCCCACATTCGTATGTACCTAACCAGGTTCCTAGGTACGCTTTTACCTAAGCCATGGACAGTGCGCCATCCATCACACTGTATATCCGAACTGTGGCTTTCTATCCCTTTGGATACATGCCAAGAAATTAATTATACAATCAGAGCTCTAAATATTTTTTAAACAGATATATTTCATTTGAATTGATGTATAACTACAAATTGCTACATCAATTTTAGAGCATCTTTTATATAAAGATATAGGTATTATTATTGCCGATCCATTAGTAGGAATAGCCAGTGTTAAAGTACGTGAGTAAAATTGGAAATAGCAATGTATCGGAAGCTTCGTGGAAGCCAAAGGGATACGGAAGTCGAGGTCGTATATGTCCATCACCCTTAGTATTAGCCTACCGTCCCAAGCCTGATGTAAATTTACGAATTTACGACCCGAACCTACGTATATGTACTGCAGTAAGTACATATATACCTACCTAGCTTTTTGTGCACTTATCAATTGGACTGCACTTGCGTCTGTTGTGCATAAATAGCCAGCTCGTTTCTGTAAGACTGCGCTGTTCTACTATATTAGGTGGATTGACTTCAGCAAAAAAATTGATTTGACTATGAAAGATGCCCGAAACGAGAACAAATGCTATGACGTCAGAAGCACTCAAGTATCAGCTCATGCTACCTGCCTATCGTTGCGAGAGGCGGGATAAGTGTAGGTATAAAGCAGAAAGCAGATAGACAGCTACCTATAGTACTGATGACTGTGCTCTCTGTCTCATCCACTCTCCTGACAATTTCCCAGACAGCATTTTGTCTCCTTGGCTTCGATATTCGAGTTGTTTCTCATTTGTGCTAACGAGCACTAAGCCGTATCTGTGTCGCATGCCGAATCCTTTGCTTATACCGGTATCATGAACTGCGGGTGCCAAGGAATGCCATTATCAAGGAGTCGAAGCGAATATGCAGTGAGTAGGTACGTGTAGGTATCATACTTCATAGGCAACGCGGTCAAAGCGTCACCTCCACTGCTATTCCTCTCGTCATTTCATCATTTCGTCATTTCCATACATCACTAGGGTTGAGGAGCTACAGAGAATGCGAAATTGACTCCCTATCATCTGTATACGTCGATTCGGCCAAATTCAGAGACGCCTCGGCGCGAATACGACGTTTACAGCAATATGTCCTTGCTCTTTCCGGTAAACCGACAATATTCTTCTCTTCTGGCTTCCAATCATTGTACCCTTCAAAAGACATTGGCCCTCCTACGAGAATCCACCCATTGAATGAGCAAGGTTGACTCGGTCAATCACTGACTCCAAAACAAGTATTCAGATCGTCGGCGGAATCTCCCATGCCTCATCAATGGAGAATGTGCGCTTTCTCCACATACTAGACCTGACCTTCCCCGCTGCCCCAGACGTGCTCCCGCGCCGTTAATGCAGTATTAGGGCCGAGATATCCAGCTCTTGTTCCGTGAACAGTAAGGTATTGCCATCCTTGAGGATGCCACATGTATCTCGTAGCACGCTCTTGCGGCAATAGGCACTCTGTAAGCGGCACCGCGTATCTGTCACGCACACCGCGTCTTCGGCACCCGTCTCTTGCTCAGAGCTCGTGCCGTCCGCTCGGAGGAGACAGGGTTCGAAACCGGATTGCGGATTTGGAAGTGGACGGCATGTATTCCCTCGAAGAAGTCAAGAGTGAGACGTCCAGTCTATGGGAATATCGAGACGGGAAAGCCCGACCTGGTAGGAGTTCATGGTGATGTGGCCGTCATGGCAGGGTAGTAGAGGTGATTTTCCATGTACGCAGCTGGTTTGTTTTTCGCTATTATTCTTTGCTTGCCGTAAGGCATGGACGATGGGTGGAAAACGATGACAGAGATCAAAAAGACTAGTGTTGTCAAGCGGCCTCAAGCCGGGCTTTTGCAGATCTACGCCGTGCTTAGGAAGGCATAATGCTCTCGCTTATAACCATCTCCGCTAATTATCAACCTAAAAAGTCTTAGAATGATAATGCGGCGAATGTCGCCGGCGGCGGTGGCTGTCGATCTTAACAAGATATAAACATGCCCACAATGGTTACAGGAACACATACACACATCGAAACACATGAATCGGTCCGTTTGGCCATCCGGACCAGGATCGGCCTAGGAAGACCCGGTGGAGTCGTGCTCGGCCCTATGAAGCTTGGCTCTTGTCAAGGAGCGGAACTGTCGTCATTGTACTGCTAGTATCGAAGGAAAGGGTGTCGAACTTGACGGACATCTGAACTACGGATAGACCACTCCAAAGACCATGATCGCGAGCCTCATGTTGTATAACCGAGGTGTTGAGTTGTCTTGAACCTTGAAGTTGACCTTCCCGGAACAGCAAGTGGATGCCCGGCATAGCGTCGGCGGAGCGCCTTAGCAATCCTTCTTCAGGAACTCGATCGACGTTAAGCCGCCGTTGTTTCGGCCTCTGACAATTTGTCAACGGAGAGATCTCTTATAAAAGTTTCACAATGTACGCTCCCGATGCCATTGTTTTGAGCCAGCTGCATCTTCAACCATCTTTCGTTTAAGGCTGAATATCTCTCTTGCACCTACCTCAAACATGCGTGGATCACTTATCTCGGCTGCTGCGTTTTCCCAGCTGCTTCTGCCCGCGTTGGCGGCAGATACAGCTGCTTGGAAATCGCGGAATATTTATTTTGCGTTGACCGACCGCATAGCACGCAGCAGTGATGACACGGGAGGCGATGCATGTGGCAATCTTGGAAACTACTGCGGCGGCACCTTCAAGGGCCTGGAGTCCAAGCTTGACTACATTGCTGGCATGGGCTTCGACGCCATATGGATTACACCTGTTGTCACGAGTAAGTCCATCTCTATACCAGCAGGGCTGAGTAGTCGCTAATGCACATGCCAAACACCAGATAGTGCTGGCGGGTACCATGGGTATTGGGCACAAGATTTGTACGGTATCAACTCGAACTATGGTACTGCAGATGATCTGAAGAGCCTCGTGAACACTGCCCACGACATGGTAAGCTTCTCTCGTGTTTTGGCAATTTGAGCTGCTTATACGAACTTATAATAGGGCATATATGTCATGGTTGATGTGGTTGCAAACCATATGGGCATGGCGAACATCGCCGACAATAGGCCAGAGCCCCTTAACCAGCAGAGCTCTTATCATGCAGCTTGCGACATCGATTATAATGACCAGACAAGCGTAGAGAACTGTCAGATCGCGGGTCTCCCGGATGTAAACACCGAAAGTCCTGAGATCCAAACCCTTTACCAAGACTGGATCAAGTACCTGGTGGACGAATACTCGTTCGACGGCGTTCGCATCGACACAGTCAAGCACGTCAACAAGGACTTCTGGCCTGGCTTCTCGTCCGCCGCCGGAGTGTACACGATCGGCGAAGTATTTGACGGCGGTATCGATTATCTCGCGGGATACGCCGACCTTATGTCCGGCTTATTGAACTATGCCATTTACTATCCCATGAATAGGTTCTACCAACAAGCTGGTAGCAGCCAAGATATCGTCGACACGCACGACCAGATCAGCTCAGCTTTCCCCGACCCTTCGGCACTAGGCACCTTCCTAGACAACCACGACAATGCCCGGTGGTTGAGCGAGAAGAACGACCTCAGTCTCCTCAAGAACGCTCTAGCATACGTTATCCTTTCCCGAGGTATCCCTATCGTGTACTACGGTACTGAGCAGGCATATGCTGGCGGCGCGGACCCAGCCAACCGCGAGGACCTCTGGCGAACCGGCTTCAATACCGAGTCCGACATGTACCAGGCCATTTCGAAACTATCGGCTGCTAGAAAATCTGCAGGCGGACTCGCTGCTGATGACCAAGCCCACTTGTATGTCGCGGAAAACGCATATGCTTGGAGCAGAGCCGATGGCGACCTCATCGTTCTGACGACGAACTCTGGATCCGGATCCAGTGGGGAACACTGTTTCAACAGCCAGGTGCCCAACGGGCAATGGAACGACTCCTTCGGTTCCGGCTCCTACACCGCTGATGGTAGCGGCAACGTCTGTGTCACCGTTACTAATGGTGAGCCTGTTGTGTTGCTCGCTGCTTAGACCATGCGTGTGTAGTACGGCCCCTTCGTTCATTGGGACTGAGGGGCACGGAAGTGCCAATTCTACTCGGCGTGGGGAAAATGGTTTATTGTAGTAGCACTACAGTACTACATTACTATCAAAATGTACTAAAAATAGAGTTTCCATGTTAGAATGAGGATTGTTAGCACTTAACTCTGGAAAATAGCTCTCAAGCCTGGAAATTTATATTTAATATATTAATCATCAACCCTATCTCTACTTACGTAGATTCTCTTATGTGTACCTTCCTAGACGTCTGTATGAGATAGTGCTTGCTACCCCTTTCTACACGTCTATAGATTGGCTATATTGGTGTTTTGCTAGGGGCTTGATACGACTTCTGATGCAGCCAGTTATAGCATATCAATTCTTAATTCGGTAATACAAAACACTGTTCTGGTAGAACCGCTCCGATCGCCTCATCTAATATTGCTATGCCTTTGCTTATCTCGTCCGCGGTTACAGTTACTGGGGGCGCAAGGCGGAAAACGCCCCCCATTCCTGGCAAGTTGACTATATTGCACGACAAGCCCAACTCAAGAGCCTTGCTCGAGATGAGTTCACCCAGCTTGACTGCGGGGGCTTTGGTCTTGGCGTCCGCGATGATCTCGATGGCCTGGAATAAACCTCTGCCGCGCACGTCGCCGATGCACCAGTATTTCCTCTGTAGATCTTCTAGCCCGGCGCGAAGTTGCGTTCCTCGTTCTGCGGCACGCTGGGCGATGTTATCGCGCTCGACAATTTCGAGGACTTTGTTGCCGACGGCAGCGGTGAGAGGGTCGTTTAAATGCGTGGTGAGCCAGAGAAACTTGGCCTCCGAGAGGCCACGCGCGATCTCAGCCGTCGTGCTGACGGACCCAAGGGGTAGACCGCAGCCGAGGGTCTTGGATAGACATAAAATGTCTGGCACGATGTCCTCGTGCTCGAAAGCGAACATCTTGCCCGTGCGCCCGACGCCTGTCTGGGCCTCGTCCATGATCACGAGCATGTCTCGCTTTCTGCATTCCTCTACCATGCGTTTTATGTATCCCTCTGGCGGGACAAGAATACCACCTGTCGATAGGATCGGCTCCATTATGAAAGCTGCCAGCGACCCTACGCTCTGGCGGTCGACCATGGACCAGCTAAAATCGAGTTCAGTTTCCCAGTCATACGAGCCATCGGGTTGCCGGAACGGAGAACGATAGGGGTAAGGGGCGGGAAAAGCTAGCATGCCTGGCGTTGACGGCCCGCCGTTCTTGCGACCTGCTGAGTACGTGGCTGATCCAGATCCCTGGGTGAGTCCGTGATAGCTCGCCGAGAAGGCTACGATCTCGAACTTTCCGGTGTATAGCTTGGCCATCTTTAGTGCTGCTTCTGTCGTCTCGGATCCCGTATTAAGGAAAAAGGATTTTTCTAGAGGAGCTGGTAAGAAGCGTGCCAAACGCTCCGCGAGAGCCACGACGGGCTGTGTGATCATGCTGCTGAGAAGATGGTCGAGCTCTGCTATGTTTTTCTGAACAACCTCGACGATTTCGGGATGTGAGTGTCCAAGCAGTGAACTCATCTGGCCGGATGTGAAATCAAGGATCTCGCGGCCATTGTGGTCGTATAGTTTGGTCCCGACGGCTTTAGTGATGATGGTGGGGGAATATGGCACGCCGGTGCTCATAAGGTACTTATCCGCCGTGGCCCAGAATTTGTCCTCTTGGATATGGTCCATCTTGAAAAGCGAAGTGAGGTGAGAAGAGAATGCGATGAGGGCTGAGCTGTTGTTAGAGGTCAACGATGGCGATAGCGACCCATGGTATTCATTTTCAGTCAAAGTACCGATGATGCTTTTTAAGGAGGTGGATTCATACAAGAGATATAGTAAACCCGACAATGCTCCGCTCGCGGATGTAACACTCGTCACGCCCCAGACAACAGACCAGATGGTACGCTGAATACCGAAGTTGGTGGAGTATAGATCTCCATTCTCCTGCAGACAGAGATAACCACAACGGTCGAATGTGCGATTGGAGACTGCATCCTACGCTTTGCGCATAGATACCCTTACTACTTATGCGACAGCTGTGGGTAGCTGAGCTTCCAACTTGAATGTTCCACAATTTCCTTCAGCAATCGCTCATCATGTCAAAAGCTCTTGCTCTCTGTGTCACCGCTATACATGTTTCGGCGGGGGTGTGTCGGCGCGAAGCCGATATCGTTCATCCATCCGTCCGCCTGGCACAGCGCGCCAACTAGAAAACGTGGCAGTGCAGGGATTTATTCCAAGATCTTAGGGATATCATGTTGAATCAACGGAAAATCAGAGTATAAATGATAAGGTATTAATACTTATATATCATAGAAACGCACCTCACTGCACCCGTGCTCCTAGTCTTGTTTATTAGGTAATTTTGCTGAGATTAGGTAAGAACCTTTCTGGGACTGCCTTTCTCCAGGAGCCATCAAGGTTTCCCAAAGGCAAGACCGAAATAATCCAATAAATGATTTATGGAGGAGGAGCATTGCAGACTAGTAGGCGACCTATGAGAGTGAGGCTATTACCACCGGTAAGAGCCGTTGGTAGCCACCAAGGTTCCCCTTTTCAAATACCTCCAGGCTTATGAACATTCGACCGCAAGTCAAAAGCCCCAGCAAAAAGGTGTGAACAGAGAGATTGGAACCTTGGAACTCGACATGATGAGAAGAGACATGCTGTTCACAGGTCTTGAGTACACGTAGGTACCGATTACGATAGCTACATACAGGTAGGAGCCTAGAAAGTGTATCTCGTATGTACAGCGACCTATACATCGGGTGAGTGTGACGTGCGACGCGAAAAAGGTACATGTCAAGGCGCGGTTCGAGGTACCTGCTCATATAGCTATGTACCTACATACACATTTAGCTAGGTGTAAGTTGTTCAGGGAAGGCGGGACACGTAAGTTCGTCCTTACTTGGCAAGCGTTGAAGGTATGTGCTTAAACAGGAAGCGGCGAGAAAGAAAGAGGAGGAAACCACATCCTAGGAACCTCTTGCCTGACTCTCAAAACCCTTCTCCCCTCATTCTTCCCTCGTTCACCTTCCTAACTACACCCATCCATCCTCCATATCTCCCACTCCAAGGCGCATCTCTATTATCATACCTAGGTACCCTTGGACAACCCGAACCTTCGACATACTTGGCCCAAAGACCATCATCCTATAGACCGACAAGAAAATGACCAATACTGTGGTTGCAAAGAGGGCTCCGGCCCCAAAGAGCAAAGAGGAACGTCTTCCTGTTACCCTCTTGAGCGGTTTCTTGGGCTCTGGGAAGACAACCCTGCTTGAGAAAATCCTGACAGATAACAATCATGGCCTCCGAGTTGGCGTAATCGTCAACGACGTCGGCGCCTTGAACATCGACGCTGCCCTGCTATCCAATCACGATGTAACCCGAAAAGAGGAACAGGTCGTCGCCATGCAGAACGGCTGCATCTGCTGCACTTTGCGTGGCGATCTCCTTGAAGAAGTTGCCCGCCTCGCCAAGGATAAACAAGTCGACTACCTCGTTATCGAGAGTTCCGGCGTCAGCGAGCCAATGCAAGTGGCCGAGACGTTCTCTGAAGAGTGAGTTTGCCCAGGACTAGTATCCGACAACCACCAGACATGCTAACCCATCAGATTCGCCGAGATGTCGATCATGGCTGGCCACGGTCTAGAGGTTGACGACGAGAACGAGATGAGCAAAGAACAACGAATGCGTTTGGCCAAGATTCTCAAAGCCGGCGGATTGTCCAAAATTGCCCGTCTCGACACCTGCGTTACCATTGTCGACGCGGTCAACTTCATGCAAGACTTCGCAACCGCCGATTTCCTCAAAGACCGGCAGACGGATGTCCCCGAGGAAGATGACCGCAACATTTCCGACCTCCAGGTTGACCAGGTGGAGTTTGCTGACGTCGTCGTGATTAACAAATGTGACTTAGTATCTAAAGATGATGTCAATCGTATCAAGGGTACCGTTCTGAATCTCAACCCCGGTGCCAAGATCATCACTTCTGTCAAATCCTCCTTTAATCTCAAGAAGATTCTCGATACACACACGTTTTCATATGAGAAGGCAGCTCTAAGTTCCGGCTGGCTGAAAAGCATCAATGAGGAAATTAGCCCCGAAACCGAGGAATATGGAATCGGGACGTTCGTCTACAGAGCACGACGACCTTTTCATCCTCGAAGACTCTGGGACATGATACGGGAGGTCTTTATCGTGATTCAAACAGCAAACAAAGATGAAGAAGAGGAGGAGGAGGAGGATGAAGATGATGAAGATAGTGAAGATGAGGAAGGTGAGGATGGTGAATGGGAAGATGAATCTGAAAGTGGCGAGAGCGAAGCAGAAGAGCCTCAGCCACAGTTGGATACCAAAGCTCGTCTTGCAAGCAAGATCGCCAGCCCAACTTTCGGTCCCCTTCTTCGATCGAAAGGATTTATGTGGCTAGCAACGAGACCTTTGATGGTATGCCCTTTTAATCAACCTGCTTTGGAGAGTTTGACTAATGTTCCTTAGTTTGGTGAATGGTCGCAGGCAGGCGTGATGCTCACTATATCTAGTGGAGATATTTGGCGCTGTGAGATGGATGAGAGCGACTGGCCAAAGGATCCCAGGGTGAAAGAGGCTATCAGACGCGATTTTGAAGGAAAGTGGGGAGACCGACGCCAAGAAATTGTTTTCATCGGACAACAGATGCGTCAAGGAGGCGAGGAACGCTTGCGCAAGGCTCTTGACGCATGTCTCCTGACCGACGATGAATTTAAGGACTGGGAAAGGGCCATGGCCGCCAAAAATCCACAGAAGGTCTTGGATCGGCTATTCACTGATGGCTTTGAGGATTGGGTGATTGAGATACACGATGATGAAGATGGTCATGACCACAGCAATGGCCACTAATTAACTCTCAGCCCTGGTTCAGACTACGTTAAATGTATTTCCTTCAAGTATACCTAGCTACACGTGCTTCAATCTTGTCTTAGCTAAACGCATGTATCTGACGAAAAGAGGGGGGAGGGATTGAAGAGTCCTTGACGAAGTTGTGTACAACAACAACAACAAAGTAGCTCAAACTATCGTAGCTAGTGTATTTGAGAGAATATGCAGTGTCGCCGTAAGCCTCGGATTCGTTTCATCGTTGCCAGTGTCGGTTTCTTTTTATGTTCAACTTCCGAACTTCTAGTAGACAAGCTTCGAACTTTGCTAACAAAAGGTGAAAGATGGAACAAACAGATCATATCCTGATATTGAGTGAACTTAAATGTCTGGATATTTTCAAGTTCGAAGGCGAGGGTTCATAAATATTGTGCAACAATTGCTGTATCCAAATTTCGAGAAATGAAGCTCACCTGAGTCCCTGAAGAGTATCAATTCCGGGGTGAATCATGAATAGGGGTGGGCTGATCAGTAATGATAAATTCGGAAGGTTTTGCTACTACTCTAGTCATTAAGATCGCATTCCTTTTCTCTTACTAGCTAAATGATGCGTGACAGACTTTCTACGCTTTATTATTAGATATCTAGGGAGTAAGAGCCGCCTGGGTAGGTAGCTAAGGATTGAGGGGGCTGATTGATGTGGGTGGGTGTGGTGAAATATAGATATGTGGCAGTCGGGATATTTCCCTTGGATTCTACCTATATTGTTTTGTCAGGATGGTTGCTGTTGGGCTAGTGTATGATATTGCGGCTGTATAAGGTTGTTACGAGACTGTCTTTACTGTGGAAATGGATGGTGGGACCTCTAGGGGGTTATGGTAAGACTTAGATTTTTGCATGAAATACCAGAGTATTTCTATAACAAGGGCAGAGATACTGGGCTTGGAACTTGGAATTCAGATTATATTGAACAACTAGAGCTGCATGAGTCCTTGGCCAACCAACCCCTTCTTGGCTATTGATGGCTTGACTCGGCCCTATATACAACTGGTCTACCAGCTCAGACCGTCTAGGTCTCAAGGGCTTGATTCAAGAAGCGAAGTCTATATAACCTCACTTTCCAGTATTGCCTGCATGTCTTTGGAGACCATGAACAGACTGCAATGGCTTTTCGTACGGCCGGAGTGCAAGGAGAACTGCATATTCAGCTTATACAGTTTGTACGCGTGCAACACCTAATGATGACATCGCCAACGTAACTAGACTAGCCTCAAGTCCCGAACTGATAGGAAACAAAGTACAGCCATATCTCCATAAACAAGTATGTAGCAGAAGAAGTCTCATGCCGTCACCTCTTTGAAATTGTTACACGCACAGCCGCTGTGCCAGCTGAATATGCAGTTCGCCTTGCATTTCGGCCGTACGGAGGACCTTTGCAGGCTGTTCATGATCTTACAGAGACATGCAGTCAATGTTGGGCAATGTTGGAAAGTGAGGTTATATAGACTTCGTTTCTTGAATCAAGCCCTTGAGACCTAGACGGTCTGAGCTGGTAGACCAGTTGTATATAGGGCCGAGTCAAGCCATCAATAGCCAAGATGGAAATGGTTGGTCAAGGACTCATGCAGCCCTAGCTGATCTTTATATTGTGAATAGCATCAAGTTCATAGCCCAGCTCTCTGCTCTTGTTATATCAAGCACCGCATTAATACACTTTCGTAGCTTCTTCCCAATCTATTCCGTTCAACTATAACGGATTCATGCAGTCGTCGCGTTTCCTAGTGCTAACTATCAAATAAATGCCTATTGTAGAGTAGAATGGTACAGCTATTTAAGTGCAAATAACGCTGTTATGGATTGTGGCACAACGTATAGTACAGTGAGCCTTAGATCTTTCTGCGGAAATTGACAAGGCTAGGAGTTAAGCTACTCGGATTCTTTCTAACGTTCACACTCTGTTTCTCTCTAGTTACTAGCAGCGCTAGTATATCGCCTTCGCATCTAAAGTTGAGGCCTTTGACACTCGCTTATTCGAGACATCTTGGTAATCTTCAGAGGTTAGTAAAGGGCTGACCTAGTTGCATATAGAGTCATGGTCGGCCACTGCATTCCTACTTACACCCTACTAAACCTTACTTTCCAATTATACACGCTAGGCAAGGTTAATGAGAGCCCACCATGGTGATTTCTCCGAGAAAGTGACTGATGGTAGACATAGGTATCGTTTGTCTCATGCTTGGATCAGATCGGGTTATCTGAGCACGCATTATGTAAAGCTAAAAGAAAGGGATCCGGAATGGCCACAGGATCCTTGGCGACCGTAGCGGAGTATTGTATGAAGCTTGAATCTCATGGCTTGTTATCAGTCTTTGTTATATCAAGCGTATTGGTATATCTGGCTTTGAACTCCGGGACTCCGAGGCATCTGCTGACCAACCTTCGCGAGCCACGGTTTTGCTTACACTACAGTAATTCAGTCCGAAGCTGAACCGCACGGAGTATCGCCCATAACCTGACGCAATTTCTTCAGGGCTGCTGTCGAGAAATTCGCCTGCGAAGTTCAAGTTACAGGTGTGAGGGCTGAGTACACGATACTGCCCATCATCGCCTTGTTTGTAACGAAGTGTGCAGCTACTACACTAAGTATGCTGACAGCATTAGCCTCAAACATATGATCAGACGACCCATGTCGATCTGGAGAGCTCAATCCACGCCAGAACAAAGTATTTGTCTTGGCAGGTTTCATCCGAATATTGTTTCGACAAGATCGGCCACCAACAGCTAGGATACATTCTGTTTGTTGTTTCGTTTAGTTCAGTGGTGATGGTGCAAGTGGTGGGAGCGCTGCAATGTTTAGTGTACAGTAGACCCCAGAACGTCAGCTTAGGTGGTTCAGGAGAATTGTCGCATAATTACATTGTACATTATGTTAGTGGCTGAGAGCAGTCCTAGTGAGCTTACTTCAAGGGTAAATTATGAGGTCAATGTAATACTTACACTACTATTCTAGGTTAGATAAGTATGGCCACTCAAGACCGGTTTTTGGGATGTTCTGAGCCTATATACATAGTAGCAGTATCATCTGCAAGAATGGCGGAATACAACTCCGCTCAAGTTTCTTGTAGCCGTCTAATGTATGCTTAAGCAACTACCATAGTATGAATGATAGAATATATGATTTCTAGGCTACTCTACTTAGATGGCAGAATTCCTATTGCCCTATTTCGGTGTACAGTAAGGTAAATATTATGGGGCCGTATAGGGATAACACTTCTAAGATACTAGCAATTAAGGGAAAAAAGGGGGAAGACAGGCAACCTGAATCTGTGGACCCACACACACATCTGTCTTAACAAAGGTCTAAGATTGAAATTAAGACAGAACGTGTAGGACTACCTATGTATAAACAAGTCCTTGGCCCATAGGGCAAGACGATATAAGAAACAGACGCCGTCACTCTTCGCTACCTTTGTCGCGTGCTGGTCATTCGCCCCAATGCGTCCGTGTATCTCTCCCCGAGACCCAACTCTCGAAGTCGATAACGTTCCATGGCTTTATGCATGGCTACAAACCCCATGGCATGTTCGTGCCAGGCCTTGGCGTAGGGCTCTCTTCCACGAAGGACTACTTCTATGCGGCGATGGGCAGCCACATCTTCCTGGATCACTTCTTTAAAGACGACATAGACGTCCTTTCCTGAGTAGAAGGCCCTGCTATGCATATAATTATCTTTCTCTCCGGCCATTTCTTCCTTGTAAAATCTGTGGATATGACCGAGTTAGTCCATACCCGACCGGAACTCTTGTATAGGAGACACTGACGACAGGATATCATTCGTGAATGAGATGTACTTGTTCATATCTGGAATCGCCTCCATGTACATGGAGATGTCCGGATACATTGCCTTCGGAAATGTCATCCACACATAGGCCTCCGAAACCCCGTCCTTATCACGAAGGTAATACGGCCAGTTCTTGCCGCCTTTCGTGCGAGACATTCGGGGAAGTTCGGAACCTTCGAGGGCATTGGCATTGGTAAAGTTCAGCGAGGAGGTAATAATAAAGTTTGCCACTATGGGCGAATAATACATGTAGCTCAAGCGCAGATAGTCAGCCCATGCCTGGGCTAGAGGTGAGATCTGCTCCAGGCCGGTCTGGAAGCGGATCATGAAATCTTGCCATAGTTTGGGATCTTTACAAGCTCCATCGTCGACCAGGACGGCAAGCCAAGTGTAAATGCCGGTGTATATTCTGACGTCTAGAGGGTGACTAGGATAGCATAGCTGGCGACGGTTTAGTGACAAGAGCGGAGTAGGAAAGGGTCGAAATGCAGCAGCGAAACCAATAGACATTGGAAAGCAAGCATGATGAGGCATTAACCTACGTGGGCGTAGTATACTCCGACGTTGAACGAATACCAGGAGTGCGACCCCTCCACATACGGAATACCAATCTTAATGGCCTGCTCATGCATCCCCCGAAGCAAACCCTCGAGATCATCACCTGATTTAGCTCCGGTATAATTCAAGTCTGCGTCGAATTGGGCAATGAGTGGTCTTAAGATACATCCTATGTCTGTCGTCGTGCTGCTCGGTTCCGGCAGCTTGGGTTCGACAGCGGCTGCAGCAAGCTGCTTTTGCTGCTGTGCAGGAAGATGCTGTGTGAGGATCATTTTGGGAAATTGGGTTGCAATGAGAACTACCATAGGTGTGACACCCCCTTCCCTCTTCCTCTTTTCTTGGAGAGCTCACGAGATCTACTTCAGTATTTATCATCACGACTCACGAGAGATGGAGCACTACTAAAATGACGAGAGCACAATACTTTGCTCCGCTAGCTCTATTGCACAGATGTCTGCACCAAGCGGACGACTGCGGAGACGTGGGCCAAACTTGGCCGCAACGACTGGCGGCATCCGAGTGCACTGCCGACCTCACCTCACCTCTTATCCTATCTTACAACCTTGGCTGCAGTACGCTACTGTTCATCCCACATAATCATCCTCTTTCTTCGAGTTTTCTCTTCGAAGGAATCCCCTTGCAGTCTCTATCCAGATACCCAGTCAGTTGTCAACAGGGATATGTCTCATGATGATGGACCTATATCCATTCTGGTAGGTCCGGTAAGACGGACCCGGGCCGGCCATACAGACCATTGGACCCCCGGAACGCATTAACCGAGTACAGTGCCATCACAAGGCCAACCCTGGATAGCTCACAGTATTCATGGTACACTAGAATTTGGGGTGGCATCTCACACCGTCATCGCATTTGCACCAGGCCGTTGCGTAGACCAATGGCCTGTACTTTGAAGCGAATCGCTGTACTATACATGAGTGTAGGTTATTTCAAAATAGTAGGCACATAATAAGTATATTTATCTCTAAATATATGAGTAAACATTTAACACCTGTTTGCATTTGCACCGTGGAATGGGATTGCCAAGGGTTCGCACGTGCTAAAAGGTTCATGCATGGGAGCTGCAATGGCGTGTTGTTGAAATGCTGACATGCATCGAGCCACCTGCGTAGACAAAATATTACTTCCTCTGTATCTATACTTATAACTTTCACCTGCGTAGTGTATCTTCCATAACTATAATAGAATATGTGCAGTGGACTAATTTGGTACGGGTTTTGCTAGAGTAATGGAAGACTTGTTGCGATTTCGGGCTTGAAGACTGACCTACACATACACTATGGGCACTATTTTACAGATACTCAAGCAGCCCAGTCGAGTCGAAACTTGTAATGATGCCATTATGTGCACTAGGACGCTGCAGTTATTTTTACCAGGGTGAGAATGACATTTCTGTCACTACGAGTATTGTACACAGTTGTAACAGACGAGGATTAGATATCCCGGCATCGTATCTACTGTAGAGTAGACGTGCGGCACAATCAAGTTATGGGCTAATCCCCGAGGAACGTCGCAGTATATGTGGGATGCAGATGGTTAGCTCGCTTCTCGGAAAATCAGCGTTTCCGAGCTGCTAACCATGGTGTATGCATAACACACATACTGATCGTTTGGGGGAGGGGGCACGGCAAATACTAGTACCTAGACTACTTAGCGGCCGGGTTATTCTAAACCGATACGCAGAGCCCAAGATTCCATACGAAGTATCCACGGGCAGTGCCGATATTACCTACGTAGTGAAGGCCTACGTAGTGTAGATACGCATGTTACGTTATGATATGTGTAGTGTACAATATTTCGCTTCTGGAGATCCTTGCATCTAGACTAGACTCGTAGGGAAATTTTGGATGCCCTTATCCTTGCCTAGGGCAGTGTGCTAACATTTGTAAAGCTTACACTGTAGTGTCATGTAGGTATGCATGACAACGAGGCTGGTTGGAAGACAGCTTACTCGGTGTTATACCGAGTCAAGCTAAAGGGGAACTGAGGCCTGTTCACACAAAACCAGACGAACGCCTGTCACTTACCAGACGATCGGGCCATGACCAGTGCCACACTTGGCACAGGCCGCAGGGAACGAGACGTGGTTTGAAATTCGACTACGGTACTTAGGTCAGGAACCTGTCAGCTCACCATCGCTAAGCTTCTCCAGAATTTGGCGTAACATTGGGGTGGCTACCAACCCATATGGGTCCGAGCGTACCTAGACCCTAATGTACTCGATAATACTGCAAGGTACTGTATCCGCCACACTTGACCTAAGTAAGAGATGCTCGAAGCATCCTGGTCCTCTGCCACTTGGGCACTTATCCTTAAGGCTTATGTACGTACTTAGGGCCTCAAATGCTAGCCTGGGTGCACACAGTATATACATGCTGTTCTTTCTCATAGGAACTAAAAAAGTGTCCGAGACGTCACAAGGCAAATTTTGGCACACTAGATACGAAACTCTTGCTTGCAGTAGCTTGGATAAAGACGCCTGGCTTCTGAAGTGTCACTCTCTCCGGATACGCTAGACCATAGTCAGGTTCGCTTGGTCCTCTGGAGTTGCAATATATGTGGCACTTATACGGTCTTCGTCGCTTAGTTGAAAATGAATTTTCGGGCATGATGTGTGAGTATACTTATGTAAGTATGTGTTAGTCATATTGACTACATATTTTAGCGGTAACGAGGTTACGGCGACGCCGCTCTTATTGGGCCGGGTAACATGTTATATATATGATTACTGGTATAGGTGTTCTAGACTAGATACCATCAATCGAATCGGAATCAAGAGTAGGTTTTCGGCAGGTGATACCTTACGGACGAGTAAGCATATTTTGTATCGTGAGAAGCTTATCACAGAACATCGTTTCCCTTACCGAGCACCTACGCTAGAGGTATTATGTTACTACCTTCTTAACGTAGCCGCCTAGGCTCTTGGCAGCTCACCTTACCTATCATCCTCACCAGCGGGAGTAGACCCCGAAGGATTGGGAACGCGGTTGCAGCCGTTACCACCACCAGGCGTTGTTCTGGGCTAGCCCTAAGATGGTATCGCTGTTTTCCCAGCATCGAGACTACTGTACTTACTTAATTAAACCCTGTCTAGCGTAGTTGTCATGTCCTCCTTGAGCGATGATGAGTTAGGAGTTATGTCAGACTCTGTTATACATAGTGTGTAATTACCTACAAAGTAGTTTGTCGATGATACAGCACAAGCATCTATATGGCCATTTGCGGAGTCGCGCTACCAAAGTATATCGATCTTCGGAAAGCTATGGTCTGATCTCTGCATCTGGGAAGCGGCAGCCGATAACCGGCCAATCTTTTTGTAACCAATCAGCTGTTTTCGCATGTACTCTCATAGCAAGTACAATTATCTGAATAGCTCCGTCCCACATCAGAGAGTATTATGGGCTATGTTTGTTCTTATTATGCTTGTAGTCAATCGGTTAACGGCGTAAATTTGTATGACAACGCGGATATTTTGGAAGTATTTTCTGCCAAATAGTAGAATTAGGGTAGATAGTGAGCCTATGGCCACATTGTTATATCCTGCTTAGAGATAAGAAAAGCTTCCCAAGAGATTCAACAAGGCCGAGGGGAGATGGTGCTAGTAACAACTCTCTGTAACTAAGCTGGGGCATCGATGTCTACCAAGGCCACTGGTAGCGGTTTACGATCCCAGATGACAAAGACATTCTGGTCCCGCCAGCTAGCGTCTACTTCAGTCTTCATATCAAAATTGTAGATCAACTTTGAGAGCAGGAGGCGCATCTCATGCCAAGCCACTAGAGTTCCGGGAGTGAGCCATTATCCTCCGAGGATCCCAAGTTGGGAAAAAAAATTACTTACTATTCATACCCAGACAGTTTCTGGTTCCAACTCCAAACGGCTGGTGGGCCTCACGGATGTCGTCTTTGTAGGTTGGGTCGCCAAGCCAGCGCTCAGGCACAAACTCGTCTGGGTTTCTAGATTCATATTTGTAAGCATTTGCCAATCGGCAAGTGGACGATCAGATACTCTGAAAAACAAAACCCTAGAAGATACAGAACTAACAAAGCTTACCTGAAGTTGTTAGGTGAGCGGTATGTAGCAGTTTGATGAACCGAGACACGGGTTCCTCCTGGGAGCCATTTCCCCATAACAACGTTACCTCCTTCAGCAATCTCGCGAGGGATAGCCGAAGGGATAGATGGGTAGACACGCAGTCCTTCGCGAAGACCTAAATAGTGCAACGTTAATCCAGTGTCAATGTTCAAGCGAGGCATATGGTAACCACTTACATGCATTCAAATATTCTAATTGACCTAGGGCTTCGAAGGTCATTTCCTTGTTGGACTTGAACCTCCCACGTATCTCATCTGTCAAGATCTTCAATTTGTCGGGATTTTTGAGAAGATAATATGTGGTACCCGTAAGCAGAGATGCTATTTACCCGGGCGGAGTCAGCAATGTCCTGCAATCACACAGTGCTTGGGCTTACCCGTGGTTTCCGTGCCGGCCGTCATGAAAAGCTCCGCATTAGTATAAATTTCTCCAGATGTAAGAACCCCAGATTCTTCCACTAGGTTCCATAGATCAGGCTTATGGGATCGTTCGTTAAGGCGCTTGTCGACCCGGGAAACTGTGTGATTAAAATGATCAAGGCGCATTTTCGCGACAGATTTGGGCTCGAGGAGGGCAAACAGTTTTCTAGAGAGTGGATAAAACTGGATCATTTGAAGTGCCGGCAAAACCTAGCAGCACGATTAGCTGGTTGAAACATATTCACTGCTTCAACGTACAATTAGCGTATTGAAGACTGTCGCAACCCATTCTGAGTATGCTTCCTTCTCGAGCAAGCCGAGTGACTCTCCAAACGCAAACTCAGCCATAATATCGAAGGTTGTCCAATTGAGCAGCTCAGCCATATTGACGGTACCCTTCTTGCGGCCTCTAGCAACCATGAGGTCCGCGTAGTGCTGGAAAAGGGGTTCCTGCTGTTTGAGAGCCTTCTCGGAGAAAGCTGGCGAGAAGACGCGTCGAACAGTGGCATGGCGGACGGGGCTTGGCTCTGTGATCAAGTTTGGAGTACCGTTTGCCGATGGCGCTGTGTGCCGGATCACAGGTTAGCCGAAATCTCAATCCAACGTAGTTGTCATAGCATCTACTAGGCCTCCCTAGAAAAGAATACCATGTAATCGGTGAAGACTCTGTATATACCATGGAATTTGATCTCTTTGCCATTTTCCTTCTTGCCCTTTGGAATAAGGCAGATGTCTCTCCAGGCTTGAGCTTCTGTGAAGCTAAGGTCATTTGGGCCGAATCTAACCGTAGGGCCATATCGTCTGTGTTGCTCCTGCATGAACTTGACTTGGTTTCCTTTAAGACAAGCAATCCAGTAGGGCAGTCTGGTCAGCTTCTCCAGGGTGCCTCCCGGATAGCTGCTGAGGGGGTGGAGGTAAATTGCATAGATTGGATAAGATATTAGATAGAGAACTACCAAGGCCGCCAGGGCCATGAAAGTTGTGGTGCCGGGCGGCATAGTTTGTTGAATGCTAGCGAGAGAATCTTGTGTCGAAGCCATGGCGATACACAAGTGACAAGCCGATGCACAATACACAACACAACACAATGGAGATTTGTAAAAGATATCAAGCGAGGCTTGGGTCTTTTGCACTCTTCAACCCCCTTTCTACTCGCGTTGTGAGAGATAAGAGTAATCCGTACTTCGCAAGATTAAGTAACCAACAGCATAAATGCCTACCCTGAATGTTAGAATTATGTCTCAGGCATGTAAAAGCCGATGGCTGGGTACGACGATCCACACACATCGGTCTATATAAACGGAGGTACCCTCCTGCACCACTGTACCTATACTGTTCCTTAAGGCAATAAATATACTACCTATACCGTATACCACTCATAACCTACTTAGTATTTCAACACCGAACGATAACCCATGTAAGTACATTGATGCATGTCGGTGACACCCCTGCCTCTACTCTGCTCTACCCTGGCACCGAACCATTCTACAACTTTGGTTCCCAGTAACACGTGCAGGAACCTAGTGTACTGACTAAACTGGTCGGCCCTATTCCCAGACTAGGACAACCACCCGAAGTAGCCGAGACTCGTACCTACTTACTCTATGAGGCTCGACAATGTACCTTGCCACGACCTGAATAATGTATATAGTGTACAGGGCACTATACGAGCAGGGTCTGGAAGAGCTCAAAATTTTAAGATCGCTCAAAGGAACAGCTAAAAGGGATGGGACGGCCCAGGGGTGAGTATCAGATTATATCCCCCAGGTCAATAATGCAGCGTCGGATGGGGTACATCTCCAACATCTAGAACCACATAAACAGTCACATTCTAGCCAACCTACGAACTCTTTCAACTTCACTGTTCTCGTCGTTCATTTTGCTGTTCTTATACTCGTCGAAGTTGTGATTGTTGAAGGTTGGAGGGAAACGCACCTGGCTCGAACCTTTGTTTTTGATCAAGATGCTTTGGACACCCGAGCCTGGTACACAGACTACATTGACCATCTTGGTCATCGTCTTTCTAGTCCTCAACTACATCGGCGTGGGTCTACGTGTTTTCGTGCGCGTTGTCATCAACAAATCATTCAGTTACGATGATTGGGCCATGTTAGCTAGTCTGGTGAGATCTACACTCCCTCGAGCACATCCATGCATACTTGATGCTGGCATACTATAGTTACACAACGTTAACTTCGCATAGGCTGGGTATAGCGGGATGTGCGCGACTCTACTATCGGCAATGATTTATGGATTTGGTGCGAAGAACCCACAACCTTGGTACGATCTGATCAAGGCGGCACAGGTTAGTTATCAACCTTGGGTCTATGTAGACTCGAGCACATTCGCTGACAGAACACCGTTAGTCTATGTTTGCATTCCAGCTCGTGTACGTAGTAGCAGCATATCTGTGCAAAGTCAGCGTTGCCTTGGTGTTACTGCGTATCTCCGGTACCGAGAAAAGGAGTCCTATTCGCTTGGTTCTCATTGGGTCGATTATCGTCGTCACCATCTTCTCAGTCGCGACTTTCCTTGCCCTCGCTCTTCAATGCCGGCCTGTAACTCTCAATTGGGGTATTGGCAAAGGCGAGTGCGTTGCACCGCATGTTATTACGGACATTGCCTACGCCTTTTCAGCTTCCGATATTGCAAGCAACTGGCTCTACGCAGTAAGCTACACCGTCTCAGTGGCGAATGGTTACTTGGCCACTAACACTTGGGTACACAGACTTTACCGATTGTGATGCTCTGGAATGTAAAGCTTACACTCCGAGTTAAGCTCTCTGTCATTTTCCTTCTAGGGTTCTCGTTCACGTAAGCTGCTGCAAATCACTTTTTAAAGCATTATACTCACCAATAGAACAGAAGCAGCATTGCCACACTCGTACGCCTCAAGTACGTCGTCGATCTTGGCTCACTAGGCTCGACCGATCCTGGTCTGCCTTTAAGGCTCTTGGATTCGATTATCTGGTAAGTTGAATCGGATATTGCCTAACTCCTGTTCCGTATCATCCCAATTTAGCGGCGTCTTTATATCTCTAATCTAACCTATTGGTATAGGTCACATCTCGAAATTGCATTGGCCATATTCGCCGCATCGCTTGCGGCCTTGAGACCCTTGCTCAAGTATATCACTGGCCGAGGCGACTCGTCAGCTAGAAGCAAAAATGGCTACTCTGATAGTCAGTCGCGCTCCAGGAGCAAAATGTCGCCCGCGATACGCCTTGACAATCTAAAGGATAACCGATTCGATGATGATGGAAGCCAAGAATTCATCCTACACACAGGTCGCGACCAAAAGGCCAGTCACATGGACAATAATGGTATCTATAAGACGACCAAAGTAGAGGTCACTCACCACGCAGTCTAAGCAGACATTTATTTTCATTCAGCAGTGTATATTTTGGTGGAGTTACATTTATTTTCAGGCGGAGTCACACTGAGACTTGCCATTACTCATGAGCCACGGTCTGCCACATCAGAAAAAAAATATTAGCTAATGAGACTTAAAAGAGTAGTCCACGCGTTCCTGGAGTTTAACGATATTTATCGACGAATTCAAAATTGTGTTGCATACACAAACACACGCTCCTTAGCGTCATGTACTATCATTTAAGTAAATAAGAAAAAGAGAACTGGTCAGAGACGTTCTCTGACAGAGAAGCTCGTCCACAATCTTGTCCATTGAAGGTCCTAGATATGTACTCCTTGAAGTGCGGTGAGAACACATATTTTCCCATTTCAGGTCCCGGTAATGGGTCGTGTACGAACACATGCCAGCTGGATATTTCTTTTTGAGAGAAAAAAGGAACCAGCTTTGCAATTACCGAAGTAGCTATGAGCGGAATGATGAGGAGCTGTGCATATGGTTGTTGCTACTGACTCATATACAGCTGAGCGGAATTCCTTCCAGTGATGTCTATCATTACGGATCTCTTATCGCAGCCTACATACAACTTATTCCTATCAATTCTGTCAGGTGACATAGTCACATAGACCCTAGGCGTGACTATATTAGACCTACTGGCTATATAAAGGGGTGTTGGACCCGCCTTCGAGGGTTGGAGGGTTCAGGATTCAATGATTATTGACTCCCATATTACCCCTTCTGCCTACCTACTTGACTGTGACTGGCCTTCTACTCACTCTGGGACCCTTTCTACCTGACAAATTCCAAGTATTATAGCCGATGAGAGTTCGCGACTCACACGCTCTGTCCGGAAGGAAGAAGAAATATGTTTGGGGGCTCTGTCGCAACGAAGACGGCCTTTGCGGGTTTCTTCCGCCAGACCGCGGGGAAGGTTGTTGAGGTTGAATCATGATGTTGATTATGAACGACACTATTTCCATCACTGACCCGTGTTGACAGCCAAATAAAGTTCATGTTCAAAGTTCGGAATTTGTGCTTTCGGTCACTTGATGCTTGGCTTAAACCATAGCTCGTCGAGATACAGTTGTAAGCGACTAGTATTGTATGAAGGAAATATCGACTGATTTGCGCGATGAAGCGCTCCCTACCATGGCATTTCGACCATTTCTATCTGGGAGATGGTTTTAGTAGACATGGCACCTAGAATAGGACGCATGTGAAGTCGCTCATACATGAGCAGAACTTAGTCTGATTGGGAGGTTAGGACTTCAACTGGTGCTGAAAGAAGGGGTTCATGTCTAGACTCTATTCTCATTGCATTACTACCCGGTCACTCACGCATTACGTCGGTAGACTTATGATCAGCGGTAGCAGCAGTGCACTTTAACATATACCGTGTATATTGGCCATCGATCTTATTGGCGGCGTTCTACTTCGCAATTGCGAAGCCCTCGCGAAGTGCGTGTGCCTGCGAAGGTGGGAAATTAGCCATCGGAAGGTGGTGCCAAAGGCATGGTGTCAAAAATCAACAACTTGGCAGTTTGGCTTCAAAACCATGCAATCGATGCAGAATTAACAGATGAAGCTGGAAATAACCTAGTTTTAATAGATATCGCGAAGCGCGTGGTGTTATGAAGGTTGAAGGTGCAAGTTGAAGTGTTAAGCTATCTACCTAAATCTGGCTAGGGCGCCTAGAATGGGGCATACGCTTGGCACGTAATGCGTGAGTAACTGGTCGATTGCACTAAGCAGTCCTATAAAAGCTTGGCCAGCATAATGCTCAATCGAGAAACCATGCGTGGCTGAGGCTGATGTCAAGCTTTTTGCTCTGGAGGAATACGCCGTATCTGCAGCTTCTAGATAAACAGATGCCTGTCTAGCGGCAGTCTAAGTGAGATGACTAACATGCGTCAGACTGTGACGGGCAGCGATCAGCGCTACAATGGCGGCTCAGGCAAGGTTATGAGACTCTCATCTGCCGGTACCTAGCTCTGAAATGATGCCTAGCCGTATTCATGGGCGTATCTCTCTAGTTAGAGATCTTAAGAGGATCGTAATAACAGGAATTCCCTTATGGTAGCCTCGTGTAATTGGAACTATCTCAGCATCTCCGCCAAAATAGGAGCTATATAAGACGTGTTTTTCCGCCCAAGACCTCGACACTACCAGATGCTCTCAATACCATCGCAGCTATTGTAGCTGTCATTACAATGATGCATCGTCCAATTCGTCCAATTAGTATCGCCATCGCCTCCTTATGTTTACCTACGGTTATTGCCAGATTTCTCGGGCCACTCAATGTGCCCCCTGTTGATCTCACCAGCGATACAAGCCATGTGCAGTCAAAGTGGGAAGAAATCAGGTCGATGCTCGATGGCCATCTTGCGGGCACAAAACGTAATGAAGCGCTATCTGGCCTTGACAACATCACTTTCTCTCTTGGACTGTTCTCGGTGCATGACGCAGAAGCTGCTAGTTTTCTCCAATACCATCACACTGGTCCCGACATCAGAAACTCCTCGCTGGGCGTGAAGAAAGTCGACGGGGACAGCATATACCGAGTAGCGAGCATGACCAAGGCCGTTTCAGTGTACGCCGGCTTGCTTTTGCTTGATCCCGATGACTGGAATAAGCCGTTGACGGAAATATTCCCCGAAATTACTTCGTTGCCAAAGGATGACCCGGTTCATCACATTCAATGGAATACGATTACCCCGTTCTCGCTCGCCTCGCAGATTTCCGGTGTCCCGGCTAACGCGAGGCCGTTCGATGCTGGCGAATTTGCCACTGTATTTCTTACGGACTCGATAGATCCGACGACTCTTGGCTTGCCGCCTCTCACGCTAAACAGCACAGGTCTCAAGGTGCCTTGCGTGGACCAGTACTGTTCTGCGGTAGATTACATCGAAAGCATCCAAGCCCCAACATTTCCAGTTTTTCAAACACCAGGTTACGCGAATACGAACTTCATCCTGCTCGGTAGAGTGATTTCGAAGTTGACTGGACTTCCTACTAACGAAGAGTGGTTTCAAAAGGCCATATTTGGTCTGTTGGATATGACTAGTACCTCATCTCTGTCTCCCACGGAGCCTCCATACTTAGGGTATGTCGTCGCCGGCGATCCCGAAGCATTCGCTTTTGAGGGCGGAATTACGAGCTCCTCGGGCGGGATATTCTCCACAACCAACGATATCGCCAAGCTCGGCATCAGTATGCTAAACTCAACACTTCTCGCAGCTGATAAGACACGCAAATGGATGAAGCCGACGGCATTCACCGGAAGTCTCGACTTCGCGCTCGGCATGGGCTGGGAGATCTATCGGTATACGGATAAGGTGACAAGCCACGTCACCGATCTGTACACAAAACTAGGCGATGCGGGCAACTACGCCAGTTACCTCGTCGTGGTGCCCGACTACGATTTTGGATTCTCAGTGATCGTAACTAGCGGCATCGCGACAGCGGCAGAGCGCAGCGCCGCGGCACGTCTGCTCGCGGACATTATCAGCGAGACTATCCTGCCAGCGTTACGCGACCAGGCCGCCGCGGAGACAAAGCGTAAGTTCGAGGGCACATACAGCAGCAGCATGGGCAGCAACACGTCTACGCTCACGCTTGCGTACAACGAGACGGCTGGTGCCGGGTTTGGGCTGACGATCACGTCCCTCGTCAACGATGGTCACGACTTGCTTAGACTCCTCCAGTCCGTGCTCGGCAGTAACCAACTTGTTCTCGCGCCGTCGACGGTGGACCCTAAGACAAAGCGCCGCGGTTTCGTCGCTACGGCTGTCACAACCCCCGGCACATACACCGGCCTATTTTCCGAGATGTTTGCTACGAATGCGGAGTGGACAACTAATAACGGCCTCACATACGGTGGCCAGGCTTTGGGAACCTTCTACTTCGATGTCGCGGAGGATGGTCGGGCTGTTGCGGTGTTACCGGCTATTTTGCGCGGGAAGAGATTTGAGAAGCGTGTATAATCATATTACTGTGCAGTAAGCGGTCGAGTGAAATTTGAGAGAGCGTATTATCTGGACTATCTGCATTTCCATACGGCCCTTGACGCCGGCGAAGTTCGTAGGGTTCGCCGAGAAGACTGTGTTGGGTATGAACAGTGCACGATGCCTTATTTCCGCCGCTGACAGGGATTTTATTAGTAGTAGAATTAGGTATGTTAACCGTCATCCGCCACTCTAGGCACCAGTACTTTGTTCGCCTCACTTTTGCTACTATGCTTCAACATAAGTCATTAGAGTCCAAGCTGGAATGTTATATTAGTAATTGAATATACTTACCTATATATCATCTTGGGGTGGAGGAATTTGAAAAGACCAGAGGCAACGGGACGCACTTCCAAAGAGCTCTGCACTAATCTAGGTCTAATAGTGCCTCAGTTTGCAAGTCTGCGCCAAAGAGTGATCTAATCATTTTCCCTTTTCCCATCATGCAGCCTGACTCACCTCTGTTCGCACTGCCTAGCGAGATTCGGGATCGCATCTATGATTTTTATCTCGCCTACCACCACAGCGACTTCGTGGACACGCTACGTCCAAAGCAGTTGTTCTTCGATGATACCGCCTTGTTTGCGCGGGATCTTCCCGCGTTGATGTGCACATGCAAACGTGCCTACCAGGAACTGAGTCCAGCCGTTCACGGAGAGGCAGCGATGCGAGTCGAGATGCGCGGGAGAGTGGAACGGCGGATCGGTTTCGCAGTCCATGGGACACTTCGCTTTGAGCGCCTGCAAAAGCTATGGGTTTTGGTATCGATGGAACATCCTAACTGGAATGGGTGGCTATACGTCTTCGAAGACATAGTGAGACGCGCTCCCCATCTTCAGGTCTTGGTCGTAGACTGGGCCCCTCGGTCCACCCCAGAATCTAACTGGGAGGGGCGCGCGAATGTGAAGAAGGAAGATGAGTTCTGCGATATGATCAAAAGGTTGAAGAAGCTCCGTACCCTGAAAGTCCATGGAAACATTTCGGCAAGGTGGATTGAAAGGCTTGGGGACGCGGGACCGCGCGTGATACTGGATCGCTCGCGTTGGTGGAGGGAGCCTGGGCTGGACTCTTAAACCATGGTGAGAGCTGGCCCGCGCAGCCAAAGCTCTCATCTTACCTAATCTCAATCCACTTTCCTTTTCGCATAGATATATACCTCTCGGTTTTCGTTACTGAATGCGGTACACTGTAACTCAAGATGATTGTCTCGGGCTGAGGCCAAAATCATCGCAATCTAGAGCTTGCGTCCCATCACGTTAACACGATCACGAGCACTTCGAGCCTGAGCCGGCGGTTAATTGTTCATGTTGTGATGCTTTGCCTATTATTTGTTCTCTCTGTATTGTATAGATGACCTCTATTGAATAGACATTAACCTAGCAGGTTGCTCTGACCTGCGGAACCTGACGCGCGTTAGTTGCGATGAAGGTATGGCTCTTCCACTTTCAGCAATAACTCACTATTTATGCTCATTCTCAAATATCTCCTCAGACTGAATCGCGACACACTTTTACCGTCAAACCATACCTACACTGATACTGACTCTAGAACCACTTCTGCACTCCCTGCCTGTGCACGAATCAAGCCCTATAGCTGTCGTAATGGCTCACGCCGATCTATAACCGGCATTAAACCACTAACCTTTGCTAGTCTGCGGGGAGCGCTTTATAAATAAAGGCACCCATGATACCTAGTTGGCGGAGCGCTAGTAAAGAGACCGCAATGTCTTCATAATTGAATGAAAGCTGCGGCCTGCTACTCCGTACTTGTCAACAAAAGAGCGCTAGAGTATGAGTTAGGGCTTCCCATCGTATCGTTAGTACCTGTGCCATTCTTCAAGTAGCAGAACCCTGCGTGTTCTTTCACAATTGTGATAGCAACGCAAAAGCCACCTCCCACGCCTACATTATTCCTGAGGTTCGTCGCATACGCTTTATTGTATTCCGCACACACCGAAAGGCAATTCTCTAGTGTCGGGGTGTATGTCCGCAGGATGTCGTGCGTTGAATCAGTGTTTGCCCAGTTCGTCCAGCATTGCTCCTGAAATTTCTGCGGTGCCTGACCGGCCCGTATTGGTATGGGCTTCCCGTCCGCCGAGAAGGGTGTATACACTTGGTTGTTGACCCCTGGACAGCCGTCTGTGGGAACCAGTGAATCCGTCGGCGAGGATGATGTTGGTGATGGCGTGGCGGTGGGGACGGCCGATGATGTTGTACTATCGCTGTCGCTAGAATTGTCGTCGCCAGAATTGCCGTTGTTAGAATTGCCGTCGCCGGAATCACTGTTGTTGCCGCTTTTACACAAATGTTAGCTCATCTACGTGAATGGGAGAACGAGATGCTCTTATTAACCTTGAAGCTTTTGGATCCGATACGGATTTCCGCTGTGCGCTAAGCCCGCCGCCCACGCCACCGCCAATTGCCCCAGCAAGGAGGATCACAAGCACCACGACCACGGCCCAGAACACTGGTACAGAGAGACCTAATATTGTTCTCTTCGAACCTTTGGCAGTTTGGCTTTCAATTTGAGGTAAAGTCGGTTGAGTGCCGTCTAAACCTATACCACCCGGCTGCTCTTTCGGCGAGGATTCGCGTGTCGCTGCGGCAAGGGGAGGCGTCGGTAAAGGGTATAGCCCAGTTTCCGGGGGAACAACTTCGAGATCTGGCTGCTCTTGCTGAAACCTCGTCCCCATTGAGGCCATTTGTGTCTATACGGCTGATGCTGTTATTGATACCGTCTTGTGATACACTGCGTACAGAACCGAAGAACCGAAAAGCCGAAAACCGCAACTTATCACAAGTGAAAGAATTGTCTATTTTTTTTCTTCTCTAGCTTGTTTAACGAAGTACAGAGGAAAAGGGGGGAGACCAGGATTCCATCATTCTAAATCTGATCCGATCACACGAAGGGGCTGTGAGCTTTTATTTCCTGGTACGATAACTTGATGCACTCAGGATTCAGCTACTGCGCGCGAATGTAACTTGAGGGCCGAATACGCTAATCCAAAGTTACCTAAAATGAAACGAAACGCCCAAGCAAAACGCGACGCGATTCCTTCGTCGAATCCTCCCGTGCGACATAACAGACACTGGCAATCCTACTCGCACAGCGACTAACTTATCCGATGCAAGCAGTCGGCTAGTACCGTAAAAGACGTCCCTAAACTCATTTAATCAAACGCGGGGTCCAGCCACAGGGGCCGCTCACTAACTTTTGAAAGGTACTGTATAGTATCGAACGCCGAGTAACTTCAAGAGACGCCGGCAGCATAAACAGTACAGTATAACTTCCATTTTTCCTCTTGCAGACTGATCTCAGATACCGGTATTTGGCTTTGGGCGGCACGCCGGGGCTTCAAAGTCTTGCCCCATCCGCCATTCAAAATGCGCCCTTATTCATGTGGAAACCAGCATTATTTCTCAAAATATCTCTTGGCCCACGTCCGATACCACCTGCCTAAGACGATATACTACGTACTGCCATACCAGAAGCAGGCCAATCCTAGAGAGACCCATTGGCGATTTCTGAGGATTTTTGCGGGAAACGAAGCAGCCTGTTCCCATCTCTGCACGGGATTTAGCATGGCATGGCATTGTGTCTGAAGTCAGATCTTAGCCTTTTGAGATCGTGACTAAGACTGTCAAACTAGGTGGTTTCCATGACATCTAAACCTGCCAAATCTATAGTGATAGAGGATATCATCGCATTCATTCATTCTCAGTACGCCGCCCAGAGATTAGCGGCCATTGCGACAATATGGTGCTAGATGTTACCATTGTCCCGTCTCCAACATCGCGGGGTTGACTTCCGAAGGTGATGCTTCTTGGCCGCTGGAAATGTAGTAGTATAAAGGTTATTCATATATCTACTACGACCCTCACCTTACTTTGATTCGGTGAGCCGACATCCCACCTCAATACTATTGAGCCGCAGGGCAGTTTTATCAACATAATGAGGGGCATCAATTTGGAACTAGTCTTGGCTACTGTCGCTGCATGCGCCTCCGCAATACCTACGATCCAGCTGTCATCGCCTTACGCAGGCTTCGAGGTCTTCCGTGTTAAGACTGATAGCCATCCTGCTGCAGTACAAGAGAAGCTCTCCGGGATCATATCCGAGCAATGGAATTATGATATCAATAGCCACATCGATGTCGTCGTGGCGCCCGATCAACTCCTTGCATTTGAGGAACTGGGTCTCGAATTCGATGTCATGCACTCAGACCTAGGAGCTTCGATCACCGCCGAGTCATCCCGTAGCTCTCTTGGGAGGAGACAAGCTAACAATTCGTCATGGTTCGACTCGTATCACGACTATCAGGATCATGTCAAGTATTTCCAAACTCTGAATGAGATCTTGCCGGACAACTCGGAAATTATCTCCTCGGGCTATTCGTACGAGAACAGGAGCCTATTCGGGATACACCTCTGGGGTTCAGGTGGACCCGGCAAACCAGCTATATTGTATCATGGGACCGTCCACGCTCGCGAGTGGATTAGTACTGCAGTAAGCGAGAATGTTGAAGTGTGAGCCTAGTTGATTCATGCTCATAGTTATTAGGTAACTGAGTATTTGACCTACAAACTCGTCACTGGCTACAGCGCTGGGGACAAAGATACTCGCACAGTGCTCGATAAGTATGATTTCTACATCGTTCCAATCGTGAATCCAGACGGTGTGTGATCCTAGCTCCGGCATGTTCAGAACTAAGCTAATGCTTTACTAAGGCTTTGTATACACGCAAACTACACAGCGTTTATGGCGCAAGAATCGCCAGCCTGGGCCGAATGGCTCGGATTGCTATGGGCGAGACATCAACCGCAACTGGGAGTTCGCCTGGGACGCGAATCCGCAAGGCGCGTCGACGAACCCCTGCTCGCAGACGTACAAAGGCGAACGGCCCTCAGACTCGCCTGAGAACCAGGGGCTGGACAAGCTCGTGCGCCAGCTGCGCGATGGCGCCGGCATAAAGCTGTACATCGACTGGCACAGCTACGGACAGTACATTCTGTCGCCGTTCGGGTACAAGGAGACGCTATACGCACCCGAACTCGGCAAATGGACCAAGGCCGCGCAGATTGTTAGTGACGCTATCCGTGATAGCTCTCGCGATCTCACTGTTTTCACCTTTGGGCCCTCAGGCGCAACGCTGTATCCGACAACTGGAGCTGCCCCAGACCATGTCTACAGCATCGGTCGGGCTGAATTTTCGTATACTATTGAGCTGAGGGATATTGGTAAGTACGGATTTGTTCTGCCGCCTGAGCTCATTCGGCCTACAGTTGAGGAGCAGTGGGCTGGGCAGAAGGTTCTTTGGACCTTGCTGGACGAGGAGTTCTTTGACGGCGAGGGACCTGCTTAAGCTACTTGAGGCCTTTTAGACTATAACACAAGTACTAGGGACTCCTAAATCAAATGATGAAACGTCACTAATTGACTATTCGACTATTTGACTTGCTTCTAAATGATTCATATATATGCGTTGAGCTGCTACATCATGCCGATAAAACCAAACCTGTCTAATATGCAATGTGAAAGTATAAGCCGTGAATGAACCTCATTTCATTCCATTATAAGCCCAGCATTTCGCATGCAAGCCCAAATTGCTTGGAAACATCACCGATCTGAGTAGATGATTAGCTGACATTCGGATAACATTGGCCAAGGCTGCAACTTACGTATTTCGGATCGAATACCTCAAAGTGATTGCAGTCAATATCCAGGACCGGGATACTTCTCCCTACAAGCTGCTCCCATTGCGTCACTGACTTCGCTCTGAAGTCATCGTCGCTGATCCACGGGTATGTCACATCGCACAGCGCTTTCGTGTCCATGGAGCGAGAACATTTCAGCATCACGCATGGAATACTGTCATGGAGTGGTTCCGGGTGGTAGTTCTGTAACATTGTAGCGTGGTAGCGGAATCGCTTCTTGACAGCGTCTAACGCCTTCTTCGACGGTTCAGAAGTGTATGTCTTTCCGGTGCCGGTGTACTTGCTAAGAACGTATGAAACGATCTCCTGCGGAAGCGCTTCATGATCAATTGGTGGTGGCGAATCAATGAGTATCAAACCTTTCACCGCAGGGCCAAGGTTATGCGATCGTAATATGCGTGCAACTTCGAAGGCCAGCACACCGCCAAACGACCAGCCTATAGGATTAAAGTAGCGTTAGAGAACAAAAAGATGTGATCGGGTTCATTTAAGAAGCTTACCACCAAGAATAACCTCCTTGCTCGAGCATATATCTGTCCCATTTAGATAGAACCGAGCAAGATCCTCAAGGCGTGTGATGTCAAGAAGTGAGTCCGGGCTGCAGACTCCAGTTATGTTCCGATTCATGTCAGCCATACGCGAATACATGCTACAATGGCCACTCCCGTCATGAAATAGGAACATATTGCACTTCTCGGGGCCGATATTTTGCCTCTGTATTGTTCTTTGCAAGTCGTGAGATCTTGCGGGGGATACGGTCGCAGTTCTGGGCGTTGAGCTTCTAGATCGTGAAGCTGATGAAGCTTGCGACTCGGAGGATTCTGAGAGATCATCTGGCGAGCACATACGGTCGGCACATATCTCTTCTAATTGGTCAAGCGTGAGTTGTGGGATCTCATGCTGAATGTCATCAATGCTGACGCCAAATCTGTTCTTCAGCTCATCACTAAATTCGATTGATAGAAGTGAATCGAATCCCAATGTCGCTAATTCTTGAGTTGGAGTTTCAACACCAATAGGTATCCCGCAAACCTCAGTAAAGGCTGTCCTTATTGGGGAAAGCGCTTCCATAGCATCAGGAATTGGAACAGCGCGATTAGGAACATTGCGGGGGCTCACAAGACTTCTGTACTCTGAGTCTGATCCCCATCTGGTGGGGGTAGAACGCTGCTCAGATACCGGTGATACCATCTCAGTAAGCTCCTTGAGCGTAGAGCAACGCTCGAGACTAGCTTGATCGACATTTAGCTGCGGAAGTCGACTCCGAATGGACTGTGTTAACTCAATGAACATGAGACTGTCAATCCCCGCTTCAACGAGGGTGATATCGCTCATAGGATCCAGCACCACGTCGCAGCATTCCTGAACGGTTGACTGAATTACTTGTTCAATATTAGGCATTGATGCACTCCGAGGAGGGGCACGTTTGCGAATAGGGGACGTCTTGGAGACTGGGGCAGTATTAAGTGAGCGAGAAAGATGGTGGCTGAAAGATTTGAGTGGGATCTTTTTAAAGCAGGATCCTTCGATGAATGCGATGACTTTGTCCTCGGTGTCAGTTACATAGGTGTCGGCAATGACTGAGTGACCCAGATCCGTCAGACTGCAATATATGTTCAAATCAGTGTCTTTCAGATCTTGTGTAGCAGGCAGATAAGCCTTCTCTATGCCTACACAGATGCAAGCAATGTCTGCCGGGACATAGACATTAGCCATGAAGCCGGGGGCATGAAGCAGGGTGTCTACGAAGACCGGATTGCAGACAAAATTGTTTCTCAATGACTGGCCATCTAGCTGGAATTTACCGCAACCTTCAAGTTGTGATTCGCTCACAGAGAGTTGCTTGAGCGTGAGGAATGGCTCGCTGTATTCTACCACTCGAGGAAATATGACCCCGTAGATTGTCTTACGGGTAAATGAGTCACCACTCCCTTTCAAGTCTGCGCTAAGAGCACGGCGTTGTCGTTCGACAAATGCTGATTTTCGAGTGAATTCATCAATGACATCATTGGGGGACTTTCGATTGATAGAACCGGCGCACAGGTGCTGATCTCTAGAGGATACTGTGAAATTGGTTTGTTTCCCATCATCGCTCATGACGTCGGTTTGGATACCGAGCTCGCTTGCAATGTGATCAGCATAGACTAGCGGCTTCTCAAAGACGATATTTTCGAGTAAATGAAAATCGGTCTTTGAATTTCCTTGACATATGCTGAAAGCTTCGAGTGCGACTTCCATTAGCACCGATGCTGGGCAAAGAGGCACACCTGCAACTGAATGTGCCTTGATATATGGCGCGAGAGGTGTTACATTTGTCTGAAAGCTGGTCTGGGGACCAGAATGGCCTGGCGTGGCGGAGCCGAGGAATTCAAATGACGGCTTTGCGGATTTGTATTCCTGTTCCGTATTTTGAGTAGACGGTTGTCGAAACGGAATATAGTATCGTGAAGTGTTGAGTGGATACTCTGGCAGGGTAGGGAGGAATTTGGCTCTCGAGCCATCATACACTTCTCTCCAATTGATGGGGTAATCTTGCAGGAATAGAGAGCCCAGGCTACGTGATAGCGTCTCCCATGGGCTCTGTGTAGATTTGAGGGAAGGTAAGAATGTATAAGAAGCCTTATTTATAGTCTTCTGTATCATCGATTCAGCTGTAAAAATTGTCAGTTAAGTCTCGCTTTTGATAGAGTTGTAAATAGTATGACTCACTTGTCGGATATGGACCAATTTCTATGAAACATAATTCAGTATTGGGAGATGAACTCTGAATGTCATCAACAACACGGTGGAAGTCGACAGACTTGCGCGTGTGTTTAACAAAATATTCAGGATCTAGTCTTTCATCAACTTCGAGCAGCTTCCCGTAAAGACTGGATCCGAACGTGACCTTCGATGTATTGATTCTTGTAGCTGAGGTATAGACTTTCAAGTCGTCCAGTATGGGATCCATGGATGAGGAGTGAAATCCGTAAGGAACTGCGAGCCGTTTGGCTTTGATTCCACTGTCCTTGCAATAATTGACGAAACGCATTAAGGAGTCTATCGGACCAGCTACCACGATATCTGTCGAAGAGTTCATGCACGCAATACTAAGTCCGGAAAATCTTCGATCATCGCAATTCAGTAACGTTTCAATCTCACCAACCGTACTCTTGCATGTCACCATGCCGGACGTGTCCGACACGCACTTTGTACCGATAAGCTGGGCACGGTTGGCAGTGAGCAACAATGCATCTTTCACGTCTAGAATACCGGCAACCACCATTGCAGCGTATTCACCAATACTGTAGGATACTTGTAAGTGTCTGTTAGGGATATACCTGGATGCAGATGCTTACCTGTGTCCTACGACGATATCTGGCATCATGCCCCATTGCATCCACATTTTGGAAAGTGCGAGCTCCAGAACAAACAATGCGCATTGCGTGACAACCACCTCGCTTACAGAACCGTTGTTCAAGCCCAAGTCGTTAGAGTTTGATAGGAATGGACTAACAAGGGGAAACCCGTGTGCGGACAGAATCCCATCGCATTGATCCGCTATAACACGGAAGCTCGGCACAGTGGAAAGCAGCTCCGCACCCATACCTTTGTGCGCGTGTCCTTGGCCAGAAAACACGAAAATGGTTTTTCGGGTACCTCTCTTTGAGGAATTGAGCTGAGTAATCGTGGACTGGTGTAGGGAATCGAGAAGTTGATGAGGTTGTGAGCCATTTACCGACAAACGAAAACCAGTATGAGGTTGTCTCCGAGCGTTTGTAGTATAACAGAGATCTAGGATACTTGACTCGGGATGAGTCTCGATGTAGGTAATGAATTGCCGTTTGAGAAGATGCATAGCTTGTTCACTTTTGGCCGAAAGATTCAAAATGTGGTAACCTCGGTCTAAAGTTGGTATCTTGTTCTTTGGGCTGACCCTTATTTTAGGCACATACTCCTCAAGTATAAGCGCTGCATTTGACCCTGCAGCACCAAAATTGTTCAACATGGCCCTTCGCGGGGATTGATATGCACCTCGCTTCCATTCTGTAAGTTCTGTGGGAACCACCATGTTATGCATGCGATCGGCGAAACGAGGATTGAGGGTTTTGAATGAGGCTTGAGGAGGGATTTGACCTCGTTGCAGCATCACAAGTAACTTTGCAAGGCCTGCAAGCCCGGATGCAGCTTCTGCATGGCCAATGTTACCTTTAATCGAGCTCAAGTATAAAGGAGACGCTTGAGATCGAGGCCCGAAGGTACTGCTCAGACTTGATACTTCGGCGTAATCACCAGCTTGAGTCCCCGTTCCGTGAGCTTCAACTACACTGATAGTGTCCGGAGCCGTGCGACTTGAGGTCAAAATCTTCTTGAATAAGGCCGCTTGCGCGGTGTAATCCGGGTGAGTAATGGATTTCGCCATGCCGCACTGATTAACACCTATACCACGAATAATACCATAGATGCGGTCATTTTCCTCAATAGCGCTTGATAGTTTCTTCAAAACCACCATACCACAACCCTCGGCGCGGCAATATCCATCAGCTGACGCATCAAATGGTTTACACTGTCCATTTGGGCTAAGAAAGTGCGCGCGCGCAAGACCAGTGTACATCTTAATAATTGGTGTCAGTTATCTGTAACATCTACTCCGCTAGGATGAAAGTACTCACATCAGGGCTTGAGATGGTGTTCACGCCGCCTGCCAGTGCTGCGGTACATTCACCCAACCGAAGGGCTTGGCATGCTTGGTATAAGGCAACAAGTGATGAAGAACACGCTGTGTCGACAACCATAGATGGACCCAGGAAGCCGAAAGCATAGGAGATTCGGCCGCTAAGAAAGGACCTTAAAGTGCCTGTGCTGTAATGTACGTCGATATTATGTCGCAAATTGTCAACATAGTCACCGGTGGCAATGCCGGCAAATACACCGAAAGATTCCCTTTGGAAAGTCGGGGTAGAGTCAGGCGAATATCCGGAGTCCTCTAGAGCTTCAAATGCAGCGTGAAGTAGAAGTCGCTGCTGCGGATCCATGGATCTCGCCTCACGGGGTGAGATATTGAAGAATCCAGGATCGAATTGAAATGGATCATCAAGAAAGTTCCCAAGTCTATCACCCAACTTTTCCGGAGCATCAAAGCGCGATGATGGAATCTGAAATAGCGTTGAGTTAGCTTAGTCGTATATGGCGAAAGCGAGTGAGGCATCATAACTTACGTTGGAAGCAGTACACCGCGCATTCTTAAGCATATTCCAAAGCTGATCTTGGTCATTTGCGTCCGGATAGTTCAAGGATATACCGACTATAGCTATCATATCGTCCATCTTATCATCGGTAGATATTATTGGCTTGTCGATGATACTTAGTCTAGCATGCTGCGGAGCACTCCGAACTAGTGATTTTGTGCCTGGACCGAAGCACAGGACCCGGAACGTGGCTTCAGGCTCGCGTGAAAGACGCGTGGCGGTGTCATGAAAGAGACTCGTGCTGCTAGTCTTCCAGTCACAAACTTCAACAAAGACGTTTCTAAGAAATGTTTCAAGAAGAGACAGTGAACTGCTGCTCTTTGTTAAGAGAGCCCCCGTAGTGGAAGACCTCAGTGGGGACCTGAGAGTATCCCAGGAGGGAAAGTTAATATGTCGCTGCTCCACGTCGACCAAGAGCTCCGCGACAACGGATTCCATTCGTAATCCCCCATGGTAGAACCCATGAACATGTGCAGTACGATGTCGGATAGAAGGAGGGATGTGCGAGTTTTTGAAGTCTGCGAGGACATGGGGAGGGCCACTTAATGAATGAACTTCATCCTCGAAAATAGCTGAAATTTGAATGCAGCGATTCACTTCCTAAATACCCATTAGCTATAGTTACACATTTTCTCGTAGATTTAAGAATACCGGTTGTTCTGTGTAAAATTCGGTCAACGCTGCTTCAAGCTCGGCCGTTGACCAGCCAAATACGCTGTGTGTCCACGCAGAAGAATCCTGCGGCTGGTGGTCAAGGACATGGGAACAGGCAGCTGCTGACCTGAGGCCGATCCAGAAAGCTAGTCGAAAGCCTTGAAGCGACAAGTCGAGGAACTCCCTAGATTGGTATGATACAGTTGATGCAGCTAAGATAGCTGGCAGAAGCCCAGTGCATACACCAGCCACTTCGGCGACTGGAGCCGGGACGTCGCTCTGCGCTGCAAAGACGACTAATTCAAGAATTTGACGTAGGTATAGCGATATAGTCTCAGCCACAGGGTGTGACAGGATTTCCTCCGAAGGAAAAAGTAGAGCTTCCGCATCTTCATAGAAATTGTTAGGATTAACGCGTAAAATCGATCTTGCCTCTTCAATCAAGCTACCACATTCAGAGTAAAATTGATCCAAGCATTGTTGTAAAAATAGATCCCAGAGCGGCCGTGCTGCCCTGAGGTGGCATCGTAACGTCTCAACTGTCCCTCGGTCAGATAGGTGCAGTTTCGACCCTTGTCCGCCGAAAATTAGAATATCACTGGGTAAACTTGTCTCCATGTTGAAGTAGAACAAGCGACCTGCATACGATTAACCAGTCATATATGAGGATAATGACGATCCAACGAATCCAACACTTTGACTGTTCGTTCTGAGGTATCGGGAAGATATAGCGTTTCATCCAAAACGGTCATACAATGCCATCTCGCAAATTGACTCTTAGAGGTACGGTCTTAGTCAATTAGATACATCTGACGTATAAACTGAACATAGTGCATATACTCGGGTCTTACGATCTGCACTGGCTGGTACTCGGGTCCTAAAGTGACTGGCGTCCCTCGGGGTCGGAAGAGAGCGGAGTCCGTAATTGAAAGGAGTCACACAATGCTCTTTTGTACTAACAATGAGAACAAGTATGGTTGACAAAAGACACATGCTTGGCATGAAGAAACTCGCTTTCCATTGTCAGCCTAGCACCACGTTTCAAAGCATATGCTGCTCTGTATATAGGCAAAAATTCGAATCAGATAGGTAGGTACCCCTATTAGACTCACTGCGCATCAACAACATTCTACCACACCCGAATATCTTGCGGCCTAATAGTGCATCCTTTTGAAATTTTGACGCCAGTAATTTCAAAATGGCAGTTTCTCGTCAAATTGGATTTAAGAGACCCGTTTTCGATCCGAAGCCAACGAAATCTCCGAGTGCTGGTAGTGCTTTGGAGAGTATATCGTCGTTACCGCAATTGATTCAGTTTAACGCACGAGAGAACCCGAACCACATCTTTGCCCTTCAATCGGAGCTAGTTAAGAATAGCCTTACAGGACGAGGAGAGAACTCGTATAATGCAATTGCGATCAACTTCAAGCAGCTTGACCAAATGGTATGTCGTTGTGCTGACTGGATACGGCGAGTTGCAATACCCGTAAACCAAAATGGAGAACTTTTTGAGGAGCGGCCTATTGCGATTTTTCTAGAGAGTGGTGTTGGGCTTTTCCTCCATCTCGCGGCTCTATTGTCGTTGAATATTCCGGTAAAGTTAGAACCTGTCCCGCAACTCAGGATTCCGGGCTGCTAATATCCAAACAACTAGGTTTTGCTGGTATCTGCCCGTCTGAGCTCGACAAGTATACTCCACCTTCTGCGAAAGACGGGTGCCAAAATCATTCTAGCGTCTCAGCGGACCAAATCCTCTTTGTCCGAAGATATTCACAGCTCAGCCCAAGTTGTCGAAGTTGAGCCGTACTGCACATATATGGCACAGAAGCCCGACACCAATATCAACGAGGTTGAGAACGCTCCCAGATATGAACCTCCACAACGAGATGCGAATGATATAAACGCATTGATTCTTCATTCTTCTGGTACTACTGGCCTGTGAGTAGAATCGTTTCACTAATGGACGAGCAGTTTAGCTAACTCGCATATTCAAGCCCAAAACCAATATACCTTGCTCATAGGTACATCCTTGGGTATGCCGCTTGTCACCAATTCGCCGCTGAAGAGGAGATAGATTGGATTAATTTATCCACTTTACCGCTCTACCACGGCTTTGGTCTCCTGGCGCCGTGTCTCAGCCTCTCAATTGGTATGACATGCTGCTTTCCCCCGTCCTCTATTATACCGGCAACGAATTCGACTTTGGATCTAATTAGAAAGTTCGGATGCCGTTCATTGATGACAGTTCCGAGCATCATTGACGATATTCACTGTTTATCCGACAAGAAAGAGCGAAACGGAGCCCTGGAACTACTAGCCGGTCTCGAATTTCTAGCTGTTGGTGGCGGGGCGTTGAAAACAGACACCGGTGCTAAACTAGTTCAGCACAATATAAAACTCTTGAATCACTACGGTGTGACAGAGATTGGGGCTATAGCGCCCATATTCAGGCCTGGGTCGGATTACAACTGGAGATTTCTTCGTTTGCGCTCCGACTTGGGCCTCGAACTTCACCCAATCAAGAATTCTCCACACTTTCGACTCGTGGGTTATCCGATCGGCTGGGGAAAACCCTTCGAAGTACAGGACGAGCTGGAGCGTAATGAAACATCCAGCCATGTTGAAGTCAGAATTCTTGGTCGTAGTGACGACGTCATCGTCCTGAAAACCGGAGAAAAGGTCCAGCCTCGGCTACTCGAGGACACACTTAACATGGATCCTGTAATACAGACGGCTGTCTGTGTTGGAAACGGCTTTTTCGAGCTAGCGATTATCATAGACATCATCAGCGATGATATTGATGCTAGGGCAGCAACGGATCATGTGTGGAAATTAATACAGACTATAAATCTGTCAGTTGATCACCATGCACGTATCACATCACGACACGCAATAATCATCAAGCCAGCCGAGAAACAGATACCGCGGTCTGACAAAGGATCGGTCATGAGACAGGCTGTACATGAAATCTTCAGGGAGGAAATCTGTAATGCTTACAATGCAATGGAGCTAGACACGTTGGAAGATGGATTTTCGTTTGACACCTCAGACATGGAGTCAACAATTAGACACCTCGTTACAGCTGTCGCTCAGAATCGCCTGAGTGGTGAGAACTTAGGCGCAGACGAAGACCTTTTCGAAAGAGGCATGGACTCACTACAAGCAGTGCGTCTTGCTCGACTACTCGGTTCAGGGTTACGACAATCAAGATACGGAGCTCAAATTCGAACGGTACAGATTTCGGCTGACTTCATCTATCGAAATCCAACAGTAAGGGCGTTGGAGGCCGCAAGCCTACATCTGATTGATCCACAAGCCAAGCTCAAGACTGACGAGCGCGACGACCGTGCTCTTCAGATGAAATTACTTGCAGCTGAGTTTATCGAGGGATGGAGCGATCAGGCGGCTATACATACTGAGAAGCATACAATTCTGATGACCGGATCGACAGGCAACCTAGGCGCTCATACTCTAGCTAGATTGGCTCGCATCAAATCGATTGAAAAAATTATCTGTCTCATCCGTTGCCATCAACCAGGATCCAAGTCGGCTGACTCAACGTTGAATCGAGATAAAGCCCAGTCAAATCTCCTGGATCGTCAGGAACGCGCATTTGAGGTGGCCGGAATATGCCTCAAGCCTCACGAGTGGGAGAAAATTGAAATTCTCGATCTGGAATCGATAGTTGAAGAAAACGATGTAGTGAGGCCCCAGGCATCCAACCTGGCCCATCGGATCACACATATCCTCCACCTGGCATGGCCAATGGACTTTCAGCGTAGGCTCGACAGTTTCAAACCTCACATTAGGCTATTGCAAACACTAGTCAAGTTGGGACAAAACGCATTTGTGGCAAGGAAGAAGGAACCCATACGGTTGCTCTTCTCTTCCTCGATTGCTGTGGTAAGACATCACGGAGATGTTGTTCCTGAGTCCGCTATGCAAGATCCACTCGTCTCAGTGCCAATGGGCTATGCGGAGGCGAAATGGATATGCGAAACGTACCTCAACCATGTGTCGACGCGCCTCTCAGGAGTCGAACCCATCGTAGTTCGAGTAGGGCAGCTTAGTGGACCAGAAAGGACATCTGGCGTGTGGAAAACAGAAGAGCACTTACCCGCGTTGGTACAGGCTAGCCAGAAGATAGGAGCATTCCCCAAGCTAGATGGAGTGAGTGGAAATCAAGCCCGATTCTGAACCATGACAATCCCCAACTAACTTCCTCTTGCAGGTGGCATCATGGATGCCAGTTGATCGCGCTGCGCTCTCGCTTGTTGAGATGCTGATGCACCAGGGCAAAGTTCCTATATTCCTTCATCTAGAAAACCCAGTGCGCCAACCACTGAACGACATCTTTACGATCATGGCGCATGAATTACGGCTGCAAAAACCATTCATGATATCCTTCGACCAGTGGCTGCAGCGGGCGTCAGAGGCCGGGGAGATCCGCTCGCTGGAGAGCTTTTACAGGGATCATTTCAGAGAACTGGCTGGAGGAGCAGTGAGGCTTGATACAATCGAAGCGCGGCGCATTTCAAAATGCCTGTTAGGATCAAGGGCGATTGAGAAGGAGCTGATCATAGAGTATGTGCGTAGATGGCAACGCGATGGTTTTTTAAGGTAGATCGGGGGTCATGTAAAAGATAGAGCATCTCAATTAAGTGGTCCGTCTTCGGTAGAAAAATACAAAACAATCACTGTCAAGTTCACGGAGTAGGTAGAGGCTGAAATGAATGTGGCTGGGCCCAGCCACTTGCGGCTCGTAAGACAGTGCACAAGTGATTAATAGCACAGTACTCAATGGAGGCAATTCCCAGGCTTCATCGCTAACAGTGTCTGATGCGCAAAAGCCGAGGTTGGCCAATTTGCGTTCAAATTCCGTTCCAAATATTTCGTCCTCTTTGACTACTCAATATTCTAGTCAATCGTAGCATACTGAGATGGAGGCCGCGGGCGCGCCTTAAATCCGCTCGTTCACTTCAGTGCCAGTATGAGCGTCTTGTTTAGAGATGGACAATGAACTTGTACATAAGATTCAACTACGGCATCAGCTACTATACAAGAAACCCCGAGAAATAATTCTTGATGTCCTCCGTCTCATCCGGGAACGCAGTCATGCCAACCCACAGATCGGGTCTAATAACTGCTACCCCACCGCTTGCATGGCTTGCTCCCCATGTTGTATGAGCATCTTCATCTGGCGCCCTGTCGTCGAATAGCACTTGCGCCTTGGCCTCACTGCGTAGAGTTCCCACGAGCTCTGAAGCCAAAGGCGGCAAGGTTTGCAGCTGGAAGGGCAGCAGCTTGGTGACAAGTACGACGTTAAAGATGTCTGCGCCGCCATACCGCCGGTAGAAGCCTTTGGGGTCGCGGAGGCCATTGACGAACACGCGCAACTTGCTCAATATCTGCTTTCCACTGAGAGAAGATCCAAATATGACGATGTGGAACAGAGCGGCTCCTCTTAGCTTGTCGTATAGGTACCCAGTCTCTCCTGTTTCACAGCAGATGCGCGGGTTGGGAGCACGCACTCCCGGTTTCACGCTGAGTGGGCGTCTGATAGAATCACTGATCTCCGGCCGTATGATCGAAGGACCATATGGACAGTCCACACCGAGCAGGAACTGGCCGTTCGTCTTGAAGAAACTGGCTAGGAAGTCTAGATCCGCCTCTTTTTGGGCTTCCTTCGGCTTGTCCTGACTAAGCCTGGTGGCAGGCTTATTGTCCTTGTAGAAATTGCTGTTCACCCCTTGACCCTGGTGATTAGTATTCACCTCATCGCCGTTCTTCACGTGTCCGTTTGTTAGAGCGGCATTCCCGACATTGCTAGCAAGCTCGTCGAGCTGTCCAATGTTTCGAAGATCGGGGACATTGAGGTCAGAGCCGCAGATGAAGCGCAAGTAAGTGCCAGACACCTCAATGATCCTAACAGCGTGCTGCCGTCTTTCACCATTATACGTAGGCAACAGGGCATCTAGTTTCGCTTTGCCCTTAGCAGCGAGACCAACTTTCCATGCTAGATTCGCGGCATCTAGAATAGAGGCGTTGAGACCAAAGGCGCCCATGACACTGTGGACATGACTACACAGGCGGCGTTGAGATATATCAGCCATCTCAGCTCAATTGTCACGGAGTTGATTATAATATGGGATCAGAGCGATTTAGACTTACGCTGCATCACCAACAAGATGAACGCGGTTATCTGGCGAGGAGTAGGACCGAGCCACTCTCTCCGAGACTACGCGCGCATGTCAGTTTTCTTCGTTCTGCCCCGGTATCATCAAATCGGACTTACTCTTCCAAATTGCAAACCAACTCAAAGGAGCCCCAAACTCGAGCTTGTAGGGTGAGAAGATTCTGTTCGCTTGTTCGAGCACCTCTTCGGGTGTGATAGAGTGCACGTCAATCTTGCCACCCGACTCGTTAAATGTTGGGTCTTTCGCCTGCCTCGACACTGCGAGGGGGCCTGCCATTGATATGTCTAGTTGCGTATAGAGTCTACCAGTGATCAGCGGTGCTCGTTAAATCTAGCAGGACTGAGAAATACCTGATGTACCCATCTTCTCTCGGAATAATCACACAGCCACCATGCTTCGAACTGATCACGCTCCTGTTTCCACTAGTTAGCAGCTTGTATTATCATCTGTCTTGGGCTTTACAGTTAAAACGGTGCGGACCTACCCAAAAACCCAAGCGTGCGGATAGTCACTGATATATATACAGTCCATAATACCCCAATAGATGTCTGTGCTAACACCATCGAAGGGGATATTCAATCCCTTACGAACCGAACTCGCGGCACCATCGGAGCCCACGAGGAACTTGGCCTGCACGCTTTGCACCCCACCTGTACGTTCATTCTTGATTGTAGCCCGTATCGGATATGTAGTATCGCGGTCCTGACAAACCGTGTAATCACCTAGGGTACAACTGCGCTCCACTATAGCTTTGTGGCGAGCCAGGTCACGAATATAAATACGCTCGATTTGTCCCTGGGTGATGACGTGTAGCCCACGGTAACGGGAGTCGGACTGATGTGAGCGGTTGAAAAACAACTTCTCCCCATCTTTGTATATCGCAGTCCTCTCAATTAAGGGACCTTCCTCCTGGACCTCGGACGCAAGGCCCCATGACGCAATCGTTTCCAAGAACCGCGGTTGAACACCATCAGCCCGTCCTGCCGCCAGAGGCGCATCCGATTTATCTGTATAGAATTCGTTAAACAAGCCTGCTTTTGGTGAGCAGAGATTACCAGACGATCTTACCAATAATACGAAAAGAGACTCCCTGTCTTGCTAGGCTAGCTGCCACAGCCAATCCGCTTGGACCCGCTAATACAGAAATGCTGTCAGTATAGCACTGGCTTCTTCATGAGCTTCATAAGATCGTACCTCCGCTGATCAAAACATCTACTTTGCCAGATGGGTTCCACCAGGCAGGTGCTCCGTGTGGACTGTTCGTTCCATCGTAGATTGAGGGCCATGTTCGAATAACATTGATGCCGATGTCGTTGTGAGCGTCTGAAGTCACAAGCTCTGTTGATGGTGGCGTCACATATGCATTCGGATCATTCTCAACACCATCCTCTTGGGTATGATCGAAGACCCATGGTTGACCTGTCGCCGGTTGTTTGAACCCATTCTCCCAGGTGCTTGGAGGAATTGCGAATGCCATAATTAATCTTGGCGATTATCAAGCTCCTTGACTTCAAGATGAGGCTGAACCTGAATCTTCACGAAGGGTAAATGATATCTCAGTATTCGTATGCTGTCGCTCCGTATGCGTCGAACGATTGTTCGTGTATCTCGCCTTACTCTTCGCTTTTCCCTTTCAAATCTCGAATCACATATCTGATCCTTTGAACTTCCAAGTACTTGGGTCCTAAACGCGCTGACAAAGAGCGTTAACGTCTGAATGGGTCTACTCCGGTCCGGCTCGGGTCCTTTGAACTCACCGACAGCCACCCCCGCGTCTGTGACAAAAGAACTGCTAACAGTTGACATCCATCAAAGCGACAATAATGCTGAGTATTACAGCTCGCATCATTTCCCCCTGTAGCTCGCGTCCCATTTCACTATCTTGATATTTGCTGTCAACACATCTGCATGCACACCTGACAACCATGACTACTCAGCTAGATGACCCTTTGCACCAGCTACAACAGCTTGGTAATCTAATACAATCTTCTATAGCCGACTATGTGAAGTTGAAACAGGAATCTGTTGAGAATGCCGAATCAAAATTGCCTGAAAAGTCTCTCTTCGACGCGCAGAGGACGCTGCTTGCTGCTGCCGGGCTTCTGACAGAACTAGTCAGCCAGCCTCAGAATCGGCTGCTGGAGGTTTCGTCGCAATATTTTGAAGCGCGAGCTTTGCATATTGTCGCAGATAAGCGCATACCTGATATTCTTGCTCAGAGTGGCGATGCAGGTGTTGCGATCATTTCCCTATCCTCCGCCGTTGGAATCGAGCCCCGAAAGCTATGTAAGTCTCTCAAAGTGAGCATGAATTGGAGGGATTGTCAGCCTCCAAGATCCCGCGATCAATCTTAGCAGAATATACAGCTAGAGACGGATAAACTGACACGGTAGAATACCTCAGCTCGTATTATGCGCTGTCTCTGCTCTATTCATGTCTTTCACGAAAAGGGGGAGGACGTGTTCATCAACAACCGCATCTCGTCTTCACTGGTTGGTAACGAGCCCTTACGTGCTTATATCATGCTGTTGTATGTACTCGATCGTAACACTACGTAATCCGCAACGCAGACTAACACCTTTGGCTCAGCGGACTGGACTTGTATAGCAGCTCAGATTACCTACCGCGTTATCTCAGCGATCCGGTCAAGGGACCTTCATATGCATTGGAGGTCACACCCTGGCAAGATGCACTCAAAACATCCAAGCCGCGCTGGGACTGGCTCGAAGAGAGCGTCCCCATCCACGACCTCGAGGCGGGTAACAACTCTTCTGACGGTGGATCGTCTGCCTATCCCGGAGTTTTCGGCGATGAGTTAGCGAAAGCATGCGACGGCAAGACGAGCGCTACGCTGATAAAGCGCCCGGAGCATAGGATTTTTGGGCTCGCGATGGTTGGTGGGGGTCGCGTCTTCGGTGCAGCTCATCTATATGGTACGCTTGCAATCTAATGCTAGATTATTGCCTGTCCTAATTTAGTGACCAGACTTCCCCTGGGCAACTCTTGGTTCTGCCACCGTTGTGGATGTAGGCGGCGGCGTAGGTAAGTACACACCGTTCTTATAATTCCACTTGTACAATGGGAATACTTTTCAGCTAACCAGAAATCGCACTCGCAAGGCGGTTTCTGCCTTCAGCTATCACATATCTATCCGGACCTCCAATTCGTCGTCCAAGACCGTGCCCCGGCCCTGCAACAGGCACAGACTGAGGTATGGCCGCGCGAGAACGCCGAAGCGCTGACGGCTGGCCGTGTCAAATTCATGCCTCATGATTTCTTCGATGTGAATCCGGTCAAGAACGCCGATGTCTATTGGCTGCGCTATATCCTTCACGACTGGTCGGATGACTACTGCGTGCGTATTCTCAATGCTATCAAACCCTCTATGGGTCCCCGCAGTCGAATATTGATATGGTAAGTTGTGCATCCGCCTCGCTCTATTTCAGCATGTATGCGACGCATTTTCGGAAATCGTATTGTACTGACGCTGAGTGCGACAGCGATCAAGTCATGAACACGACCAGAGGATGCGCGGAACTACCTGCCGCACCTGCACCGCTACCAGCGAACTGGGGCTATTACACAAGATATTCGCACCAGCGTGATCTTGCCATGATGTCTATTATCAATGGTATCGAGCGGAAGCCAACTGAATTTAAAGATCTCGTTGATAGAGCTGGCCTGAGACTGAGGAAGATCTGGGACTGTCGTAGCCAGGTAGGACTAGTGGAGATAGTGTTACCTGGGTCAAAGCTGGATTGAGCTGGGTGTAACATAATCATGTCTAATAGAATGTATTCAGACAATAAGAGCACAGGTACAAGGAATAGTGGTAATAAGAAAACTAAGCTTCGGTAACTAGTTGGTACAAAGACATATAAGTCACGTGCTATGCTCATATCGGAGTTATCGGTTGTTACGATAAACAACAAGTTTAGAGTCTGAACTTTAGACAATCTTTGAATTACTTAAAACTCAATTGCGACACATGATTTAACCACTTCTCTTCCCCGCTCAAGAGGGAAAAAATAACAAAAGTTATCCAGTAGTCAAAAGATTAAGCTGACAAGAGTGGGACTTGAACCCACGCGGATTGCTCCATGAGGAAATCGTGCTAAGGTGCTCCTTAACCTCACGCCATAACCAACTCGGCCATCTTGCCATTGAAACCACATGGGATGTTGTTGCAGCATCAATTTTTTCATGGTTATATAGGAAACCTACCTTCCTTCCATGTAAACAGTAAAGACACTTCTTTTCATGGAGACCTTAACCTCACAATTTGCCATGTTATTGGTTGTTGAGAATGGCTTTTAATTGAAAACATGTATATGTACGTCAGCAAAAAAACTACTTACGTCCGGCAGTATTTTGGTAAGTTCAACAGCTTGGCCCAAGCCGCACCACTTGCCCAGTATAGTGACCTAGGCACTTACATGTAGATACCCAGAAGCCCCTTTCATCCTGACTTACCCCTAAATAAGTAGTTGAAGTAGTCACATAAAGTTTATTCTCACATGTACGTCAAAATGAATGAAACAAAAACCAACAAACATTGTGGTCAATATTGGGTATCTTGTACATATGAATTCTAGGTATAACGGTATCGATCCTCTCAAAGGCCTCCATCTATGTTCAAAACGGGGGCGCTCACAATAGTAGGCGCAGGGGAGGCCTAGACAAGATGCAGAACTCACTGAGTTACATCGGCCATACACTGAGCTTTCGAATTAGCCAATCCTTGCGGCCAGAGTAATATACGCTCAAGTTCCGCGTAGCAAATGCATGAAGAACCTACGATATGCAGCTCGTGGAGAACTACAAGCTATAGGCCATCTGCCTACTGTGGAAAGCTTTTCCGAGCCTACGAGCTACGACGTCCATAGGGCTCGAATGGGAAGAAGACAGCGACAATGGCCATGGCCGCATAAAGGGCCGCGGTGAGGTAGATCGGCGCCGTGGTACGAGTGTCTGCAAATGTGGCAATGACGGCAGACACGATACCCATGATGCGGTTCAAAGAGACCGAGATACCGTTTCCTGTAGCACGATGGGCGGTAGGGAGGACCTCGGGAGTGTATGCGTACAGACAGCTGTAGTAGATGTTGACGCAGAAGGCGATAACGCAGCTGAAGGCAACGTTCTGGTCTGAGGTATGAACCGCTGTATATCCGAAGAAGAATACCATCGTGACTAGGGCACCAATGACCATGGTGTATTTACGGCCGAGGAAGCTGATATTGCACAGAAAACCAGCGAGAACAGGACCAAATATGCCAGATATGTTGGCAAGTGTGTAGTTGCGCCAGACATAGAAAGGCTCGACAGGACCGCTCACACCGCGGGTTTGCAGATACGTCCTAGAAGCATTGTCAGAGCAGGAATGACAAAATGGAGAAATGAGATTATCCAACGTACGACAAGAAGACGTAGAATAGAGGATATCTGATTACGCTGTTAGTTCTCTACTTGATAGGTGACACCTCTGGGCACTCACGCGAGGCCAATCAGCGTCCAAGACAACCAGATTAAGGACGTAGATAGCCCCATCTTTTTCGTGGCGAATAGTCCTGAGAGGTGAACCTTGAACTCAGTAAGTGAGAATCGAGAGTCACCGTGAGTTCCTTGAATCGTTCCACATGCTTCGAGCTGTTCAAGTGTGAGTGAACAAGGTCGGTTGTATTTCTTCGCCAGACTTTGGAGGTTCTCGACTAGTCCGGCGTCGTCGCCTTCGGTTAGTTGATACTTGGGTGTTTCCTTTAGACGGACAATGGTAATTCGCAAAATCGACAAGACAAGAACAAAGGCGCCAGCGGTGAAATAGACGTATCTCCATCCCATATTCGCAGATCTTGGGCATTCGTCTCCTTCCAGATCGCAATTCCATTGTCTCGGAACTGGGAATTGTTCAGATTTGGACCTTTTGACGGCAGATTTTAGGGCCACTCACCTAGGAAACCCCAGCAGATGAAACCAGTGATTGCCTGACCGAACCCCCACCAGCACGCCATCAGCGTCAGTACCCATTGCTTGTCACCAGGAAGGTACTCCAAGAAGACAGTGGTGTCTAGGACCAGGTTTCCGCCGCCACCGAATCCAACGAGAGCCACGAAAAAGCCCAGTGAAGCCCAGTTCGGTGCCGCACCAGCGACGATGGCAGCTGCAGAGCAGATGAACAGGGAGAGATTGAAAGCCCAGCGACGGCCAATGATGTCAGCCCCAAATCCCCAGAATATGGCACCGACGAGTAAGCCGGCGTATGAGGCGATATTCTGACCGTTCGCAAACCCCACGGAGCCGAACTCCTTAAAGGCGGGCGCAGCGATGTTGCTTTGAATAAGGGTTATCATAGAATCCACCGCGTATCTTTTCTTCCGGTTAACATCATGGAGCATAAGTTTTTGGCGATCGCATGTTTTAGTGTCTCACCCAAAGCCGTTTAAAACGAATAACTTCCAATGGTAGTTTGTCCAACCAATTTCGTCAATGGCCTATAATGCGTTCCGCTGTTGATTAGCAAGGGACAGGCAGGACGCACCGGGCAAGCGCGGGCGCCTGATTAACTGCTATGCCTTACATTGTTGACGAGGTGCATTTTGGCATTTAGAGCGGGATCCAAGTCTTGCATGGCGAGGATGTCCTCGCCCTTATGAAGCGAGCTGGCGGAGGCGATCTGCGACTTCACGTCGGCGCCCGCATCATCCATCCGCTTCTCCCTCTCGGGGTAGTCGCGCGTTTGGGGAGAGCCGTCGGCACCCATCTTGATCCACGTTTGCTAATGACAAGCCAGAAGAGGTAGCGAGGAGGTCGATGAGTAGTGTTTCTAGGACTTTGAAGTCTGCTCAAACGGGTAGACCAGTGAAATTCGAAAACTCGAGATTTTCGGCAAGTTAAGTACCGAGTGCGGGTAATTCTTTTGCTTCGAGGACTGCCGGGAAAGGGAAACACGTGCTCATAGAGTTTGCGACTTTGGTTTAAGTTGACTTCAAGACGCAACCTTGTGATGGTTGTCGAGCACGATGTCGAGGGGAAAGGGCGACAAAGCGCAATGCATCAACTTGCTACATGTACTTTGAAAGGTACCAAGACGAGGAAACAAACCATTCTTATTCTTTTGCCCATGTTTTCTTGCCCATGTAGCCTTTTCGTCGAGTGCGACAATGACGGCATAGCGCAGTGGACTCTTCGCAGCGAGGCGGACAGCCATGGTGAAGTCGCGGGCTCCCATTCGCCAATTCGAGCTGGCCACAGCCAATCCCAACTAGCCGGGCCGGGTCATGAGATGCTGTTCCAAGATAAGAAGGTAAGCGAAAGGCGTGAATCGACACTTGATGAATACCTACTTAGGTGAATCTTCTTTGTGCACCCATCCGCAGCGCTCTTTCATCCAGTGACAGGCAGCGGAAAGGGGCGGAATCGAGAGTGGCCAATGAGCTGCTCCAATTCATCCGCACCGCTAGTCTCCTCAGCTAGCCATATCGGGACAGTGGCCCCGAGAGCCTCTCGGCGTGGATTCGCCCACTTGGCACACGCTGCTTTCCACTCACTGGATAATGAAAGTAAAGGACGAGAGACTGATCTGATATGTTACGACGCCTACGATCACATTGGATGTAAATCAATTGAGACAATTTTACAATCAATTGTACATTAAATCAAATATCTATCTACTTGCACATTCAATAGAGGCCCTAACACGCCACTGAAGGCGCAGGTAACTTCACTGGTCCCTATCTGTGGAGATAGGATTAGGGAGTGGGACGCCTATCGCGGGGTAGCACCTGTAGCACACCTGTAGCACTCGGCCAATCAGCTTCAGATGTTTCGTCACGTTTAGACTACCTACCGGTAAACCAGGCAACATCCCAGCATCCCGCCAGCAGCCTACCTACGGTTCTAGAAGTTTGACATTGAAGCTCACAAGGCGAGCTAAAATGCGACGTCGCAGCGTGCTGTTGAACTGATGTTGCTTTTATCTGTACTGCTATTCGTCCGTCGATCGCGTGTCGAGGCGGCGGTTAGCTGTGCATGGGACAGCACGTGCAGTAAGTATCATGAAGTATGTGCCTCAAATCGTATGGTACGTAGGTGACATGGGCTGCGTGGTATAAAGTGGTGAGTGAACACAAGAGTCAATATTACCCGTTCCTCCTCTTCTCGGGCATTCTTCTTCTTCGAGTCAGCACAATGATAAACCATGCTCGATTGCTGTGTTTTGTAGGTGTCGTCTCGGCTGCCTTTGTAGGTAATCTCAACTATCTCTCCCCTTCGAGACATCATGCTTCACTAGGAGTCTCCATCCATAGAGTAGCCAAAAGAACCCATGGGACTACACCGTGGGCGCCGAGCCAACTGAATTTCACCCATGGCGTTGCCTCTGGTGATCCCTCGGAAGATAGCGTGATTCTCTGGACGAGGGCTGCACCAACCAACGACAACGATGCGAGCAATGTCACCGTCTCGGGATATGTGCCGCTTTACGATCACTCAACCGAAGAGTATGTCATGTCAAGCAATGCGCCTGTCTGCGTCGACTGGAAAATCGCAACCTCCGAGTCATTGAAACATGTCGTAGACTCGGGCACTGCCTACACAAGTTCGGATATCGACTATACTGTCAAGGTAAACATGGGAACAATGATTGCGTAGCGTAAATAGCTAAATCCATCCGAAAGGTAGAAGCCAGGAAGCTCAAATCATTCACGACATACTGTAGGTGATTGTGAACAGCCTCCTCCCTCCATCAAGTTTTATGTCGGTTCTGACATGTGGAAAAGACTACCAGTTCTCCATTTGCAACTCTGAGAACAAGTCGCCTGTTGGGCGTACCAAGACTATCCCCGCTGCTAAGGATAAGATTTCAAACCCTATCAAGCTGGCCGTATACTCATGTTCCAACTATCGTGCGTCGCCCTGTTCTAATATCCTCATCGGATCTCTAACATCTATCTACTCAGCATTCGGGTTCTTCAATGCGTACGGCAACCCCGCGCGAAAAGACTCGGTGGAATACGTTATTCATCTCGGTGATTACATTTACGAATACGCTAACGGAGAGTATGGTTGGGGAGATTCTGTGAGCGATTTTCTACGGTCGTCCTCTTCTTATATTCTCTCTTACACTTCAGGACGTCCCTTCATGTTGAATTCACGTTTTGCCATAGTTACAGCTGTTTCGGAGATCTCTTTACCACACTTCTGGCAGCAGTTACTAAATGTGAGTTTTGCAGTACGGTCGGATCCCGCTTCCAAACCGGGAGATACACACGTAAGTTTCTTCATTCAAGTGCCGGCATCAGCACAGCAGCTAGCTAACCACAACCGTAGGCTATATGATTATCGCAAGCGCCTTGCCACCTACAGGACCGACATAGATCTCCTTGCCAGCCATCAGAGGTTTCCCTGGATTCCTGTGTGGGATGATCATGGTTTGTCATTTCATCAGCTAAACGAGGAATCCATCACTAACAATAGTTGAAAAGAGGTGGCCGACAACACTTGGCGCGATGGGTCCGCCCACTTGAATAATACCGAAGAATCATTCATTGAGGATGGAGGTGTTTCTGTCGACCAGCGGAAGATGAATGCTGTAAGAGCTTATTTTGAGTGGAGTGAGTTATGAAATATGCTCCCGTGCCCCCTTTGACTAACAAATTCAGTGCCAATCCGACAAGTCGATATGGACGATAACCTAAGAATATGGCGCAACTTCCAATTCGGCAGTCTATTTGACCTTATTATGCTCGATACGAGGCAGTACGATAGGTCGATAACCGATGTCTACTGGAACACACATTATCTATCTGAGATCTACAACGATGCTAGCAGATCGCTTATGGGACCCAGACAAGAGGCGTGGTTTTACAGGACTCTGAAGGATAGCGAGAGGCGAGGAACCACTTGGCGGGTAATTGGAAACCAGATTGTCTTCAGTCGTATCAACTCCAGTATCTCGTCAGGCGCAGAGACACCTTTCAACTATGACCAATGGGACGGCTACCAGGCGAACCGCAACAGGACTTTCCATACTCTATACGAGAACAAGATTGGAAACAACATCTTCCTCGCCGGCGACTCTCACGCTTCGTGGGTGTCTGATCTCATCTGGCTTGACGAACACCCTTACGACCCAGTCACAGGTAACGGATCAATTGGTGTAGAATTCGCCGGAAGCGCCGTAAGCTCGCCGTCACCAGCCGGGCAGAATGTAACTCTCGCAGAGGCCCAGGTCGGCTCCGAATACTTCGTCGCTACCAACCCCGAGCTCCAATGGCAGGATTTCTACTACAGGGGTTACTACGAGTTGTCCATCAGCCATGAGCGCGTTGACGCGGCGTACTTCGGCGTCCCGACTACTAAAGTCCAAAGCGGGGCCGAGATATCCCTCGCGAACTTCACGGTCCTCGCCGGGGCTAATAAGCTTCATAGGGAGAATGGTGCTGCGGCTGCGGGAGGTGTGGTCGAGGCTGGTAGTCTCAAGGGTGGAAAAGTCGTCCCGAAGAACGTGTTGTTAGATACTGAGACGGATGAGTGGCGGAGTTACTAGGCTGATCAGAAGGATGTCATGTTGATGTCTATATGAACTTAGTAATTATAATGAATAATTCCATTTACGTATTATTCATAGTTCTAATCACGCTGTGAGGTTCGGTTACACGGAAGAGGGGATGCCCTTTGTCTTGAGATTTTGTAGATCTTGCATACTTCAATAGAAAGAAATGCCGCTCTAAACACCTTTAGACTATTGCATATGGGATACCTGGGTGAGCCCTAGCCCTTGATATAGCCCAGCCCAAACCATCCAAGAAGCGAATAGGGTATGATACCAGCAGGGAGAAGACATGATTGAGTAAGAGGGGGCCGTTTCCTGAAATTCGCAGATCAGTCACATGATCGGCCCGCTACTCAGGCGTGAGGCTCCGTGGAATGTAAGCATGATCCTTTCTACGGTGAGTCCGGAACCTCTCTTATGATTCGGGCTCTGAGGATATTGTCAGTCTGGTCTAGAATAGCTTGGCCTGAGAAGAAAACAATATTTCTCTAAATTATTAACTTCTCTTGCTTCCCTAATGCTAGAACATCTGAACTTGGGTGGTCTTAGTTACCATGTGTTCTAGCGGGGGATGAAAAACGGGTGAGGGAGCAAGCGGACTTGTGCTCGGCGCGATCGTTGATTGTCCAGAATTGAGAAGCTTAAGTTCCTCACCTTTTTTCCCCGTGGGGATTGTACGAGGAAATACCAGTTACATGATGTCGTCACTTCAGTGAGAAGATGTCAGCATCGCGTGCGGCATGGTTATATATCATTGCCCTTGAGAACAACAAACGAGATATTAGAACCGATCTTCAAAGCGATACCACGGAAGACCCAACATGTCCTTGGTCGGGACGAACTAGTCCTTTCTTGCCCTCTAGAACTTCCAGCTGGTCACGAGACTTCTCAACTCTGGTTCGTGTATTTTACATCCTAGTGTTTGTGATACAGCGTCGAATCGCCCTAGAACTACCCTGGATCAAGATGGAGTTCTAGGGCCTTCAAAAAGGAAGCTGATCAGAGAGACTTCCTGGAAATTAGATACTATGCTGGCCTGACATCTCACCTGTAACCGGCCTTTTGGGCGCGATGTTGCTGGTTATGGGTAAGACACCCCTATGAATGAAGATTACACGGGCGGCTTCAGCGGGGAAATGGGTCAAAAGAGGGATTCAGGCCGGGAAGGGGATGTATATCTTGGTACACTCCAAATTGGACATTGATGGGAGAAAGATGATATCGACGTATATATTTAAGGGGATTTAGATTATACCGAGAGGGATCGATTTGAGTGATGAGGAAGCATCCTTGGATATTCCTGTCCATTCATAGATGTATCATGTTTGAGAAGAGCATTGGAGGTACAGTGGCTGCCGAGTGGACATGGCTATGACAGATTAGCATCAATATCGTCAATTGCCTGCCCGTGCTTTGGAGGACTTTAAGTGATCCTCGGTCTCATGCCATGCCATGCCATGTCATGTCGTGATGCTAAGTTGGGGTCGGCAAGCTCCCTTTCTGGCAAGGCCGATATCACCGCTTCGACAGCGACCCTAGCGCCAGCCCAGGCCTGTGGAAACCACCGACCCCTGTAGGATCACTAACCCAAAGCGCCCAAAGCGCGAGGGCCGGTTGAGCTTAGCAGCCAGCGACAGGCTTTGATAGGGCAGGAATGAGCCCCCAATCTCTACGGTACTCTATGGTACTTATCTGGGCATACTGATTCCTATGGATGGAGAGGTACCTCCCCTGTTGCGCTACTTGGAGGATCAAACCAAACCACCCCGCCATCGGGACCCCTCGTCCCTCATTTTAGAAGCCAGCCCCTCCTCCTCCAGACACAATCCCAATATCAAATGCTGATGCTGACTACAGCTTGCTTCTAATAATAATATCGCCTACCCGTCCTACACTTTACACTTTACACACCCATCCATCTCTCCAAGCGCAGTAGCATTCAATCTTCCTCTCCGTCTCTCTTGTTTTTTGTCCAATTGACATAGCGAAGCTGTTTTGTTGTCCGAGTTCTCGTGTGTTGTTTTCCATCGAATACCCAACATAGACCTGTGAATAGACAGCGGTAGGCAGAGGAAAGGAAAGGAATCAACCAGCCAACCAACCAATCTATTCAGCAGCAATGGCCGAGATCTACCGCGCGAGCACGACGGCTCCCGTCAACATCGCCGTCGTCAAGTACTGGGGAAAGCGAGATGCGAAGCTCAACCTCCCCACCAACTCTTCTCTCTCCGTCACCCTCTCGCAGGACGATCTGCGCACTTTGACCACCGCTACATGCTCGAGTTCCTACACCGGAGAGGACAGCCTGACCCTCAATGGCTCCCCCTCCGACATCTCGGGTGCTCGAACCCAAGCTTGTCTACGTGAGCTACGTGCTCTGCGTGCCGGTCTTGAGGAGAAGGATGCTTCGCTGCCCAAGCTATCAACCTTCCCTCTGCGCATTGTCTCCGAGAACAATTTCCCCACTGCCGCCGGTCTGGCTTCGTCGGCAGCTGGTTTCGCCGCTCTCGTCCGAGCCATTGCCGACCTCTATAAACTTCCCAACTCTCCCACTGAACTCTCTCTGATCGCCCGCCAAGGCAGTGGCTCCGCCTGCCGAAGTCTGTTCGGCGGATACGTAGCGTGGCAAATGGGATCGCAAGCCGACGGACTCGACTCCAAGGCCGTGGAAGTGGCCCCGGCCTCGCACTGGCCTGAGATGCGGGCTCTCGTTCTCGTCGCCTCGGCTGCGAAGAAGGGCGTCAGCTCTACCTCGGGCATGCAACAGACCGTCGCGACATCTGACCTGTTCAAGGAGCGCATCACGAACGTCGTGCCCAAGCACATGAAGCTCATGGAGGAGGCCGTCGCCGCGCGAGACTTCGCCAAGTTCGCCGAGGTCACCATGAAGGACTCCAACTCGTTCCACTCCACCTGCGCCGACACCTACCCGCCCATCTACTACATGAACGACACCTCGCGGGCCGCCGTGCGCGCCGTCGAGGCCATCAACGCCGCCGCCGGCAAGACCATTGCCGCCTACACGTATGATGCCGGCCCGAACTGCGTCGTGTACTACCTCGAGAAGGACACGGCTGCCGTCGTGGGCACCTTCTACCCATTGCTTACGACCACCGAGGGGTGGAAGGCCGAGGCTAAGTCGTATGCCTCGGGCGGCGTGCAGCTCGAGGAGGCCGTGGCTTCTCTGATTCAGGGTGGAATTAGCAGGGTCATACAGACGGGTGTCGGTGAGGGTCCCGTCAAGACTGACCAACATCTGGCATGAGACTTGACACAGATTTTGGACGAATGATGTGAGCGGGCGGGGATATGGCATATTTCGCGTTACTTACTTATACCTACTTTGAATATAGACCTGTCCATGCTGCGTACTCTTTTCATTGCCGTCGAATGGTGTGATGATCACAATTCAATTGCGGCGTAGGGCTCATTGTGACATAGGTAGGGGCCTTGACTTCTGCGCCTAGTGATGGAATTGGCTTGTTGCTTTTTGCATTGCTCTCATCAGGCTTCCGGTCTCGCCGCGTTTGTATGTGGTACGTATGTGGAGCTATAGCGAGCGAATGCGTATCGTTATAAGCTGAAGACTTCTGTCAACAGATTATCGGGTAATTAAGATCGGGCCACTAAATACATTACGCTTGCGGCACCTGGATGAAGGATGCCCGGGTAATGTAGACACCGGGCATTATGCTCCAAGGTCTGTATTTGGGTTTGGCGGCGACTGTTATAGTGTTGCTTATCGCTATTCTAATGTATTATTGTAACTACATAGGGACGGAAGTTCTACTTTTTGACCTTTGCCCCTTTGCTTGGCGTTTATGTACAGCTGTGCTATGTATCGGACATTCGCTCTGGTTGATTCCGTGACAACGACTGAATTCCATTCATAATATATTCTCATTTACACGCAAAGTACAATTACTATGGTCATCGGTGCCTGTTTAATTTAATGTATTAGTCATCACCTACAAGCATAAGGTACAGAGGTTCACAGAGACGGAACACAAACTGACTTGACTAAGCCACTTTTCCTCAAAGCCTCGCATCTTGGTGTCTTGTTGAGACGCCTACTTATGTTTATCATTGTGAAGAGCCATGTCTGGCTGCGGGCTGGCGAGCATTACCGCGTCTTAGCTAGGGGTTGATACATCAAAGTTATGCGATGCATTTGACGTTGAATTGTATATTGAGTTACTTCAAGTGATTAAGAAGCGATATAGAGGGGCCATTGAAGGTCATTTGTGAGAATTTGAGCAGAATTCCTTTCAACTCACGAAGCTTTCATTTGAGAAAATACAGTAGCACATAGATCGAGAATGTTGATGTGATTGCGTGCAGTAGGTGCCAAAACCCAGCAATCTATTTAATACCTATATATGCTCGCCATGATAATTCAGGTAGTTACCTATTAGTATACACCTTAGATTGATATCTTTGCATTCACAACCTTTCAATGGGCGTCTTATTTTAATGGCCAAAGAGGACAGGTAGAACACCTCCTATGGGTGCAGTTGGTGCAGGCAAAATCGTAGTTATAACTTAAATTTGTAAAAGAGCAGTTACACTATCAATGTTAGGTAATGATGTAATCTCCGGGCTAGGGCTTTACTTACGCAGGTCCATCGCCATTTTTTTGGATCCTCACTTCGGCCGTGAATACGACCACTCCTAGTTGACTCTTGATCTTTTGTTCCTGCTAGGGCTATATGTGACGTAGCAGATTTTATCGGGTCGGAAGACCGTGAAGTGGACTTATGTTCATGTACATTTGCAGTACTATGATTGTTGTCGCTATAGTGATCCCCGTCCTCTTCAAAGTGGTCTGAAACACTTCCTTCTTTGTCTGCTGCGAGCTGAATAGAGTGCTCTTCTGAAATGTCATCCTCCCCTATCTTAGGCAGGGCAAATAGTGCTAGCTGCTCTTGATGATCGCCGACATGCTTTTCATACTCTTTCGTGGACTTGAGTAAAACGCAACAGATAGGGCACTCGATCCCATTATCAGGGTCAACCCGTCTCCCCCCAAGCTGTACAATGGATTCCAATTCTGTTGCAGGGAAAGCTCTAGGATGGACGGTAGTCAGATGGGCTTTATAGCTACGGGCGGACGAGAATGTCGTCTCACAGCCCTCGGTGCAGTGCCACACTTTCCAGTGGTACTGTGTGAGATGTTTCATCCAATGGTGCCGTCGCTCAAAGTCTTGTTGCGGTGTTTCACAGTCTTTGTTCAGGCATATGTATGGTCGAAGATCCTGGAAGACATGCCTTCTATTATCCAACATTAACTTCTGGGGAGTAAGAGCTTCAACTTCCACTTACTTCCATGCTATCTCCGAATTGACTATGATCATCATATAGCAGTACGGACATTGGAAAGGCTCATTGTTTGATCTCGATGGACACGGTGGAATGCGAAGTCTATCCGAACTGCGTACGGAGCTCGGATACGAGGTTAGAGAGAGTCCAGCTTCAGATCCTTCATCATTTTGTAAGGCAAATATGTCGGTACTTTTCAGATTCTCCGGAATAGAGGATGCAACAGTGCTCATATAATTGGCTTCTGTCTTGCTATCCTCACTATCGAGCCCATGTGACATTGCAGCATGACGCATTTCTCGATATTTGAAATATTGACGACGACGAGAAATAGCTTTTCCGAGTCTTTCACTAATTCTTTCTTCACCACCCGAAAACTTCTCTCTCACATGTTGAATGTCGTAAGGTTCGTAATGGGCTGTGGCGGTCAGATGGGATCGTCGGAATCGGTCATGAGGCGCCGGATTTTTAATCGAGACAGAAAGTCGTAAAAGACAATTGACTGCGTCAGCTAATATTGCGAAAAAGCTGCTCAAGTTCTGTTTCTGGTACGCTTGGGTCTGGTTCAAAGTCATGGGAAGAGTTCGAAGCAATCGATGACCCATCATCGGAAAGTTGGACCCAAGGGACTTTAATACCCTGGCTAATGGAACAAGCGTCCTGAAGCATCTCGTGCAGGGAATCAAGGAGTCTCAAGACTTGAGATGTGAGATGCGAAGCATCTCTTAGGCGATATTGAAGAGAGCTCCTACCAGTCTGATGCGCGCCTATATTGCCCGTCCACACCCTAAATCGAGACAACTCATCCTGGATATCTGACACACGTTCAGATTCCTTGTCCGAGTCATAACTATTGTATTCAGTAATCAGGTCTTTAAACCCCTTCAAGCATGCGCCTACTCTTTCAGAGATACTATTGCCCATTGCGTTCATTCTGGCAACTCTAACATACTTGCAATGATTGACGACATTTCGAAGATGGTCGGATGGTAAGCTTGGGAGGGGCAAACAGGGCGCTGAGCCAATCGATAGGTTTCTACTTTATACACGCTCAGCCGCTGGGCGCCAACCCCTCTTTCCCTACTCTTCGTAATTATGATAATGTGACATTGTGAATGAGGAAGAATCGCTGGGCTTCATCGTAACAATATGTCTGGCCTTGAAATAGCTGGCCTCATCCTGGGAGCAATCCCTCTAATCATCTCTGGGATGGAGCACTACACTGATGTCATATCAACACTCCGTACATTTCGGAAGTACAAACTTGAGCTTCAACTATTGACCAATAGCCTACAAACAGAAAGGGCGAAGCTGATTAACACATACGACAAGCTTCTAGTTGGACTTGTACCCCCTTCAATGGTTAAAAAGTTGGTAGCCGAACCGTTCAGCGACGCCTGGAAGACCAAAGATATCTACGACAAGGTCCGTTTCCGATTATACTGGTCCTTTCCGGACTTTGAACGGGAGGTCAAGGACATCCATGATGCAACTGAGGAAATGAAGCGTCGGTTGGCAATCCAATCAGATGGCAAGGTTGGTACATGCGAAACTCGGCAGCTTCCCACAGAATATAACTAACTACCATCACCGCCGTTTAGGTTAAATTGGTTAAAGACGGTGCTATCAAGCGTGCAATAAAACGAGTTGAGTTGGCATTGGCAAAATCAAGTTATGACGACCTCTTGCAACGGATCACAAAGAGCGCTGCAAACCTTGAAATCTTCACATCTCAGAGTATCGGGCTCGAGGATGAGCGAAAATCGCGGTCGAAGTACCAGCTTTCAATGCTCCTCAGGCAAAGTCTCTTGAGCATCTACCATGCTTTTCGTGGTAGTTTTCAATGCCACAATGCCCATCAATTGAACCTAGAGTTAGCACTGAGGCATGTTAACTTGACACCATATGACGAGGACGATGAGATAAGAAAGAGTTTCTCGTTCCAATTTGCAGCTTCTGTCCATTGCTCTGGAAGCCCCTATGCTAAATCGATGGAGTGAGTTGAGTACTGGAGACACGTAATAGTGAAGCAGAAGGTGGCCGATGCACTCGCAACCATGCCTACTGCATTACGTGAACCAGATTCTAAAAAGCGTAAAAGAGCAGCGAAGCTCATCTTAGCGCCTTCTAAACTTACTTCTGATGCAGCTACTGTTAAAGCGGTCAACTCTTGTTCGCCTGACAATACTCACGAAATGGCTACTCTGAATACACCCAAAATCATCGAGACCCGTTCAAAGAACAGCAACATCGCACTAAGGAATCTATGCGAAGTTCTATATTCCTGTCAGATTCATCAAGCACGAGAATGCTATGGATACATAGTGGATAACCACAGTACGAAAGGTCGGGAGTACGAACTCCATAGAATTACGAAACAGCCAGACGAAAAAATATCATCAATAGTATCTCTACGACAGGTGTTGACTAACTCGGGAACCCCGCGCGCATTATCTTTCAGAGATCGGCTATCTCTTGCTGCCAAGATAGCCTCAAATATGCTCTGCCTCCATCAGACTCCATGGTTGCCGGAAGGAGTGACGAGCGACAACATTCTTCTCGCACAGAAAGATGGCCTACCGATTCCCACACAGGTTTTTATTGCACAGCAGATACCGGAGCCGACTCATCCGGGTCCTGTCAAGCCAAGAAACCCTAGATCACTTAATCTCAACTTGGGTGTTGTCCGCTTAGGCATTTTGCTGATTGAAATCATCCTGTGCAGGCCACTGCATAGCCACTGCGAACCAACTGAGCGAGAATGGGATTTGATCTCCGATTTTGATGCTATCCAAAAGCTCCTTAACGAGGTTCAAGGATATGCAGGGCCAGATTACGAGACCGCTGTGCGTCGGCGTCTGAATCATTACTGTTATGATAATACCCTGAGCTTCGAGGACAGAGGATTTCGGGACAATATTTATAGAGATGTGGTTGCTCCCTTGGAAAAGGATCTGATGTTAGGCACATCCACCTAGTCTCACTTCATATGTTACATCCAGGCTTTTAAGAAGATCAACAAGCAGCTTTAATTCAAACGAGACAGCTGAAGCCCAGGCAGCGTAAATCAGTCCCGTACATTATCTTACATGCCCTTCTTGGCCGGATGAACAGTTTTCAACGGTCAGCTGCCTCACCTAGAATCATAGCGCGCTCAGTGAACTTCTCATCCCGATGCGCTGAGTTCCAAGACCTGCCTGTCAATGAAACGAATGCACGTAGCCGCGATATATATGAAGTATCACATCACATGAGTGTGTACATTGTTGCTTTTTACGTGAAAGGGGCATGGGACGCCTTGACAATGAATTAGAGAATCTCCGACTTCACTAGTTTACTATACATTCGAAGCCTTGAGTCCTTTGCATTTGCTGACAGACCATTTACTCCCACATTCAAAATTTCACATTATGACATCGATAGTCACTCTGTTCAAATCCGGATAGCATTTCCTCTTGTCACGCTGTTGTCTTGAATTAAGGAGTCGCGGGCCTGGCGTCCAAGGTTGACCCTCGTTGTTGCGCCATCTAGGTGGGCTAGGCCGTTAATTATTTCCATAACAGTCTTGACTGCTTTCCGACAATTGGATGATGTGGCGACATGGGATGGCAAGGCACCGCCAAGTGGAGAAGTAAACGCCTATGTAGCCACGAACTGACCTCGGAATTAACTCTTGCATACTGTTCGTGATTTCCGGAGTTCCCCAAAATTACCGACTCTGAATGCCGCCGCCGTCAACATTTCGCATATTGCTAACAACAATTGCATCATGAGGTCCGCCCCCTCATTCCAATGCTGACTACTTTCTGTCAGCTTTGTACATTGACGACCTAGCTCGCTGAATCCGTACCTGCTGTGGTATAACTTATCTTACGCAAATGGTCGATCTTCGCGGCATGTTGCCCCTTCTGATCACTCAGCATACTTGTGTAACAATTTCCCCTCACATATGAAAGGTCCGGGATCGGGTCAATGCGCAACATGTAATTCTAAAGACTTCTCTTGTATCTTACACTTATTGGATTTTCTCCCAAGGAGTCTGTCAAGTCTTTATCTTTATTGCCAGCAACGTCGTGCATCATCAGTTTGTTTGCCTTCGCGCTCAGCGCGGTGAATTGGTTCGAGATGTCAATGACCTCGGATATCCAGGTTTCATTCGACGTAGGTTCCTGCGAGTTACCCCATTCAAGCAGTTCCTGAGACTCAGCATAATCAATTCTAGACAGATTTTTTCAATATCATAAACAATGAACTAGTCGACACGTCCTCAAAACGCCGCACAATATGTTCAAGCACCAAACAACCATTGAAGTTCGAGGTTCCAGTTGCTACCAAGGAGGATGTCGACCGGGCCGTGGACTATGCAGCTAAAGCCTACCCATCCTGGAGCAAGCTGTCGTGGGATAAACGTGCCGAATACCTCTTCAAGTTCGCCGACGCCATCGAGGCCAATAAAGATGGCTTCATCAAGCTTCTCAGTCTTGAAGCTGGAAAACCGCCGCAGGCTGCAGCCTTCGAGATGGCGCTGGTGATAGGTCTTGCCAGGCAGATTCCTCTCTTAAGGATCAAGGAGGATAGGCCTATAGATGACGAGGAGGTCGGTAGCACCTTGGAGTATTCCAAAGTATTGGTACTGACCATGCGACAGCGAACCGCCATCGTACGCTACGTTCCCCTAGGAGTGGGAGTCGGAATCAGTTAGTCCCCCAGGGTCATTCATTTCCCCTTCCGCCAGTTCATCGCCCCTTGATTCTCCCAAAACACCTGCCCAATTCTTATTTCATTCTGTCTGGGCAATTACTAACTCTACCGTGTGAACAGTACCGTGGAATTTCCCTCTGACCCTAGGAATTGGAAAGTTATTACCTGCGCTATTAGCGGGTAACACCTTTATCTGGAAACCATCTCCGTTTACGCCCCACGGAGCGCTGAAGTTAGCCGAGATTGGAGCTAAGATCTTTCCTCCTGGTGTCTTCCAAGCCCTGAGCGGAGATGACAGCCTGGGTCCTTGGCTTACATCTCACCCTGGAGTCGCCAAGGTCAGCTTTACTGGATCAGTTGAGACTGGCAAACGCATTATGGCGTCCTGTGCTGGCACACTCAAGCGAGTGACCTTGGAGCTTGGCGGTAATGATGCCGCGGTCATATGTGATGATGTCGACATACCTTCCGTCGTCAATAGTGTATGTGTATCTCCTTCGGGAACCATACTGACCAAAGACCTATAGAGTAACTAATAAGTGAACTAGGTCGCCTTTCTCAGCTTTGTACATTCGGGGCAGATCTGCATGGCTATCAAAAGGATTTATGTGCACGAGAAGATCTACGACCAATTCCTTGCCGAGATGGTGAAGCAAGTCAAAACATTCAAGATGGGAGATCGTAGTGACCCTGAGGCGTTCTTTGGTCCCGTCCAAAACGAAATGCAATATGAAAAAGTAAAATCTTTGTACGCAAAGATAGGTGCAGAGGGTTGGAAAGCAGCAGTAGGCGGAGAGATAAAAGACAGCGAAGGCTTCTTTCTACCGGCTACGATTATTGACAACCCACCCGATGACTCTGAAATTGTGCAGCATGAGCCCTTTGGCCCTATTGTACCTGTTCTTAAGTGGTCGGACGAAGAGGACGTGATCCGACGAGTCAATGATACGAAACTTGGCCTCGGCGCGTCAGTCTGGAGTAGCGATGTGCCGAGGGCCCAGCGTATGGCCGAGCAACTCGAGGCTGGTAGTATATGGGTTAATACACACTTCGAGCTTGCGCCTAGCGTACCGTTCGGAGGGCATAAGGAGAGTGGCATTGGAATGGATTGGGGAGAGGTGGGTTTGAAGGGATGGTGTAACCCTCAGGCTTACTGGGTTAAGCACCTAAAACCTAAGTCGGCTAACTTGTGACAAGAGCAGAAGTCAGGGCTTCGAACTATACTATCCACAATATAATGATCTACTAGGACTGTAAAAATTATCGGCTAACCAATTCCTTCTTTGCCTTGATGGTTGACTTTGACTCCATATACGATTAGACTGCCAGACATGACCGCCTAAGTCTTACTGACCTTTTTTGTGCATTCTGTATAACTTCACCTTTAACATTTCTTGCATGTCTCTCAAAGGCCATAAACACACTGTATTACGCTTGTAGCCGTACGCGAACTGCATGTCAGCTGTACGTGCATGTACACGTAACCGAAGAATCCGTCGAGATCTACGTACATGGGGGTACGGATGGTGTGCCCGGCACAATCGACACGTGGTCAGGTTTCGTCCAGAGTTAGTTACGTTCATAACCTAGTATACCTGTTGGGGGATATGGTCGTGTAGACTTGAGGAGTGGCTATACTCCCCTACCCCCCTGTAAGACTCTTCTTGGCAAGTATTCGCGCTAGGCGTGGCCTTGGGGGCCCGCTTTGGGAGTTTTTCCGGGCAGGTATTTGAACGTGAATGAAGGTATCGTGGGCCTCGCGCTAGGCTAGCCTGCCAAGAGGAACCTGACAAGGTCAGTTTTACTAGCCTACAACCACGTATTATCCCTTCTGTCAGATATAAGCGATGGCATGTAGAATTCAGTGTATTGATTGATTGATTTTTTTTTGTTATTGTTAGTATAATGCGTTTGCTATGCTGAGATTATACGAGGGTCCTTATCTCCTAGATATAGGTCTACCTTAAGGTCCCCGTTTACCTAATATTTTAATTTAAAATATAGCCCTTTATATTTAACATACCCTTTTAAAAAGTACCCCCTTAAGGATAATTCATATGGATATATTTAGCAATAACCTTATATATTTCCGTTAAATAGAAATATTAATTTATTTATTTAATTATTTATAAGTTTAATTTTTTTCCTTTTAATAAATCCTTAAGCATTTTTCATTTTTCCTTTAATATTTCTTTTAATATTTATAATTTTTAAATACTTTTAATATTTATAAAGTTAAACTATTATAAAAATATATTCCATTTATTTTTAAAAAATGCTTTAATTAATTTATTAATAATTATATTAATAATAAAGATATATTTTATTTTAAAAGTTTTATTAAAAACTTTTTAATATAATTAATAATTATAAATATTAATATATTATAGCTTTATTTATAATATAATAATATTTTTTATAATAAGTTTAATTATTTATTATTTATTAAAAGTTACTTTTAATTCTTTAATTAATTAATTAATAAATATAACCTTTTTAATAATTTAAATTAAAGTAAGGAATTTAACTTTAATTATTAATATAACGCATCTCCCACTTGACCTGGCCACCCAATTGACCTGGCCACCCCCCCAGCCTATACAAAAAACGTCGGTGCGCTAATCACGTGATAATTTAATAACTTTACAAATATTGGTCGTATAAAATAATAAAATATACCATTAGATTCGTAATAGAAAGAGCTATTTAACGGTACCCCTCACTAATTTATACAGCCTATATTCGTGGAGTTATTAAGCAATACGCCAAAGTAAGCGCTAAAATAAACCTTACCTAGCGCCCTTTTAGCGTATTGTTTAATATCTCGCTCAATAAATTTTATAAAAAATAGTAAAAAATACCGCTGGATTCCTTATTAAATAACGGATCTAATAGTACTAATTATTAAATTGTAGGGCTAATATTGGTTAAGTTATCCTAGATTAAAACATTGGATTTTTATATAGGTTAAGGGGGTGGCCAGCTCAATTGGGTAGCCAGGTCAAGTGGGAGATGCGTTAGTTATTATATTTTATTTATTAACTTTTTATTTAATAACCCTTTTAAATAGCTTTATTATATATATTTATAAACTTTTATAATTAAAAGTATTATTAATAAATAAAAAGTTATTTATAATTATAAATTTATTTCCGTTTTTAAATTATAATATATAGTTTTAAGTAATTTTAAAGTAAAATAATAATTAATTAATAATATTATAATATTTAAGCTTTAAATTTAAATTAAATCTTAATAATTAAAATACTTTAAATATAATATTAAATTAAATAATTATAATTTTATATATAATTAAACCTATTTTCTTTTAATAATAATAAATCTTTTATTAAGTAGTTAATTTATTATAAGAATTAAGTTTTTCTATTTTTATTAAAATATATATTTAAAGGATAAATTTATTTTTAAGTTTAATAATTTTTTTAATATATAAGGATTAAAAAAGTTAAATTAGGCCTTTTATATAATTTTAAATTACTTTTATATTAAAGAATTATAATAGGTTTTTTTTATTAATTATTTAATAATAATATTTTAATTTTAAAATTATTTATTAAATATTAACTTTTTTATTATATTTATAAATTAAAATAATATTATTTATATATATAAAGATAAAAACTCTTTATTTAATATAATAAAATAACTTATAGGGAATAATTTAATAACTTATTAATTTTAAAGATTTAATTAATTTTTATTATTAAAGAAATAATAACTTTTAAAATCTATATAATATTTAAAATAATTATAAAAAGGTTTATAACTTATAATAATTTAAAGGTATTTATATATAAATTTCTTTATTTAGCTTTATATTAATAAATATATTTATTATATTATATTATTTAAATTTAAAGTTAAACTTAATTATAATAGTTATAAAGGTTTAAAATAATTTACTTATTAAAATAAATATATAAGTATTTTTTCTTTTATTAATTAATTATTAATTTCTTTAAATAATAAATTTAACTTTATATTTTTAATAAAAGTTATATTTATTAAATTTATAAATATATACCTATATATAATTTAAAGTTAATTTTTTATAAATAATATATATATTAATTTTTTTTAAATATTTATATTTTTATAGCTTTAAAAATATAACTTTTTAATTTATTTAAAATATTTATTTATAAAGTAAGTATTAAAATTTTTATATTACTTTAAAGATAAAGGAAAGTTTTAATAATAGATTTTGGATTTAATTTAAAATAGCTTTATTAAATTTAATTTTTAAAGTATTAAAGTATTTTTTAAAGGTATTTAAAGCTATACTTTTAAAATAAATTTAAATAAAGGCGTTTAAAGCTATACTTTTAAAAGTATTTAAAATTACATTTTTAAAATAGATTTAAATAAAAGCATTTAAAGTTATATTTTTAAAGGTATTTAAAGTTATACTTTTATAAAGGATATAAGCCCTTTATTTTAATAGAATTTAATAATGCTATTAAAGTAGTTTAAAAATCTTTTTAAAGATTTAGCTTTATTAACTTTACTTATTAATATATTATATTATAATTTTATAATTATTAAATATTTTATATTAAATATAACCTTTTAATAACTTTTATATATTATAATTCTAAAAAAGGCTATATAAAAACTTTCTTTAAACCTTAAAGTAGGATTAAATAATTTAATAATCTTTAAAAAATTCTTCCTTTAATTAACTTTTTTAATTATAGCATTAAAAAGAGTATAATAATTAAAAAACTTAAAAAAAATAAAATATAAAGTAAAAATAGCTTAAATATATAAGTAATTAAACTATAATAATAACTTTTTATTTTATTTTATATTTTTATTAATATCTTTATTTTTTATTTCTTTAATAGGATTAATTAATATATATACTTTTTAATTCTTATAAGAATTAATAAAGGTTTATTAAATAATTTTAATTAATAAAGCTTTAAATTCCTTATTAATAATTTTTAAAAGGTTATTCTTTAAAAAATTAATACTTTTTAAAAAGGTAATATTTTTATTAAATATAACATTTTTAATTATAATAATTTTATTAACTTTTAATAATTAAATATAATAAGTAATAAATAATTAATATTTAATTAAATATTTTATTTAAACTTTTAAGTTTAATTTCCTTTTTTTATTTATTTTTAATTATATTATAAATATTATAATAAATGCTTTATATTTATAAACTTTTAAATATAATAAAATAAGTACTTTATTTTATTTAATAATATTATTTTATATTTAAAAGTAAATATAAAACTTTTTATATAAAATTTTTTAATTATAAATATATTTAAACATATAATTATATAAATATATAATAGCTTTTATAATTTTTATTTATAAATAGGTTAATAGCTTTAATTCATTTTTTATAAACCTTACCGTTTTTTTAATTATACCCCTTAACCTTTTAATACCTTTATTAAATGTTTAAGTATTAAAAAGAAATATTTTAAAAGTAATTCCTTTAATTATATAAAAATATTAAATAAATTAAAAAGTACCCTTTATATTTATAATTAATTTATTATTATACTTTATTATTAATACTTTAATTTTATAATAATCTTTTATATATTTAATTAAATAAATAAATATAATTTTAATTAATAAATATATTTAATTATATAAATAATAATTAAAAATAAAGTTAAAGAATTAATTAATAATAAATATTATATATTACTTTTTATTATTATTTTTTAAAGGTTTTTATAGTTATAAAAAATAATTATTAATTATATATTAATAGTTATAGCTTTTTTTTATAATTATTTATTAATTTAATATTTAATTTTAAATATTTTATATATATTATATTAAGTAGTTTTTATTTTATTATTTTTATTAGGAGCTTAATAAATATTTACCCTTTAAAATAAAGTTATTAAATATTATATTACTTTAGGTTTTAAATAATTTATTTAAAGGTATTATTTAAATAAATCTTTTTATAAGATTAGCTTTTTTTTATATAAATTAAATTTATTTTATTATATATAAAAGGTTAATCTTTTAAAAAATAATAATAAATATTTTAAAATAAATTAATTAAATCGATTTTATAAACGATATAAAATTAATCTATTTTTTTATTATAATAGGTTTATAAATAGTTTATTATTTTATTAATATTTTAATTAATTAAAAATTTAAAGGAATATTAAATTAATTATTA